CTACACTTTTAGGTGTATTTTGTGCAAGAAATTGCAATAAAATAGTCTGCCTAAGAAAAATGGAATTTTTTTTGGAACTTTTTTATGATTTTGGATTTTTGGGTCGGATGACTTTTTGGTGGTAATAGGTGTCTTCTTCCTCTACTCGTATTAAATATCCCGTGAATATCCTAAGAATATCCCACGGACATCCTGAGGATATCCCATGGATATCCTGTGATATAATATTCAATAGATATTTTGTGGATGTCTTAGGGTTATCCTGTGGATATCCTATGAATGTCTTGTTGATGTCCCACAGACCGGCGGTTTGGATATCCTAGGGATATCCCAAGATATCCTGGGGACCATTCGAGGATATCGACCATTGATATGAATATCCTATGGATATACTAGGGATATCCTATTGTTATGAGGGAATTAATTTGAAGCTTTTTAAAAAAATCTTATTACTTCGTAAAATTTGAAAAATGCATTTTTTTACTGAGATAAATTAAAAATCTTTCTTTCTTTCTATGATATGAATATTGGAAAAGATAAAAAATGCTGACTAAACGCGACACTATTGTGAAAGAGCATTGTAATCTTTTCTTTTCTGATATCTGTTTAAACCCAAATGACTTTCACTTGGTAGTGACGAATTTAAAAACAAACAGATTCCAAAAGACTTCCCAAAAGTATATATAAATATTGATGATGCTAATTCGTTAGCTTCTACCGGAATTTTTTTGCTCACGAGGGTAAGCACTTTCACTTGAAATGGCAACAAAAAAGAAATAAATATATAGGTATATATATGTATATTTATAATACAGAAACTTTCTTTTCATTTATAATTATTTCGAAATTATATATATATTGTCTTTTTTTCTAGATTAAAATTTTAAATCACATTAGATTTATGTAAGGGAAAAAGTTAAAATACACAATACGTCTACGATGTAACTTGGTTTATTTTCTGGTTAAGCAATATATTGACATACCTATATTTGTTCAATATACATATATAGTTCCATATGCGTTTAAAGGGATTTTTTTTTATCTAAGAAAAAGGTTTTCAACAGACATTTTACTATACATATATTGCATAAATTCTTATAACACTGAAAAAAAAAAATTTGATTCAAATAATCGGTTACTTGACTATTATTAAATAAATATTTACTTGAACTAAATAATTTTTATTTAATCTAATAATTTCTATATTTGAAACAAATATAATTTAATTGATAATTATTTAATAAAAATAAATATTTATTTAATAATAATAACAGTCAAGTAATCGATTATTTGAGTCAATTAAATTTTTTTTTATATATTATTGTATTTATAATCTATGTAATTGTTTTTTTTTAAATTTTATTTTTAAAAAATGACAATAATAAATTTTTTATATTTATACTGGAAATCAGGTTTATCGCATAATATACAGTAATTACAATTACATTCACTATAGAGACCCTGAAAAAAAAATAATTTCCACAGTTATCTGTAAAAATCTGCGACTGTATATTTATTGAATCATTCAAGCAAAGAGGATATGGAGGTGAATAATCTGCCTATGTGACACATTTACGTTTTCTTTATCAAGTAACAATTTTTTTCTTCAGTTTTTTTTTCTTAACATCAACTAATAATACTATTATTATTATTATTATTATTATTATTATTATTATTAAAAAAATAGTAAAAAATTATAAATAATAATAATAATAATAATAATAATAATAATTATTATTATTATTATTATTATTATTATTATTATTTATAATTTTTTACTATTACGTTTTTCCTTTATCTTTATGTTGATCTCAATTTTTCTTTGGGGTAAAAATAAAAATATTAAAAATAATTATTTTCAATGTGTATTATAAATTTATTTTTTAAAATTACATAATAAATATTATTGTAACACTTACAAGGACAATTGTACAGTAAATGAAATACATATATACATTTATATGTATGCAAAGGAGGCAACAATCATTGAATGACAAATAAGTTGAGGGGTAGCATTAAAATTCAATCCTATAACGGTTTATTATTCGCCTCATTGCCCTCGGAAAAATCTTTGTTAAAACAAATAATAATTTTAAAAAAAAAATTTCTTTACACATTTACAATTTAATATTTTGTCGCACAAAAAAAAATAATCTAATTATTATTATTGTTTATTTTTTCTGACGGTTTATGTACACGGAAATATAAATTATTCATATTTCCGTTTCCATATTCCATTTAATATTAATAAAGATGAAAAAATAAATTTTTTTTGTTAATTTCCTTTGAAAGATTTGTCAATAGTTAATGATCTGTAAATTAAATTTTTTTAATTTGTTTTAGGGATAATGAAAAAAAATATTAGATTCTTCTGAAAATTTTCTCTAAATTTTATTAGAAAAAATTTTTTTTTCTTTTATAAACTGTATGAAAACTTTTAAATATATATATATATATATATATATATATATATTCTGTAAATAATTTTTGAAAAGTTGCTGAAAAATTGTCCCTCATAACAAAAGGATATCCATAGGATATCCATATCAATGGTTGATATCCTAGAATGGTCCCCAGGATATCTTGGGATATCCCTAGGATATCAAAACCGCCGGTCTGTGGGACATCAACAGGACATCCATAGGATATCCATAGGGTATCCACAGGATATCCCTAAGACATCCACAAAATATCTATTGGATATTATATCGCAGGATATCCATGGGATATAGAGATATCCAGAAAATATCCTGTGGATATCCTCAGATATCCATGGGATATCCAAACCGCCGATTTTTTGGATATCCTTAAAAGATCGCTTTTGATATCCATAAGACATCCCTAGGATATCTGCGGGATATTATCAATATATCCCAAGATATCTTGTGTTATTAGGGATTATTATTATTATTATAGGAATTTCTTTGCAATTTACGATTTTTTTTTTAGGTTAGGAATGATTGTTTTCTGAAAATTACATTCCCAACTTAATACTGGGAAAATTATATAATTAACTAACGCTAATTATTAATCATTCCAAAAAATTATAATTTCCGGTTAATAGACGCTTCTTATACCCGCAGAGAAAAAATTTCTTTACTTTAAAAAAATCAATTCCTTTGACTTTTTGTTTTCTTCCATTAAAAATTAAATTTTCTTTAAAATCAAAAAAAAGCTTTTAAGTTTTAAAGAAATTTGTGCATTAAATCAAAGAAATTCTAACATTTGATATATAGGGTCAAAGAAACATTTATTTGAATTAAATAAAAAATTTCTTTAAAACGAAGATATAATTTTTTTTGAATCAAATAATAATTTATTTGAAAGAAATAATAAATTTTCTTTGTAACAAAGAAAAATTTGTCAATGAAATTGATTTTTTTGAATCAAAGAAATATTTTTTCTGGGTGTAAAAATATATATCCATACTTCCCGTAAATAAAGTATCGCGCATTATTATTATTATTATTATTATTATTATTATTATTATTATTATTATTATTATTATTATTATTATTATTTTAGCCTAAAATGTGTCAATTTGAAATTTTTTAATAATTGCTAACCTAAAAAAAAATATTTGTAATTGTAATAAAATTCCTAGAATAATAATTTTTCAACAGCTTTTTAAAAATTATTTTTAAAAAATAATTATAGAGCAAAAAAAAAAAATTGCAATTTTTGTACCATAATATCCCTGAATGACGATAAATATTTTGATTAATTTTGCAAAAATAAAAAAAAAAAAAGGGCCGCAAAGGGGTGGGAGAGTGAGAGTGGGGAATTCCTCTGACCCATTTGAGTAAAAGTATTGGCGTCACTGATAAACGGTAAAGTACAACCAAGGTTCGCGCGCTTTAAAGAGAAGTGGAGGAAACGTGAGAGAGCATCGGGTGATTCGATTAATCTTTTTTCAAACAGTCTCAAAATTGACGGGATATCGTTCGTTTGGATTTGTCGCACTTAATTATTCTAAAATAATAACAATAATAATAATAATAATAATAATAATAATAATAATAATAATAATAATAATAATAATAATAAAATAATTTTAAAATAATAATTTTATTGTAGTAACATGCAGAATTCAAATTATTGGAAATCCCTCTCGATTTTGATAGTGTTTATATTTTTAATATGTGCTGATAGAGAAGTGATTTGTAGGCCCCCTAGGGGTCCAATTGAGGAAGCAATTCAAAGTGGCGCCGCGGCCAATTACAGTGAGGATAAATGCACCTGGAGAAGGGGTAATGATAAGGATTCATGTCCTGATCCTGATGTGCATTTGTATCTTTATTCGAAACTTGGCAAACCTAAGGAGAAATTACAGGAAATCAGAAAATCTGATTGGCTTCGTGGGGGTTACGATGCGGCTAAGGAAAATATTATTTTAATCCACGGTTATGCTGGTGAGATTATTTTTTTTAAAAAAATAATTTTTTATTGGAATTTTTATACTTTACTTATTACTTTATATACTCTACTACTTTTTTTATTAAAAAAAATTTTTTTTAACTAACTATTTATCATTTTTTGTTTTACGAATAAAAAAAAATTTTTTACTAACTTTTTATCATTTTTTGTTTTACGAATAAAAAAAAATGTTGAACTTTATATAATTACGATCAAATTTAATAATATCATATTTAAAAAGTAGAAAAAGAAAATTTTCTAAATTTCAAAATCTTTTGTTTTTTTTTCCAAATAGAGGAATAATTTTGTACATCCAATTACATAAATGTTGTCCTTCCGTTTTGACGGCATTTTGAAACGTCGTGACACTTCTATAATAATTTTATTAGTTCGTGGCATATGGTGCGATTACATTATCAGTCATAAACTAATAAAATTATTATAGAAGTGTCACGACTTTTCAAAATGCGTCGTTAAAACCGGAAAGAAAACAATTATGCAATTGGTTATATAGATTTTTTAAAGGTCAATACATAATAGATTCTTAAACGGAAACGTAATCGTAACACTGCCACACAAAAAAAAAAGTTTTCATCTGGGGGTCTGATTATGCCTACTTTATGTTTTTTGGGTCACTGAATCCGAATTCGAGGTCCGTTTTACCCCCCCCCCCATCAGATCAGGATTTTTAGATAACCTCAAAAAACCAATATGGCGGACACTTTTTCGAAAAATTCATCGGATTTGCCTGAAACTCGTTACTCGGGGTTTTTTGGGGTCGCTGATCACGAATCTTGAATTTTTGAAAACTGACTTCAAATTCGTAATCAGCGACCCCAAAAACCCCCCGTGTAACGAGTTTCAGGCGATTCCGATGAATTTTTCGAAAAAGTGTCCGCCATTTTGAATTTTGAAAAACAGATATTAGATTCGTTATCAGCGACCTCAAAAACCCCCGAGTAACTAGTTTCAGGCAAATCCGATGAATTTTTCGAAAATTAGAATCCGCCATTTTGAATTTTGAAAAACTGACATTAGATTCGTGATCAGCGACCCCGAAAACCCCCCGAGTAACTAGTTTCAGGCAAATCCGATAAATTTTTGGAAAATGTGTCAGCCATTTTGGATCCGCCATTTTGAATTTTGAAAAACTGACATTAGATTCGTTATCAGCGACTCCGAAAACCCCCCGAGTAACTAGTTTCAGGCAAATCCGATAAATTTTTGGAAAATGTGTCAGCCATTTTGGATCCGCCATTTTGAATTTTGAAAAACTGACATTAGATTCGTGATCAGCGACCCCAAAAACCCCCCGAGTAACTAGTTTCAGGCAAATCCGATGAATTTTTGGAAAATGTGTCAGCCATTTTGGATCCGCCATTTTGAATTTTGAAAAACTGACATTAGATTCGTTATCAGCGACCCCAAAAATCACCCGAGTAACGAGTTTCAGGCAAATCCGAGGAATTTTTCGAAAAAGTGTCCGCCATATTGGTTTTTTTAGATTATCTCAAAATCCTGATCTGATGGGGGTAAAACGGACCTCGAATTTGGATTCAACGACCCAAAAAACATAAAGTAGGCATATAGTCAGACCCCCAGATCAAAACTTTTTTTTTGTGTGGCTGTGTAATCGAAAGAATAAGTTGGAAAAGTACAGAAATATATATCCGTTCTTCTCTTACTCGTTCTTACGATTGCGTAACGTCTCTAAGAGAGGATAAAATTTAGCTATATTGTGGAAGCAGCCTTAACAAAAGATTTTAACTTAGGACTCTATTACATATGGAGCAGATTAGATTTTAACCAATCAAAATTTAGTCTCTTAGGGCAAATATTACATTGCCGTAAGAGAATAAATTTTCATTGGTTAAAATCTATCTGCTCCATGTGACAGAGCCCTTAACCTAATTTTTTTTCCAAAACTCTTCTAAACTTGTTAGAAATTAACTTTAAGCCCTGTACACAATAGGCTTTTTTATGTTATACTCAACATAAGGACATAAAAAACCTATTGTAGACAGGGCTTTATTAAATTTTTGCGTTAAAAAACATTTTTAAATTTTGAGTTTATGTTCTCTTCTTACAAAAATTGGAACAATTTCGCTTATTTTATTCTCATATGGAAATAAAATTAAACTTTCATATTTAAGGAACCGAGGAATCGGTACCAATGATGATTCTCAGGGACGCTTATTTACGAAATGGAAGTTACAATGTCTTTATGATTGATTGGGGAGCACTTTGTGCGCCACCTTGTTACCCGGCGGCAGTCGCAAATCTTCGACCTGTCGCACGATGTCTTGCCGGAAGTCTCACAACCTTGAGAAATCTTGGTTTACCAATATCAAGAACAACGTGCGTTGGTCATTCATTGGGCGCTCATCTTTGTGGAATTATGGCCAATTTTTTACTATTCCGTATGCATCGAATTATTGGTCTTGATCCTGCTCGTCCCTTAATTCGTTCGAGTCTCACCAATCGTCTCGACAGTGGAGATGCCGATTTTGTTCAGGTCATTCACACCAATGCTGGATATTACGGTGAGTTTTGAATATAGAGAAAAAAAATTTAGTATATATCGAATTGCATAAATGCTGTACTTCCGGTTTGATACGACATTTTGAAAAGTCGTTTGACATTTCTATAATAATTTTATTAGTTCGTGGCGTATTATGTACATTACGCCATGAAGTAATAAAATTATTATAGAAGTGTCAAACGACTTTTCAAAATGTCGCATTAAACCGGAAGTACAGCATTGGTTGGTTTCCATTGTCGCCATTCGCCAAAATCCCTACTCGTCATTTGTTATAATTCTCGTCAACTACCGCACTCTGCTCTAGTGAAAATTTAGTAATTTTATAGTAACTTTTAATTTTAAAAATAAAGTCACTAAATTTTTACTAGAACAGGGTGCGGTAGTTGACGAGAATTATGAGTGGGGACAATGGAAACCAACCATTGCATAAATATTGGTTGGTTTTCATTGTCGCCATTTGTCATATACCGCACCCTGCTCTAGTAAAAATTTAGTGACTTTATTGTTAAAATAGTTAAAGTTACTATAAAAAGTTACTATAAAGCCACTAAATTTTTACTAGAGCAGGGTGCAGTAGTTAACGAGAATTATGAGAAATGGCGAATAGGAACAATGGAAACCAACCTCTGTCCTTTCGGTTTGACGACATTTTGAAAAGTCGTGACACTTCTATAATAATTTTATTAGTCCATGGCGTAATATAAACCATACGCCACGAACTAAAAAAATTATTATAGAAGTATCACGACTTTTCAAAATGCCATCAAATCGGAAGAACAGTATTTATATCCAATTCTACCGTTTTTTTGGGGGGGCAAAAACTACTTTTTACTGCGAAATTAGCATTTTTCAGAATCAAATTTTAATTTTCTTTACATAGGCGACAAAGGAAGAATGGGCCACGTGGATTTTTGTGTCAACGGAGGCAAAATACAGCCATTTTGTCAAAATCAAACAAATTTTCAATTGTGCAGTCACGTATGGGTCGTTTGTTTTATGGCACAAAGTGTCGATGACGGCGGAAGAAAAATGATAGCCGAGCCTTGCTCGCGAAGATGTCCCTCGGGGCCAAGGATTAGCCAAAGAGCTGGCGAATATTTAATCATGGGTCAACACACGCCCACTGGGTCCAAGGGCTCATTCTGCCTAACCAGTAACAATCCTCCCTATTGTCCAAAATACTCCAATGATCATGGTGACCAAAACTGTTGCGTCTAGAATATGAGTATTTTTCTTTTTTCTTTTTTTTTTTTTTTTTATTGCATCCAATTGCATAAATACTGTCCTTCCGGTTTGACGACATTTTGGAAAGTCGTGTGTCACTTCTATAATAATTTTATTAGTCCGTGGTGTAGTACAAAACCATACGCTATGAACTAATAAAATTATTATAGAAGTGACACACTACTTTCCAAAATGTCGTCAAACCGGAAGGACAGTATTTATGCAATAGGGTGTGTATTTATACGAAAAACAAAATGTAGTTTCCAATTGCAGATTTTTCTTTGTTTTTAAGAAAAATGAAAAAAATTGCAAAATCTCCGACGAAACTGACTTAAAAGTTCATTTTTTGTTTTTATGCGCGCAATAAATTTTTTTTTTTTGTTTTGATGTACACCAAATTGCTGTCCTTCCGGTTTGATGCGACATTTTGAAAAATTGTGTGACACTTCTATAATCATTTTATTAGTTCATGGCGTATGGTTTATATTACACGCCACGAACTAATAAAATTATTATAGAAATGTTACGATTTTTCAAAATAGCGTCAAACCTTAAAGGCGCTTGTACACCTCCTCCGTTTCTGAGTATTTCAGAGTTTTGTCCAATTTTGATTGGCTCTCTTGGAAATTTTCCATTACAAAGCCAATCAAAATTGGTCAAAACTCAGACATACTCAGAAACGAAGGAGGTGTACAAGCGCCTTAAGGACAGCATTTATTTTCTGCTTACGTTTACGAGTTTAGTCTATAGAAACTTTTTACATTTATGCGATTCCGAGAGTTTTGCTGTCCAAAAAGTATAAAAACCTAGTAAGTCGCTTTTCCATAAAGGTTGAAAATCATTTTGTCTATCGACTTTCAAACTTAACGAAACGCATATGACTTACTAGGTTTTTAACTTTGGATAGCAGATTTAAAATTGGCTTCGCTACACGGTAAATTTTGTTGTGTGTGGCTCGATCCCAATAATAACAATAATATTTGTTATTGGCAAGGTCGATCTCTCGACAGTAATTAAATTAAAATTCGAACCGCATCTCAAGAAAAAAATCTTGTTTGGGGAATAAACAGTAACTAATAACGGTTTGATACCGTTACATGTTCCGGAATTTTAAGTCAGCGGATAACACGTACTAAAACTGAACGAGTGGGAGAGAGAGTGAGAGAGAATAATTTTGAATTACATTAAATAATTGGTATATATATATATATTGAATGCTAATGATGAATGTGTTTATGAATGATGTAATTTATAAATTATCCAGGTAATTCTTCTTTACTTTTTAATTCTATAGACTATTTCAATTTGCGACGTCTTCTTCTCTCTAGATAATAATTTTGCGCAGATATTTATTTTATCGACACATATGTGACGCTCCGCGATATAAAGTATCTGTTCACAGAATTTTTAAGGTCATATTTTTGATTTTTGAAGTGAAAATATACTAAAAGACTTAAACATCAATAGTTTGTATAAAGAATTGATCCTCTTTATGTATTTTTACTTCAAAAATCAAAACTATAACCTAAAAAATTTATGGCGTTGGCCACACCCACTTGCAAAAATTTTGTTCTTTCGGTTTAAGGTCTCTGTCACATGGAGCAGATTAGATTTTATCCAATCAAAATCTAATCTGTTTTATGTGACAAAACCCTAACGTTATTTTGAAAAGTCGTGACACTTCTATAATAAATTTATTAGTTTATGGTGTAACGGCGTATACCACGAACAAATAAAATTATAATAGAAGTGTTACGACTTTTCAAAATTACGTTAAATCAGAAGAGTAGAATTTATGTAATTGTTGTGTAAAAAAATATGAAATGTATTATTTTTAAAAAAAAATTTTTAATGTTTACATATTGATTCGACAGATGACTCTCCATCACTCTTCTTTTCCATCTCCGCCATAAACAAAATTAGTATTACTTTTGCCAAATAAATATTAAAAATTCTTTCTTTGCATGAAATTGTAGCTTAGGATGTGTAGTTTCATTTTCCGTCTGGTGATTTGTGCTTGGCACTATATAAAATCCTATATGGCGTTATAAATAAACAAAAACACCAAAGAAAAATCTAGTAATTACTGTTGTAAATTCAAAAAAAAGTTAAAACATTTAAATGATCCATATTCCTAGCTTCTGGGGGTCGCTGATTACGAATCCAAAGTCTAATTTCAAAAATTCAAAATGGCGGATACAATACGGCGGACGAAAAAATTTATTTCATCAGATTTGTCTAAATCTTTTTACTCGGGGGTTTTCGGGGTCGCTGATTGCGAATCTAAACTCAGATTTCAAAAATTCAAAATGGTGGATCCAATATGGCGGACAAAAATTGAAAAATCGTTTAGATTCGATTGAAACTTGTTAATCGGGGGTTTTTGGGGTCGCTGATTACGAATCTGACATCAGTTTCTCAAAATTCAAAATGGCGGATCCAAGATGGCGGACAACTATGTTAAAATCGCTTGGATGCGCTTGAAACTTGTTACTCGGGGGGTAGCCGAAAAATGTGACGAAAAAGAAGTGATGAAAAATTTAATTAATATATTATATGTAATATATTTAAAAAAAAATAAATATTGAAATTTATAAAATAAACTATATAGTATTTGGCCAATAAAGATACTTTTTAAATAACACTGTATAAAAAATGCAATTAAGATTTTTATTAAATTTTTCCCAAGTGGAATTATTTTGTTACAAATATAACGAAACTTTTAATCCAATCACGTTTACAAAAGAATTTCTTATTTGTTAAAAAAATTATTAAAAAACAAATAACAAAAGGACAGTCAGGCACCTGAAGAGACAATATTCTGCCACCATTCAAAAACCATTAAATTTTTTTTTACTTTCAAAAGTTTAAATGTTTGTTTATGATGATACTACGAATGTTTAGTTACAAAGAAATTGTTTTTGAATGAACTAGTAGAATTAAATATTATCTAAATCCTAATATTAATATTTTTCTTCATTTAATTACTCTTATTTTTCAGTTTCTCGTGTAAAAATCATAATTCATTTTTAAAAACTCGCGCGTTTTTCATTCACTTCACTTTAGTTCACTTAACGTCCGCTGGGTGTCGAAGCTTTGCTTTCAATCAATTCTTGCACTATTGATTAGGCCTACTGTTGAATGTTTTTAAAACGATCTTCGCATTTTAAAACCAGATTCTTATTTTATAAGAACAAAGTTTCAAGCAAAGTTTGATCAAATTTTGTAAACTCGTCTAGGTCTGTATATAAATTACCTATATTGTATACTAAAAGTGAGAGAGGGGAGGTCAAATATCGTAGAAAATAGTGTAATGTAATTTAAGTGACCAATCATTAAAAATTTTTTAAAACTAACATCGTATTCGCAATCAACGACCCCAAAAACCCCCGAGTAACAAGTTTCAAGCGAATCCAAGCGATTTTAACATAGTTGTCCGCCATCTTGGATCCGCCATTTTGAATTTTGAAAAACTGATGTCACATTCGTAATCAGCAACCCCAAAAACCCCCGATTAACAAGTTTCAATCGAATCTAAACGATTTTTCAATTTTTATCCGCCATATTGGATCCGCCATTTTGAATTTTTGAAATTTGACTTTGGATTCGTAATCAGCGACCCCTAGAAGCTAGGAATATGGATCATTCAAATGTTTTAACTCTTTTTTGAATTTACAACAGTAATTACTAGATTTTTCTTTGGTGTTTTCACCTCTTAGGCAGGAGGACGTCACATATTAAAATTGTACTCTAAATTCTCTAAATAAGTATATTTTGTTCTTATTTTAGAAATAAAAATAAATTTAATTTTTAATAACATTTGTGACGCGCTCTAAAGAAAGGCGGACCTTATAGAAGCCAAAACAAATTATAGGTTATGTATGTATTTTCAAATTTAAAATTTCGAAACACAAACTATTTTGTTTTTCTTTCTAAGGTCCCTTTTTTTAGAGAGCGTCGTTTTAAAGAAATAAAATTGCAGAATTATACAAATACTTTTTTATTTTAAATAACTGAATTCGTAATAATATTTTTTTAGATTTAGGGACAAAAAGGCCGAGTCCTGGTTTTAACTTATAGAATAATAATAATAATTTTTTTTCTTATTAATATTATTATTACTATTATTTTTTTTTGTTACTATTAAGAAAATAATACAATTAAGAAATAAGTCTATAAATGTATTAATGTGAAAATGAAAAAAAATATTATTCACTGTTATAATATTATGAATTTTTATTTTTTTCTATTATACAAATGAACAGTAACTGGTAACGATTTACTATTTCTTAATATTTAAAATTTATATTCAATATTTACAAAATGCTCTTAATATTTATATTTAAAAAATAATAATATATATACAAAATATAAGGCACATTTCTTATATTCAAAACTGAATCTGGAATACTTTTAAACCTAAAAGTAAATTTTTTTTTTTTAAAAAATGCATTTAAATTGAAAAAAACGTACTTATTTTTAGAGAAATTTTGATATTTTTCCCGATAATCTAAAATTCCCTGATTTTTCTCTATGAATTTCCCTGATCTGTGGCAACCCTGTTTTTAAAAAAAACAAAGTATTTTTTTTGAACGTAGTATTTTTCTTCAAATATATTTTTCACACTGGAGACAATATTTTTCCAAAAAAAAAAAACTTATTTTATAATTTTTATAAACTTTAGTAAAGTAAAAAAAGAAAAAATGATATATCACACAAGAAACCAGATTCAATAATAAAATAAATACAGAGTGATTAAAATCTACCGGATCCCACCAAAAAAAAAAGAATTTTTGTTTTAAATCGATCTTTTTTTTAAAAAACCCAAAAGACGATTTAGAAAAAAAAATTTCGGTAATTATTTTCGACAATTTTTGGACGTTTCGGTACATTTTTTACAACGCTGTATATTTACATATATATATATTTATGGTGCGAAAATAAAATTCTTTGGCCATATCTAAATAAAACTATTTTCTTCCTAGAATGTGAGAAATTTCTTTTTTTTATATACAATAATAGACTTAAGAGATCATTTAATTCGGAACATTCCAATTTTGTAAATGAATTGAAAAAAAAAAATTAAAAAAAATAATTTTAAAACCTTTTTAAAGTTTGAAGATTCTAATTGACTAAAAAAAAATTTAGGGATACATTTTACTCAAAAGAAGATTTGATTGAAATCTTTGTAGTTGCTGTAGCCTGGAATATTCAAGAGTGGCAATTTGTTGATGTTCAGGTGCCAACAGTGGGAAAAATAGAGAGTGATACTGCATTGGACTGAGTGTTGGTAAGATAGATTCCTGCGTTGATCGACAAGGTGAGGGTGAATCGGCCCACGGTCGGTAAAGACGGGTTTGATTACCGACATGATGTCCCGGTGGCGATGGTGAAACACGGAAATTCGCCTCGGAGAAACTTTCCAATGAGGAAGACGATGATGATGATGGTGGTGGTGGTGGAGTTGCGCCTCCGGAACTACTAATACCACTGTCGTCGGTAACACTTCCTGTCTCACTTGGCGATCGTTTTATTCTCTTTATTGTCGTACAATCGCGTAATTGTCCCGTTTCACAGTCCGATGATGAGACATTACCCTCTTCGTCTTGTGAATCCGATTGATCCTCGGACATTGGTAATTTTCGCTTGCAACGCGATTGGCCCGTTTCTCGAAATCCCTTTGCAAATGGATTGTTGTTGATTTTCAGTTTTGTGATGTTCTCGTTCTAAAAGAAAAGAGAAAAAGTTAGTTATCTTCTGAAACGGTTCGAGTCTGGACTAAAAATGACAATTTTAAGACACTTTTTTGCTTTAGAATTATAGTTAAATTTTACTAATTGTTAGTAAAAGTTACTAATAATTAGTAAAATTTTACTAAATTGAGAAGCAAAAAGTGTGTCACTAATTCAAATTAGTAGACTTTTTTACTAATTCAGATTTAGAGATTATATATAGAATTTTCCTATTTTATTATATGGTAAATTTAACTTACTTGATAAGCAGTCACGGCAATAAATTCTGTTTCAGGAAAACTGAAGGCCTTGCAAGGTTGTGAAATTAAATTATCCTCTCTGTGATCGTCGCAACGAATAATCCAAATTTTCGGTATGTATTTATGCATTGAAGTGAGAACCACCTGAAAATAAAATATTAAATTAATGAACAAATTTGAAGTAGACAAAATCTTAAATTACATTTTTTTTTTCTTTAAATATATCTATTTTTGAAAATATTAATTTTTTTTATCTTAACCCTTAACAGGCACCATGGGTCCAGTAGACCCGAGCTCAAAATGAAGCAGGGGGATATTTCATAAAAGGATTCTTATTATTCAGATAACTTCAAAAACATCAATCCCTCGAAAAAGAGGAATACATACAGTTAATACAGTGAAGCAGGAGAATATTTAATAAAGAATGTTTATTATTCAGATAACTTCAAAAACATCAAATTCCTCAAAAAAGAGGAATACAGTTAAGAATGTTTTATAAACAAAATAAATATAATCTATTAAGGCCCAATTTCACCAATTCCGGTTAAAAGTAAATCAGCGATTAAATCCCTAACCGACCAATCATGAGCGGTTAAATTGGCTTTAATCGATGATTAACTTTTAACCGGAGTTGGTGACACTGGCCCTAAGGATTATTTATTTGCATTGGAGATTTTTTTTTTTTTTTTTTTTGATAGAGAAGATGAGAATTTTTATTATTCAGATTATATAAAAATTATTTTTTTAAGAGTTAATATTTTTGAAAGTATTATTTTTATTTTTTTAAAAATATAATTTTTGTTTATTTTAATATTTTTAAAAATATTTAAATTTTTTATTTTAATATTTTTTTACATTAAAAGAAATTAATGTTTTTCTTTAAACCATACCAATTCAGGGAGGTGTAAAGATTGATACGATAAAAAGTCGGCAAGTGTTACTGAGGTCATTTGGCCTCTCATCTTATTAAAATCGCGACTAATTTGCGGAATTCGTCAAGGGTGCCGCGCGCGTGGAGATAAAAATTGGCGCCGTTTTTCGGTATAAGTATATATATATATATATATATATATATATATATATATATATATATATATATATATATATATATATATATATATATATATATATATATGTATACACAAAAATGAAGAGAGGATGCGAAACCAAGAGACAGACACGATTCTTATGAAATTGAAACTGGCCCTCTTCTTTATTCCTGGAATTTAACATCGTCGAGAAAACACGCGATCATTGGAATTACGCGACGCGCTCCTTAAATCATATATATAAGAAATGTGTACCCACACACATTGTCGATCTGTGTATTCATTGCGCAAGGCCTTTAAAACAGATGCTGTCATCGCATAAAGATTTTAAACATTTTAGAAAAAAAAATTTGTTTTTAAAAAACTTGCTACTGCAATATTTTTTTATAAAAAAAAAATGCTTCAGGACTTTAAATTGATGGCTTTTCTAAAACTGGACCTTAAAAGCAAGCGACAGTCGCTAAAATTACAATTTTTTTACTTTTTTTTTTACACAAAATGTCTAACGGTAGCTCTAGAGTACTTCGAAAGATAAGAAATTTTAAAGCGCCTCCCAGGTAACAAATTTGTAATTCAAAATAAAACTTTAAGACTTGACGTTAGACGAAGATTTATTATTATTATAGAAAGAATTTTAATTCGCAAATGGAATGCGCGCGTACGATTAAATTTTTATTTTTTAAGGAAAACTATTTTTAAATTATTAAAACAATTGTTTATTTAATATCTTTTTTTTGAAAAAAAGTAGTAATAAATCAAAAATATAATAAAAAAATAAATTTTCATTTATTTGTTATATAAATATAATACATAAAAAATTGAAATTCATCGAAACTACTTGGGGACAAAAAAAATTTATATTTGAAATAAAATTTTCAAACATAAAAATAATAAAACAGAAAAAAATTTAAACCCATTGAAACTACTTGAAAACTAAAAAATTTTTTTAAATCAAGAGTTTAATATATGTATAATAAGATTGAAAATTGTGGTTCTCGTTGTGATTTATTAAAGTTAAGAGAGTGACTAAGAGGAGGGAAAGGCAAATAATTTAAATAGAAGGAAAATCAAACAAAAAAAAAAAATTTCCCAGGGTGAGAGTAAGTTGGCCTACATTGAAGAGGATATATGTATATGGAAGGACCTCCCAAAATTCAGGGGCACCATATAACACACGTCGAACAACGTGCGCTTTGAAATTCGAGATGTCAGTGAGAGTATAGACGCAATTCGAAACAAAAGCTGTCTAAACATTCAAAACACTAGTTTTAAATTAATGGTCACTTCGCTTTACTTATAATAATAATAATATATTCGTCCACGGTGGTAAATTTCATCCTTTTTTTTTTAAACTTCCGGTAGAGCAGAAAAAAAATTTGTTTTCTATTCATTAACCTCTTGTATTTAATTAACAATTTTTTTTATTGCCTACGTGAAAAATATATTTTATTTATTATATAAAATTCAAAAAAATTAACCCTTAACACCATGGGTCCAGTAGACCCGAGCATTTTTACTCGATTAAATTAATTGAATGTATTTGAATATTTTTTATATTTTAATATATTAGATTGACAAATTCTTAATACTTTCTATATATACTAACGACTACTCTAAAAAGGCACTTGGTGCCAACAAAAGAAAAAAGTTTTTATTGAAAACCTCAAAAGACAAAAAAAAAACATATTCGACCCTTCCTTTAAGCTACAACATTCATGTGGAATGATTTTAAATAAAATTTAAATCTACAGTGTGTTGAATGTTTAAAGGAATTCAGGGTAAAATTGAGAAAAAGTTATTTTAGAAAACCTCAAAAGACAAAAAAAATCTTACATCCCATCTTTAACCCTTAATTGATGGCACTAGTAGACCCGAGCGAACAAGAAATTGTGCCAGTTAAGGGTTAATAATAAAAAATAAATTAATAATAAAATAATAATAACCTATTTTTATGTTTAATTTAAAAAAATTAAATATAAAAATAGGTAATTATTTTATAATTTATAAATTATATAAAATTTACAAAAAATAATTTACTTTTCAAGTTGATTTAAATCATATTGCAGTAGATAATAAAAAAAATTATATGATAAACTTACATGACTGTGGGGATCCACGGCATTGTTGGTAATCTTTAGTTTGCTAAAATTAATTGGATGCTGCATCCAATGTGCACCGGTCGCTGGACCATCGGGATGTAAATAAATTCGTCGATTTTGCGGTGGTTGTGGCTCAGCTGGTCCAGCAGTTGTCCAGCCTCTTGGCGATGATGATGATGATGTTTTTGCAATTTGACATTCCAAATTTCCATCAATCACGTATTTATGACGACGATTCGTTGCTGGAGTTACCTCGAGCATTACCACATAGCGAGCACGCTTTTGTAAACCACTTACGCACACCTGAACCGATGGGAACATTCGCCTGAAATAATTGTAATTATTCCAAATCGTTAAAAATCAGTTATTTTTTTTTAAACTAAATTATTTATTATTTATATTATTTTTTTATTAATTAGTATTTTATTTATTTATTTCTATTACTAGGGTAAGTGTATCAATTACGGCGCGTTCATAAAAAATAACTATTATTATTTTAAGATTTTTGGCTTCAATTACGGTGGGCAAAGTATTTTCAAAATACACGTAATTTTAGTCACCGTAATTGATACAATCTCGCCGTAATAGTAAAAAAAATCGCAATATTCTAATTGAAAATTAATTAGTACATTCTTAAAATCTCCGAATTCTACAGGCATTAACTTAATAATCTTTTTTTCTGGAGTACTAAGTAGAAATTATGTAATATTTTAGTACGCGCGTGTAGTCATAACAAATATGGGGAAAGCCAGGAAAATAAGGGATTTTTCACAAAAACAGGTACAAAAAGTCACGTCTAGCTACTTATAGGAAATAAAGTAAAGGGAAAAGATACGTCAAAAAAAAAGAGGATGAGACGGGCTTTTAGCAAAGTATATATGTACATATATATGTTCTTCGCCTAAGACAATGCTAAAGACCTTTAATACGTTAAAAAAATCAAGAGCAACCACTTATAGTCGGAATGTGAGAAAATTCCCATTTTTTTCCCTCATAAAGATATTTTCTATGTAAATAAATACAAAGTACAATGACCATTATTATATCCTAAATATTAACACATATACCTATAATAAATAAACAATATTTAAAAATTTTTTTTAAAAAGAAGAAACATAATAGGCAACATAACCTATATTAAATAAAGAATGTAAATAAAAAAAAAATTTATGTATTAACATTTTAAATTCGAATTTCGAGAAGAATTTTACTCTTTAAATCTGAATTAGTAAAAATGTTTACTAATTTATAAATTAGTGACTCACTTTTTGCTTTAGAATTAGTTAAATTTTACTAATTGTTAGTAAAAGTTTTCGAATAATTAGTAAAATTTTACTAATTCTAAAGCAAAAAGTGAGTCATTAATTTATAAATTAGTAAACATTTTTACTAATTCAGATTTAGAGAGTAGTTTAAAAATTTTGTTAAATAATTCACAAAGAAAAATAGAAAAACGAATAAAGTAACTTTTACTAATTTAAAAGTAAAACCTGAATTTTCTGCAGTTTCTGCACGCGCATTTCTATCAATTTTTTACACCAGAAATAGTAAAATTTACTATTTTTGGAATAATTGTTACCATTTCAGGAGTAAATTGTACTATACATATTTCTGGAGTAAAAATTGACAGAAATTGTGCAGAAACTGTAGACAGTTCAGTTTTTACTTTTAAAGTAATAAAAGTTATACTTTATTCGTTTTTTCCATTTTTCTCCGTATTAAAATAAAGAAGATCTGAATTAAAATTAAACAAACTACATATTTGTTAAAAAGAAGCCTCTAGGACTAGAAAAATTTTAAAATAATTTTGGAAAACATATTTTGAAGGTAAAAATATTCTCGCAGTCATTAACGAAGGGACACATTTTGGGAGGAGTTTTTAAAGAGATAGCATAGAGACAGAGAGAGAGAGAGAGAAAGAGAGTTGTGTGACCATTTTTTTTTTTTTGGGTCCCAGAAGCATATTGACAAGCCTTTGATCTTTATCGGCAAGTTCCCTTCGACTGTGTAAACATTTCAAACTTGTCTATAATCCGTAAGTCAAGTCTGAAAAGTCAATCTTCCTTTTGTCTTCTGTTTCGCCTGTTTATGTACATGATTGCAAGCTTCCAACTGGACCTTTTTCCTTTCTTCTTCTTCTTTTTTTTTTTCTTTCAACAAATATACATATATACTCTCAAGAGGTTTTCTTTTTTTTCTTTGTCTTTTGTGTACAATCCGGAAATACACGAAAAACTTATTTTCAAGAGGGTGTCAAGAGAGTGGTTTCTTTTTGAAAATGTTATTATCAATAATTAGAATATAAGGGGACAAAAAAATCCATTAATTGAGGAAAAGGTAATTCTGTAAGAAAGTAATTAAAAAATATATCTTAAAAGCTTTTTCGAATAAGGATATGATTTTCTTTTTTTGTTTCTGAAAAGAGTTTGATGAGAATCGGATTGTTAGACGACATAAGTCAGGTAGGTATCAAAGTAGGCGGCGACGTAAGGCGCCGGAACGGAGCGTGAAGAAAATTGGTAGCACACAAGAGGAGGAGAGAGACACTTGAGGCCACTCTAAATGGGACCCCACAAATATATATATATATGTATATATGTATGGGACGAACTGCCAAAGTTCTCATGTGGAACGAAAAATGAATCTATGATAATTCTCCTGGCGCCTCTATTCTGTCTATACAACTTCTCCTTTGAAAAAAATCAATTTTACATTTTCCAGATATATTTTTCTTCCGTTCACACGAGATGCCTTTTAGCGGGCAAAAAAAAAATCAAGTGCTGCTAATTCTCCCATCGAAAGTAAAAACTTAGTTTCCGTAAGGATGAAAATCGATTACTTTCGACAGCAGAAAAATTTTCAATTTTTCACGAAAAAAACATTTTTTTTTTAATCTGTAACAGCTATATTTTTCTCCAGAACTGCGAAAATTTTTTTGCTATTTTAGTGAAATATATCGCTGTGAAGTTTTTTTTTTTGCATGTATAGAAAACGAAAAAGTCGAATTTCAGTCGTTTTTTTTTTTTTTTTTTTGTTTTAAGTTAGGAATCCAGAACTAATTGCTGACGATGATGGGCGTGGAATGTCATATACGCAACAAGCGAGCAATTAATATTTCTAGTCGTGAACCTTGGGGTCTGAAAAAGGGTCGCCCCTTAGAAATTTAAACACTGTTGGAGAATTTTGGTAAACCATCTTATCTTGATGGACGATCTGAACCGAATTTTGTTATGTGTGTGCAATCTTCTACAAGGGTATATAGACATAAGAAAATAGTGTCGCACTTTTAATATTAGGAAACAAAACCCCGACGCGCATACGACTTCCAGTGAAACCGGAACTCCAACTCATACTTTATGTATCTTCCACCCATGCAAACCTCCTACCTTCTTCATATATAAACATATATATATATATATATATGTACATCTGAAATGACTTCCGTCCTGTCACAATATAGAAGAGCACGCGAGTGCTTTTCATTGATATGGTAATAATCTTATCTGATTTTTGAAGTCGGAGAATTTTCAATTATATGGCATTTACATTTTCGTTAGAAGCAAGGAAATGTATGCTCTCGAGTGATTATCACTTTTCGAGTGATATTTTAAGAAATTTATCTCGAAATTTATACTTTTTCAAATAGCATTACAATATAATTTCAAAAATTGAAAAACAAAATTTTGTAGAAATAAATATAGCTAAATATATAGCTGTTTCAGATAAAAATTTTTTACGTAGATTTTGACCATTTTTAACCCCTTAACTGCCATGGTAAAGATTTAACGGCCAAAATTTTTCCCATTGGTAGCTAAAGGGTTAAAATATTTAAAAATATCTTAAATCGATTGTAAAATGGCATCTTTAATAGCTTAAAAGTTATTTAATTTACAAAAAAAAAAATAAGTTTTAAGCCATTAAAGATGCCATTTTAGAATTTGGTATACAAAATTTATGCTCGATTTACACTGCAAAAAGAAGTATCTTATTTTAAGATGTTTTGGTAGCGTTCTTAAGACATCTTAAACATCTTAATGTCTTAAAAACGCTACCAAAACATCTTAAAATAAGATACTTCTTTTTGCAGTGTTTAAGCAATTTTTAAATATTTTAACTCTTTAGCTGCCGATGACAAAGATTTTAGCTGTTAAATCTTTACCATGGCAGTTAAGGTGTTAAAAATGGTCAAAATCTACGTAAAATTGATTTAAAATTTTGTTTAAAAATTTTTCAAGTTAAAATTATTTCGTTCAAATAAACATTTACTTGGTTCAAATAAACATTTGTTTGATAATAATCAAGTAACTGATTATTTAAATAAAATTTCTTTTTTTTTCATTGCAGTAATAATTTACAATATATGCAAAATAGTGTTTCAATTTTCAGCATATTTTCAAAGAAAGGAAGTAATTTATTCATTTCCGTTAAAACAGACTAAGTTTTGTTGTTATTTTTGTTAATCAAAACCTTCCGGTTGTTTGAAATATATTAAAAAATTGGCGACGAGAGTTCCATGGGCGGTCGCCCCAGACGCAATCCGGATATACAACGGCGAGCTGTTGTGCATTATTTTGCCTTTTGGGGAAAAAGGTTTTCATTTTCCGACACTGACCACGTGCCAACCATGTGCTTGAAAAATTATTGACTATACAATCTCTCTCTCTCTCTCTCTCTCTCTCTTTCTTTCTTTCTCTCTTGTAACGTTGTAACTGATCGTATTCTTTGACACGAATCGTCCTTGTACAACTGCCCAATATACAAAATTCATATATACAGTAGACTCTCACAAACTGTCCCAAGTGAAATTTTCGACATTCAGTAACTGTCCCTTCCGTTATGCCACGCCTACAAAAGTAGGTAGTGGGAATTGCAGGATCGTATCTTGTCTATTTGCGTTCTATAGATACAAAGGTTCTAATAAAATGTTTCGAAACATAGGTAAATATACAATATACATAAAACTATAAATAAAATAATTTTAACAAATTTTAAAAGATTCAGTTGTAGAACTTTCAAAATACATTATTTTGCCCAAAAATTTGTTGTTATATAATAATTATTTGACATTTTATATTTATTGTTCAAAGTAGGTGAACAATTACATATAATTTTTATTGAATTCTTACAAACAATAGCTGATATGACCCTTTAAAAGATTTTTTACAATTCTGTACGTTGAATTTTTTTAAAAATATTTTGTTCATAAGTTAAGAAAAATAAAATTTTAGTTCTGTTAACAATTTTTTAGCTTGACGTTGTGTTAATGGGTTGAACCTCTTTAATGTTTAAAAAAAATTATATATCATTCAAATTAAAAAGGTTAAATAAATTAAATATTATTATTATTAATGTACATGAAATAAATAATATTTTAATATTTATATTAATATTATTAATATATGTATATTAAATATATAAGTTTTAAATAAAATTTTCTAAGACAGAGATCCCCCTTGAATTTTTACTCCGTTTCGGCTCTGGCAGCTCGCACTTTTGGCCAAGGAAAGGGAATACGAAAAGTGGGGAGCGGGACAGTTTCTGAATGTCGGTCAGAGACAGTTTCTGAATGTGGACAATTTGCGGGAGTGACAGTTTGTGAGAGTCTACTGTATATATATTCTAACCCTGATGCTTATCCAATTGTTAAAAATATTTCTCACAATAACATTTCTGCTCCATCTGGCCAATGTTTTTTTTTTTCTTTTATACAATAATAATTTTTCGCATCGCTGTCATAAAAAAAGGGTCTTGGTCGATTGTAAAATTTTCATATTTATTACTGCACTTCATTTTTTTTATAAAACTTCAAAATAATTTTTATTGCATTTTGGATTTTTATTTTTAATATGGACAAATCTACAGAGGACGATTTTATGTTACTTTTGATTTTAAATATTTTAGATTATATTTTATAATCTTTTTTCTGTAAATTTTGAAGTTGGTTTTTTTTTTCGTTAGATTTTGTATTGACTGTAAATTTTGACATAGATATGCGTGAAAAAAAAGAAGAAGAAGAAGAAGAAGAAGAGAAGAAGCAGGAAACTTTTTTGAGGGACCAATAACTTTGGAATGTTGGTTGGCACGTCGATAGAATTTGCCGTCTAAAAGATCTTCGCCAGCGGTGGCCTGTGGCGGCCCTATCCTTAAGACAAAGAAAAGTAGTTTCAGGCGCCACTCCAAGACTATGTCTATCCGTTTGTTCGTCCACTTCAGTGGGCCCCCAAAAAAAAAAAAGAGATTTGGGACCAACCGTCAATATATGTGGGACCCCCTGTAGCTTCGTCAAAAAAGTACCCTTTAAATCAAGAAGAATACTTTTTTTTCCTTTATATATTTCAGTTTTTCTAATTTTAGTAATATAGATTTTAATTTTTTCTAATTTTTGATTCGATCAACGACAATTAAATTAACCGAAATTTTTTTTTTAAATGCAAAAAATACGCGAATACAAAGAAAGTTTAAAAAGCGCGAATATCGAATTTAACAAATCGTAAACCAATTTTTACGATAAAACATGAGGGTATTTCGATTATAGAGGTTTTTAAAAAGAAACGTGGCAGATCCGGCGTAGTCTTATCTCAAAAGGAGAATGTAGAAGCTAATTAAGAGGAGATTCACATTTGGCCATACTTTCAAAAGTACCGACGCCGACTTAAGAATTCATTTGATTTTTTTTTTTTCTCTCATTACAATTCACCGAAATTTTCATTTCCCCGAAACCAACGCTTAAACGTAGCCGAAAAAAACGTAATTCTAAAATGAATATTAATATTTAGAATTACATTTTTCTAAATTTAAGAATACTTTCTTAATATTAATTACGCTTTTTCGATGATGCTATGTTCAAAGTAAAAACCTAGTAAGTCGACTTTTCCATAAGTTCGAAAGTCGATGGATAAAACCAAGCGATTTTCACCCTTTAGGGAAAAGCTAAGACTTTACTTTGGACAGCACACGGAGAAAAATGAGTTTGCTATTATATGGATAGTTAATTTTTAGCTACAGTAGCTAATATTTAGCTGTTACAGCAAACTATTTTAGCTATAGTAGCTAATTTTTAGCTGTATTAGCTAACGAAAATTGCTGTCCATATAATAACAAATAGGGTTAGCTAAAATAGCTAAATTTTAGCTAACTTTTTTTCTCCGTGCAGAAATAAACAATCTTTTTTTTTACTCTTTTTTCTCTTTGCCTTTCTTACAGGTGATTTTTCTTTTTTTCTTTTTTTTTTTTGCGGCAATGACGATGACGGCAAAAATCAAAGGCAAAAAAAGAATTGAAAAATAAACAAGATGTACACAAAATAAGAGTGAAGTGCTTTGACGGCGCTTAGTCGCGCAACGTTGATTTAGATGAATACGCGCATCGAAAGGTATCGCTTCCCGGTTTAACGAGCTCAGTTTAGGTGTGTGTGTGTGTGTATGTCTAGGCATCTAGAGGATTATTATTTGGTCCTATATATGCTTTCAACAAGTGCCGACCGGATGCTGATCACCAGACAGTAAATTGGCGACAGTTTTTCATAAAAGTAAAAGAAAAATTCAGAAAACAAAAAGAACCGATAAACGCAGTGAAGAAAGAATACATGGAAAAAAATATTCACTTGGACCATAGCGATAAGTTTCTCTAAAACAGCGATATATTTAACTAAAACAGCGATATATTTCTCTAAATCAACGAAAGTTTTCTCTATTCTAGAAAAATATATCGCTGTTTCAGATAAAGATTTTTTTTTCCGTTTTAAGAATATATTCTAGGATATTAATCTATATTTGCCGATTTATGGGAAAATATTCTAAAATCAAGTATAGAATATTCTTAAAACAGAAAAAAAATATTTATCTGGAACAGCGATATATTTTTCTAGAATAGCGAAAACTTTCGTTGATTTAGAGAAATATATCGCTGTTTTAGAGAAACTTATAGCTGCGGTCCAAGTGAAAATTTTTTTCCATGTATTTTTTTATTATGAATCAACATTGCAACTATAAATATCTTCTTTCTTCAGTAATCATTCAGACAAAAATATGTTTTTCATTAAATTTTTAAAAATAAAAAAATTTTTTTTTTTAATAACTCACCGTCCACTTTTTGTGATGATCATTTCGGTATTCTCGCCATGGAATTTGGACCAAAGTTTACGATTTTGTAGTTCAACTTTGACGTCTTCATTTAATAGTGGACCACTACCGAGACTTGATTGTGGATACCAAAAATTTTGTCCGGGGAATTGTTCTGTAAATTTTAATATAAATAAAAATTATTAATTACAGAAATTATTGATAAGAAAGACAGACAATACCCTAATAACACAAGATATCTTGGGATATATTGATAATATCCCGCAGATATCCTAGGGATGTCCTATGGATATCAAAAGGATCTCTTAAGGATATCCAAAAAATCGGCGGTTTGGATATCCACAGGATATCTCTATAGACTTTCATGAATGTCCTCCAGATATCCCATAGATATCGTCAGGATATCCAACAGATATCATCAGGATATCCCATAGATATCCTGCGATATAATATCCAATAGATATTTTCTGGATGTCTTAGGGATATCCTATGGATGTCCAGTTGACGTCCCACAGACCTGCAGTTTGGATATCCTATGGACATCTCAAAATATCCTGGGAACCATTCTAGGATATCGACCATTGATATGGATATTCTTTTGTTATGAGGGTAATGTTTAAAGTTCATTTAAATTAAGTGTTAAAAAAAGAATTTATACAAGCGTCGATTTCTGCTTTTTCAAAGCGACTATATAAAACAACTTAAATCTTTGAAAAAAAAATATTAAAACAAAAATTTTCGCCTTTTTATATTTTCTAAAAATTGGAAACTATTGCGATCTCTGCTTTTTCAATCGACTATAAAATGGTTTAAATCTTAAAGAAATAGGGTAAGTGCATCAATTACGGCGCGTTCATAAAAAATAACTATAATTTTTAATAGGGTAAGTGCATCAATTACGGCGTGTTCATAAAAAATAAATATTATATTTAATGTATAACTTGCAAAATGATTTAAAAAAATTATTTTAATCATTTTTTTTTTTTTTGATACAATTACTTAATAAAGATGCACATTTAAACAATATTATTAATTTAATTATTTGAAATCAAATTTTTTCCCTCGCTGTAATTGAAACATTTTTAAGATTTCCATATTGGCTCCAATTACGGTGGGCAAAATATCTTCATAAAATACACGTAATTTTTGATCACCGTAATTGATACACCGAAACTGATACAAACGCGCCGTAATAGAAAATTACGGTATTAGTTTATTTTTCATATTTTTTTTAAATAATCGATTTTTATAAAGTTAAATTTCTTTTTAATATCTAACATAACCTTTTAGTCTAATATGTCTTTAATATAAATGTCGAATTTTCTATTTCAAAGATGCCTTGACTCGAATCGCACCGTAATTAGTACATTTACCCAATTAAAACTAAAAATTTTTATTTATCTAAAAAGTAATAAAATTCTGAAAGAAACGACACCTTGACAAAGAGAATACGTTAATTTTTTCTATTATCTAAGAAAAACACGATTTTTAGTGTTTTTTATCTATTTTTTTTTTATTTCTCTGGCTAAAATTAATATTTTTAAACTTTTTTTTGACTCATTGGAATGGTATTTTGTTATACAATTCAAATTATTTAAAACAATTCATGTGCAAATTCTTCTTTAAAGTACATGCAAGCTGTAAAAGTTAGGTGTAAATGTACGCCATAAACTAATAAAACTATTATAGAAGTGTCACTGACTTTTCAAAATGTCGCGTCAAACCGGAAGAACTTTAATTAAAGTCTTGGCCTACACTTTTTTTTATCCTTTTCTAACGCACATGTTGTCATGGCAACCGAAAAGGACAAAAAACTTCACGCACGGTTGCCATGACAACAAGTGCGTTAGAAAAGGACAAAAAAGTGTAAGCCACGAATATGTACACTCTCAAATAATAAATTAATTATTAAAATAAATACAGGCATAAAAATTTATAATATTAATAGTTTGGATTGTAGAAATTTTGGGGGAAAAAAAAATATTTTTATTATAAAATATAAAAAAAAGGAATATAAAATTCCTTTTTTTTTTTTTTTTGGTGGGAATATTTTATGCCGGTGGATTTTTCCACATCAAACGAACCGCTCTCAAGTGAACCGGACAATCGTTATCTGCTATAGCCGTAAAAGAGGAAGAAGGACCCAAGAAGAGAACTGTCTCCTAATGTCCCCCCCCCCACCTCCTTCTCACCCTAACAATGCCAATTATCCCTGTAGGATAATGCGGCGTCCAAGGAACCGTGTGTATCACCACAAGCACTCGGCGCCGAGGGAGAAAAAAAAGGAGAGGCAAGTGCAGCATCCATTCATGCGCTATATTTTTTTTTTTTTTTTTTTGCTCCGCAAGCACCATGAAGAGTCTTGCCGCCAGGACATCTCTCTATTCGTGGTCCATCATCCGTGGTCCTTTCAACGATACCGCTGTTACTAATCCTAATGTCGTCACCTCTCTCTCTCTCTCTCTCTCTATATATATATATATATATATATATATATATATATATATAGACGCGGGAGAACGCTTTACTACTTTTTTTTTTCTTTCTTTTCAAATATGTTTTTTTTTCCTCTTCTCGATAATGTTGTAACACTGTCGCGTGCTTCTATTTTTAAATTTTTTAAATCGCGATGAGTTTATTTGCGATATTAATTGTAAAATTAGGTTATGTTTACATGCGGGCGTTGGACAATGAGTGCAACAAGGATGAAAGTATATGTCTGTCTTTCTCTATCTCACTGGTCTTGACGCAAAACGTAGTCTTGTAAACACAGTCTAAGGCTGCAGTCTCATGGCAGCGTTTTGCGTTTTGTCACTAGACCATGAGTGTAAACATAGCAAACATATATCTGCATCTCTTTTACACTCATGATGGTCTAGTGACAAAACGCAACGCAAAACGTTGCCATGGGACTGCAGCCTTATATTTTTTAAAGTTGATACTGTACCAATTTTCATAAATTATTTTGACGGCATTTTGAAAATTCGTAACATTTCTATAATAATTTTATAGTTCATGGCGTATGGTGTGAAGGTCAACGCAAAGTAGAAACGTAAAGGCCAACGCACAATAAAAACGTAAACGCAACTGAGTTAGAGAAGGACAAACAATTTGTCTATCCTTCTCTAACTCATTCTTCCGGTTGCGTTTTTGGTTATGTTTCTATTTTGCCTTGACCTTAACCAATATTATGCATAATATGATTATTAATAATAATAATAATAATAATAATAATAATAATAATAATAATGCAAATACAAACATAATGCAAACTGTGTACTTAGTAAATTTTCTTGCATATCATACAAAAGCAAATAGTGTTTGGTAGTACCAAAAACTGACGGTAGAGCACGTGCAAAATAAAGTATTCTGCTTTGTTAAATTATTGTTAAATATGTGAAATATATTTTTTTTTGTATAACCGGAAATTGTTGAGGAAAAATTTGAGAAATGTCATATAAAAATAACGATTAATATTATTATTGTTAACGTGAATAGTAACTAATTGGCCCCCGAAAAAGACGTATATATATATATATATATATAAGATTTATCAATAATGGGAGTTATCCTCGGTTTGTCAGGTTTGGCGCCAGACGTGAAAAAGCAGGTCCTCTATAGCAGACGGGTGTCTGGCGTGACGTTGCGTATGAGTATTAGGGGGGGGGGGTAGAGGAAGAAAAAAGATTCAGTGTGTGTAATCAGTAATCACAAAACAGGCCCATCTTCATTTTTTTTTCTCATCCGAGAGCAAACCAGGGCAGATGCCCGGCCCCTTTTGTCCGGAAACCACACAGTATTTTTTTTTTCCCCTATGTATTATTTAAAGGGGTGGGGACCAACCACAACTATACTACGCATACACAAGTCTGCTTTTTTAAGGCTGCTTCCACAATAAATAGCTAAATCACATATTGTTTTTTGAAAACGAGATTCAATTTCAGCTTTTAATTATTATTTTATTATTAAAATTATTATTATTATTAAAAAAACATTTTTTTCTATTTTAAATATTATTGAAATTATCAAAAAAAAAAAAAAAATTATAATTATAAATAGAAAAAAGAAAATAAAAATTTTACATTCTTTCAAAATAAAATGTTTTTTTAATTTTTTCTCCACAATTGGCAATGAATGTGCGCGCGTCGTCTGCTAAAAAAAATGCGAATTAAAGGCCTGAGCAGAATAGTAACGTAACCGGAATCGTAATCGTAAACACAACCGGAAGAATAAATTAGAGAAGGACAAACAATCTATCTATCCTTCTCTAACTCATTCTTCCGGTTGCGTTTACGATTACGATTCCGGTTACGTTTCTATTCTGCTCAGGCCTTTAGCTATTGTGGAAGTAGCGTAATATTCACTTGCGCTGTTCTTCCGGTTTGATGCGGTATTTTGAAAAGTCGTGACACTTCTATAATAATTTTATTAGGGGCGCAAAGACTTTTTGTGTCGATATATATTAGAAACTTTTTATCAAGGAAAAACTATTACTAAACATAACCTAAAACTTTGTTAACCCGCATAAATTCCCTTTTCTCGTGGATATATATTTTTTTTTAATTTTTACATTTCTGTTTAAATTATTCAAAAAAAAAAATAATTTTTTCAAAAACTGTTAAAAATTTTAAAAAATTAATACATTTTTTCAAAAAAGTAGAGTAAATGCACTATAATTACGGCGCGATTCGAGTCAAAGCATCTTTGAAATAGAAAATTCGACATTTATATTGTATAAAGTAAATTTAAGACTTATTAACCCCTTCACTGTGAGCGACCCAACGTTGGGTCGTAAAAAATAATGTGCCAATACTGTGAGCGACCCAACGTTGGGTCGTGAACATATTATCACAAAATAAATAAAATTTATTGTATTCATTGTAAATAAATTCTCCTATACAATTTTGAGGACACTATAGATATCACTGACATTAATTATTGCAATAATTAAGTAAATATTAATTAATTATTGTTAATATAACAAGAAAAAGTTTCATAAAAATTCGTCGACCCATATCAATTGAACATTTTGGGACCATTATATGATATTTTGCTCTCACACCGAAGGGGTTAAACTAAAAGGTTATGTTAGATATTAAAAAAAAAAATTAACTTTATAAAAATCGATTATTTAAACAAATATGAGAAATAAACTAATACTGTAATTTTTTCTATTACGGCGCGTTTGTATCATCAGTTTCGGTGTATCAATTACGGTGACCAAAAATTACATATATTTTGAAGATATTTTGCCCACCGTAATTGGAGCCAATATGGAAATCTTAAAAATGTTTCAATTACGGCGAGAGAGAAAATTTGATCTCAAATAATTAAATTAATAATATTGTTTAAATGTGCATCTTTATTAAGTAATTGTATCAAAAAAAAAAAGATTAAAATAATTTTTTTAAATCATTTTGCAAGTTATACATTAAATATAATATTTATTTTTATGAACACGCCGTAATTGGTGCATTTACCCTATTAAAAAATAAAGAAATTAATAAATATTTGCAAAAAAATTTTAAAAAATTTAATTTACTTATTTTCTTTTTCTAATAATAATAATAATAATAAAAACATATTTTTTAATATATATGTAAAGAAATAATTTTTGTGAGACTGACAAAAAAGAGAAAAAAAAATCGACACACGTGTTTTGATCAACCTGTCATCGGATAACAAGCTTCTTCTCTAATGATAGGGTTATGTGCTTCGGTCATTTTGAGAAAAAGAATTTCGATGACTATTTCGCCACTGTAAAATCGTGGTAAACTTCCTTCCGCAATCATATACATTTATATAATATGGGTAGCCATAAAAATCGCCAGCTCTATAATTTTAATACAACTATAAACCTCTTTTCTTTTTTTCAAAGTAAACATATTTTTTTAAAGTCCAGTATTTTAATTTAGCAGAAGCAAAAAATTTCTCAATTTTTCCCAATTTTAATTTAACAAAACATTTTTTTTTTTTAAATAATTATTTTGCAAATATTTATTTGTTACCATTTACAAATTTTTTTTACACCCAGAGAAATTATAATATATTAGTCTCAGAGCAATATAAATTCTTATTTGATTTAAATAAATTTTTATTTGATTCAAATAAAAATTTATTTGATTCAAATAAATATTTATTTGATTTAAATAAATTTTTATTTGATTCAAATAAATATTTATTTAATTTAAATAAATTTTTATTTGATTTAAATAAAAATTTGTTATTTACGCCAAATAAATAGGCTACTAGGCTGTGAGAAAAATATACCGTTTATTTAACTCAAATATATTATATTTGGTTTAAATAAAATATTTCTCTGGGTGTAACATTTGGTTAAAATAAAAACAAAAATTCATAATTTGATAAATAATTTTTATATTAGTACCCTCATAACAAAAGGATATCCATATCAATGGTCGATATCCTAGAATGGTCCCCAGGATATCTTAGGATATCCCTAGGATATCAAAACCGCCGGTCTGTGGGACATCAACAGGACATCCAAAGGATATCCACAGGATATCCCTAAGACATCCACAAAATATGTATTGAATATTATATCGCAGGATATCCATGGGATATCCTCAGGATGTCCGTGGGATATTCTTAGGATATTCACGGGATATTTAATATCTCAACATATATATTTTTAAAGGTTAAAATTGTTAAGCTAATATATAATGAATAATAATATAATAAAAACAAAAATTTTATGAGCTTCTAATTTATTTTAAATGAAGATTTGAAACGCATTTTTCAAAGTTTTTAAATAAACTCATGCACTTAATGTATAATTAATATTAATAGTTATTCGTTATTGGCAGGGAAGAATTTATATTTGTTTAAAGTCAATTTATTTTCTGACAATATTAAGCATATATGAATAAAGGAATGAATCACGAATGAGAAAAAAATTAGTTAATAATTTTTCAAATTAAACAACTTTCTCGAAAAACAAGTTGCATTTTATTTTATTTATATAAAATTTAATTCACAGAATATTCTCACTCGTATATAGTCTCATAATGACTTTAAAAACAGTATCCTGAGAATATCTTCCCCTCACAACAAAAGGATATTCAGGATATCCTTGGGACGTCCTGGGGATATCGATTTGTTTTCGGCGGTTTGGATATCCCTGGGATATCTTAGAGATGTCCATGGATATCCAGAGGATATCTTAGGGATATCCGAATCGCCAAAAGCAAATGGATATCCCCAGGACGTCCCAGGGATATCCTGAATATCCTTGTGTTGTGAGGGTCTTGACATCCAGAAGATATATACTGAGAATATCCTGAAAATATCTGTGGGATATCCTAACGATATCTGTGGGATATCTGGAGGACATTTATGAAAGTCTATAGAGATATCCAGAAAATATCATGTGGATATCCTCAGATATCCATGGGATATCCAAAGGATATCCAATCCGCCGATTTTTTGGATATCCTTAAGAGATCCTCTTGATATCCATAGGACATCCCTAGGATATTTGGGGGATATTATCAATATATCCCAAGATATCTTGTGTTATTAGGGTTATTTTTATTTTAATGAAATATTTATTTGTTTTAAAAAAAAATTCATTTGGTTGAAATGAAATTAAAATTTTTAAACGCAATTTTTTTTTTTTTTTGTTATATTATATGAAACTTGCAAAAAAAGACTCTGAATTCTAAGAAATATTGAATTTCGCGAATATGATGTACTTATCGCAATGCAATGTGATAGACATCAAAAGATGTGAAACCTACTAGAATGTGTAAAATTAGTGTCATTAACTCCCAACTTTGATGAAGACAGCTGTGTGTCAAATATATAATAATACGCGCAAGATTATTATTCTCGTAGATATTCCAATGTACATATACACATATATATATATATATATATATATTTCCATGAATTAAATTAAATTTTTTTTTTATTCACTTTTATGGTAAAAAAATATTTCTAATTTTGTATACAAATTACTTGATTTAAATAATAATAATAATAATAATAATAATAAATATAATAATAATAATTAACTTTAAAAAAAATTTTAACAATAATTTAATTATAACATTTCTTGCATATAACACAGAAAAAAAATTTATTTGATTCAAATAATCGATTACTTGACTATTAGCAAATAAATATTTACTTGAACCAAATAATTTTTTTTTTAATTAAATATATTTTATTTAAATCAATATTTTCTGTATTTAAAACAAAGACAATTTTAATTGATACAAATAATAATAATAATAATAATTTAATGCAAATAAATATTTATTTGATAATAGACAAGATTTTGTTTGGATTAAAAATATTGTCAATTTGGAAAAAAATTCAGTTCATTTTGAATTTAATATTTTTGATAATTTTGAAAAATATTTACCTCAATTAATATAAAATTATTTTCTTATTTTATAAAATATTTTACTAATATAAAAAATTATAAATAAAAATAAATAATAATAAATAAATAATAAAGTAATAAATTATAAAAAAAAAATAAAAATTTTGCTGAACCAACAAAATATATTTAATGGTATAAATGAAAATAATAATAGTAATAATAACAATAACAATAAAATAGTAATAATAATAATAATAATAATAATAATAATAATAATAATAATAATAATAATAAATAATAGTAATTAATTAATAAAAATTTACAAACCTGGACGATGATAAAAATCCTGATTGTAAATTGGATGCTGCCAACTCATTCTGGAAACCAGATTCATTTTGAGAAAAAAAAAAATAAAACAATTTTGCTTCTCTTTTTTAAAATAAAAGAAAAATTAATTTTTTTTTTGGCAAATTAAATGGTCCAAAAAAAAAAAATCACAATCACAATAAAGAAAAAAAAAACAGAAACCAAAAAAAAAATAAGATCACTGAAATTAACGCTCAACTACCACACTCGGAGATTGTGGCTCGACTGACGAAAAGTTGTAAATTAGGATTCTACAAAAGGACTTGAGGGAATATACACAAACGTGGGTGCAAGAATCTCTTGTGATCCTAGAATTCTCATTGGCTAAGTTCTAAACCACGCCCTTTAACTCATCATTGGCCAGTGAGTGAATACAACTCAAAACATGAATGGGGCTGATTTTCTTCAAAGAAATATATATACACTTATACTTGTATATTATTATATCGCTTTCATTTAAAAAAAAAAAATTGTGTTTAAATAACAAATTTTATTTTACAATACTTTTAGTATTGTTTTTATGTTTTGAAGAAAAGAAAAAATATGGTTTATTTATTTGAACCAAATAATTTTTATTTGAATTAAATAAATTGTATTTGAACCAATAATTTCTGTATTTGAAACAAATATCATTTAATTGACTCAAATATTAATTATTTGATACAAATAAATATTTATTTGATAATAGTCAAGTAATCGAGTATTAATTGAACCAAATAAATTTTTTTTTCAGTGTGTATTAATTTAATTAGAAAAATAATTTTAAAGTAAAAATGTAAATGAATAAGTTCTAAAAAAATTGTTAGAATATTCATTTAATAGAATTTTTTTTAAATATATAATTTTTCTAGAGACAAATTTTATTTGTTTGAATTATTATTTTGCAGAATTTTCATTAAAACGATTTTCTATATAGATTAGAGAATTTTTCATCTAACCGAAAATTCACTTTACAAAATTTTTATTTGTTTGAATTTTCATTTGACAGAATTTTTATTTGGTCGAATTTTTAATTAACATAATTAGCCATTTTAATGGAATTTTTATTAAGTAGAATTTCATACCAGGGAATTTTTATTTTATTCTTTAAGATAAATTTCCATTTATTTGAATTGCTTTTTGACAAAATTCCCATTGATTTTATTATGTTATAGAATTTTTGTGTAATCGAAAATTAACACAACAGATTACGTTACAATGAATAACATAACATTTGGAGACAAAAAAATACAAATTTTGGGAACAAAGGGAATAATTTTTATGAAATGACCCTAAAAAAAAAAAAAAAAAAAAAAAAACAGTTGTAACTTCCTCAAAAATAACCAGATTGTCATGAAACTTGGTAATTCTGTTCTTTGCGATAAATAACATTCTTTTATTACAGATTTGATATAAATTTAGAAAAAAAAGAATAATTCTTATGGAATGACCCCAAAAAAAAAAACCAAAAATCTGTTATAATTTCCAATCAAATTACCGGATCGTCATAAAACTTAGTAATTATATGTTCTTTACAATGAACGACATCCTTATAAGTAGAAAAATACAAATTTTGAAAAAAAGCGTATAATTATTACGGAATGACCACAAAAAAATTCAAAAAACAGTTATAACTTCTAAAAAAATTAACGAATCCTTATAAAACTTTGTATTTATGTTCTTTGCGATAAATAATATTCTTTTATTGCAGATTTATACAAATTTAGAAAAAAAAACAATAATTATTATGGAATGACCCAAAAAAAAAAAATTCGAAAAAGAATTATAACTTCCTCACGAATTACCAAATCGTCGTGAAACTTGGTAATTATGTTCTTTGCAATAAATGACATTCTTTAAAAGTGAAAAAATACAAATTTTGGAAAAAAGCGTAAAATTATTACGGAATGACCCCAAAAAAATTCAAAAAAATGATTATAACTTCTAAACAAATTAACTGATTGTTATGAAACTTGGTAGTTATATGTTCTTTGCAATGAATTACATCCTTTTAAGGTGAAAAAACTCAAATTTAGCAAAAAAAAAGAACCCAAATAATTATTACGGAATGTCCCAAAAATTTTTTTGATTTTTCATTCTGTAATAATCATGCGACTTTTTCTTCTAAATTTGCAAGAAATTGCAAGAAAAATATAACTAACAAGTTTCATGATGATCCGTTAATTTGTCCGGAAGTTAAAACTGTTTTTTTTGATTTTTTTTTTGGGGTCATTCCATAATAATAATCAGTTCTTTTTTCTAAATTTGTAAAAATCTGCAAAAAAAGGTCATTTACAAGCAAAGGATATAAATACCAAGTTTCATTACGATCCATTAATTTCTTTAGAAGTTATAATCGTTATTTGAAATTTTTTTTAAGGGTCATTCCATAATAATTATACATTTTTTTTCCTAAATTTATAAATATTTTATTAACCAGAGTATTTTTTATTTTGATTAAATCAAAAACCGATTTATTGGGTTTAATATAACAAATAAAGGTTTGCTATAATATAAAATTTTGTTAAATTATTCCAATTTGGCTAAATTATTCCAATTTGGCTAAATTAACCAAATTTGGTTAAATTTACTAAATTTTGGTCTGATCAAATTGCTTTGTGTAAAAAAAAGCTAAACCCTAATAACACAAGATATTTTGGGATATATTGATATTATCCCGCAGATATCCTAGGGATGTCCTATGGATATCAAAAGGATCTCTTAAGGATATCCAAAAAATCGGCGGTTTGGATATCCTTTGGATATCCCATGGATATCTGAGGATATCCACAGGATATCTTCTGGATATCTCTATAGACTTTCATAAATGTCCTCCAGATATCCCATAGATATCGTCAGGATATCCCACAGATATTTTCAGGATATCCTTAGTATATCTTCTGGATGTCAAGAAGATATTCTCAGGATACTGTTTTTAAAGTCATTATGAGACTATATACGAGTGAGAATATTCTGTGAATTAAATTTTATATAAATAAAATAAAATGCAACTTGTTTTTCGAGAAAGTTGTTTAATTTAAAAAATTATTAACTAATTTTTTTCTCATTCGTGATTCATTCCTTTATTCATATGCCTATAATATTGTCAGAAAATAAATTGACTTTAAACAAATATAAATTCTTCCCCGCAAATAACGAATAACTATTAATATTAATTATACATTAAGTGCATGAGTTTATTTAAAAACTTTGAAAAATGCGTTTCAAATCTTCATTTAAAATAAATTAGAAGCTTATAAGATTTTTGTTTTTATTATATTATTATTCATTATATATTAGCTTAACAATTTTAACCTTTAAAAATATATGTTGAGATATTAAATATCCCGTGAATATCCTAAGAATATCCCATGAATATCCTGAGGATATACCACGGACATCCTGAGGATATCCCATGGATATCCTGCGATATAATATCCAATAGATATTTTGTGGATGTCTTAGGGATATCCTGTGGATATCCTATAAATGTCATGTTGATGTCCCACAGACCGGATACCCTAGGGATATCCTATGGATATCCCAAGATATCCTGGGGACCATTCTAGGATATCGATCATTGATATGGATATCCTATGGATATCCTAGGGATATCCTTTTGTTATGAGGGAATGTACCAAATTTTGTTTGATTGTAAAAAAATTCTGTTTCCAAAATAGCGATAACAAAATACGGGTTAATTAAACGAAAATTTGGCTTAATTAATAATCAAATAAATGTTGATTCATCCAAAATTTGATTATTAATTTAACCAAAAATTGATTCCTTCAATAAAAAATTGGTTTAGTAATAAATAAAATCAAAAAATAAACACATATAAATTCGTCTAAAAATTATAAAAATTCATATTTTTGTTAAAAACTGGTAAAAAAAACTAAAGAGGGTTATTTAAAAAAAAGTAAAAAAAAAAAAAAAAATGAAACGAAGGAAAATGAATAAAAAGAAAAAAAAAATTGGGGTCGACTGTGAATGCACGCCCTTGAAAAATTATGAGGTGCGCATCTGCAACCATTAAAAGTGTCATCTTATCACAGGTATAAAGAGGTATACACAGCAAACATACGCACATATATATATATATTCATGAGACAGTCGTCGGGTCCTAGGTCATCGAAAAAGGTAAATATATCCCTTTTAAATTTTTTTTTTTTTTTTTTTTTTTTTTTCCCAAAAGACAAAATTTTTACCGACTTTGATGCCAATCGACATAATATTCTCCTCTGTGTCGCTTTGACGTTAATTTTCGTTAATTATATCCCCATAGTTTTTAGAGCTGGATGCGTATATATCGCAGCCCCTTTCGTCGCATATAAGAAGCATGCGATTTTCGGACTCAGTACCACACCACGACACGACGACCTTTTTTCCTTAAGTACCCGCAATTAGATAGCTCTCGTCAAGTGACGCGTGTGCAAGAAATATGTATATATATATATATATATAGGGAAAGGGAAAACCGAGTCGAATTATAAGTTTTACGGTTCGTTTCCGTTTGTCAAATATATATGACAGAGGAGTTTATATTCTCTCAAGTCAATTATCAGATAAGAGACGAATCTGAAAAATTATACCTAAAAACAAAAAAAAAAGAGGAGAAAATTTTTTTTTATAAATCTTTTGCAAGATTTTTGACAAAAATTTATGCCTTGGATTGCACAATTTTTTCTACGGCTTTTTCTCAATTATATTTTTTTAAATGCGATTTTTTTCGATTTTATTTTAACTAATTTAATTTAATTTATTTTTTTAACCCTTAACTGGCATCATGGGTCCAGTAGATCCGAGCATTTTTTTCTCGCTCAAATTAATTGAATGTATTTGAATATTTTTTATATTTTAATATACTAGTTTCGACATATTTTTAGTCCTTTCTATACTAACGACTATATTCTAAAAAAAAGAAAAAAGTTTTTATTGAAAACCTCAAAAGACAAAAAAACATATTCTACATACTTCTTTTACAACAATCAAGTGAAATGATTTCAAATAAAATTTTAATCTACACAGTGTGTTGGACATTTAAAGGAATTTTAGTGTAAAATTTAGAAAAAAAAAATAATTTTTGAAAACCTGAAAAGACAAAAAAAATTTTTAGATCCTTTCTTTAACCCTTATTAATACCATGCGGGTCCAGTTAACCCGAGAATTTTTAATTTAAAACGTTTTTAAAATTTAATTATAGTTCTAAAATTTTCAAAACAAAACTTTTTTTATTCAAATTCAAAATCACTTATTATGTAATATTCAATTATTTTCCAAAAAATTTAATTTAAGATCTTCTAAAATTTAATTTTGTCTAAAATTTTTAAAACAAAACTTTCTTATTTCAATTCAAAATCACTTATTGTAACATTCAATTATTTTCAAAAAATTTAATTTAAAACCTTCTAAAATTTAATTTTGTCTAAAATTTATTCAAAATAAAAAACTTTTTCAAATTGAATTATTTCTAAAAATTTGCAATTATAAATTTTTTCAAAATTTAATTATTTTTTATTGATTTTTATATAATATTCTCTGAAAATTCAATTGAATCGTGAATTTCGAAAAGGGCTCAACTCTAAAAAAAAATCGTAAGTGTCATTTTCGCTATCGTTTGTTATGCGAAAATGACATTTACGTTTTTTCGAGTTGAGCCCTTTTCGAAATTCACGATTCAATTATAAGAAAGGATTTTTTAATTAAAAATTTTATGAAATTCAATAATTGTTGAAAATTATTTTAAAATTTAGAAAATAATATTACTAAAAGTTTAAATTCAAAAATCACTTGAAATTCAATTATTTTTAAAAATTCAATTCATTATTGTATGAGATTTTAGATGGTTTTAAATAAAAAAATTTTTTTAATAATTTTAATTTCATAAGTGATTTTAAATTGAAATTATTCAAAAATAATTGAATTTAAATTTATGATAATTGAATTTTTGAAAAATTTCATTAAAAATATAGAAAATATAATAATAATGTAGAGAAGAATAATTTTAGTTTGAATTTTTTTTTTTTTTTAATAATTAAAATAAAAAAAAATGTTTAGTTGAAACGTTTGTAAAATTTATTTCTAAAAAAAGCAGGTTTCACACTTACTAAAAATTTAAAGGTGTTTTTATACTCGCATTAACTTCTCATTTATTTGAAAATTTATAACCTCTACGAGTATATATATATATATATATATATATATATATATATATATATATATTAAGTATGGAGGTAAGAATTTCACAGTTGAGTCAACGATTCAAATCTTATCTTTTTGACTACAAACTATTAAGACAATATTCTGCACCCGAGTACATTTTTTTACACAGGTACAAATTTTTTTTTTTACAGCTTCTTCCGTGAGTCATTCATATACAGAATATATTATCATTCAATATATATCTTTATTTTTATCTAAACTTTTATTTTTTTTTCTATCTATTTCTCAATTTTCACAATGACACTAAAATACTATACACAAAAGAAAAATAAAAATCAAATTAAAAAAATTTTTTTTTTTTTTTTAGAAATTTTGTAAAAGTATTTTTAAGTCGTGGAAAATATGGTAAAAAGCGAAATTTCGAATATAAGAAATACTGATCTTTATAATAATAATAATAATAATAATAATAATAATAATAATAATAATAGTAATAATAATAGTAGTAATAATAATAATAATAATAATAATAATAATAATAATAATAATAATAATAATAATAATAATAAATATAATAATAATTATAATTATTATATGTATTATTATTATTATTACCATTATTTTTGATATGATTTTCCTAAAATCTATTGCAACATTAGTAGTGGAATTTCCCTGTGTAAAAAATATAGGGCAGGTACTTTGCAAGATAATAATATACCTATATATGTATAAGCAGAACCATGTGTGTTAGAAAAAAATGCGTGCCAAATCTAAAATCGTAGCTTCTTAAATAAACTATTGTTGATGAGTTATGATTAAGAATATGGACCTGTCCTTAAAAATTTGTTATTTCAGGACGGATAAGTGTCTCAATCTAAAGCTAAACACCAGTCCTTTGGTCACAAAATGGGAATTCTCCCGCTTTTGTTTCAATAACAATATTAAAATCTTCATTTCCTTTTCGTTTCCACTCTATATAAAATTTTTTCATATATACTTTTGTAATTAATTTTATATTATTATTTTAAAATATATAATTATATAAATTTTTATTATTATTATTATTATTATTATCTGTTCTATTATATATAAATTATATTATATAATTTAATAATTATTCTATTATTATTAATTATATTATTAATTTATTAATTAATAATTAATTATTTTTATATATGTATATATTTATAATATATTTTAATATATAAAAAATTTTTTTTAATATTTTGTGTGATAAAATTTTTTTTAAAAATATGGTATGGGAAATTAACTGATATCATGTATATGTATATATAGAGGAAGATTTTTGTTTGTTTATATGTAAAGAAAAACTCTTGAATTTTTCAAGGAGCAACCGAAAGGATAATATATGTATATACTATATAAACGTCAAAGATATATGTATATATCCATGTCAGCGTCACAACTTTATGTATATCTATGTGTATGTTCACATGTGTTCGCCAAGAGTGAAAACTTTTCTCTCTTTGAGAGGAAGTTGAACTGATATGAAACATGGACTTTACGGGAGGAATAACAAAAGGCACGTGTTGCTTCAGTCGTATTGCTCATAAATGAACATAAGACCACCCAGAAAATAAATATAATGTATATTAAAAAAAAAATAAAATAATTCCAGATTTTTAAAATTAAAACTATTTAAAAAAAACAGATTTTTTATATAAGAGAATTTTTTTATAATAAAAAATTAACATCACAGATTATATTATAATTAATAACATCCTTTAAAGGCGAAAAAAATACTAACTTCGGAAAAAAAGGAAAAATTATTATGGAATGTCCCAAAAAAAAAAAAAATTCAAAAAATGGTTGTAACTTTCAAATAAATTAATGAAGCCTTATAAAATTTGGTAATTTTTTTTTCTTTGCAATTATTGACATTCTTTGAAGGCGAAAAAAATGCAAATTTTAAAAAAAGCGCATAATTAATATGGAATGACCCAAACCCCCCCCCCCAAAAAAAAATGCTTATAAATTCTAAAAAAATTAATAGGATCCTTATAAAACTTGGTATTTATATGTTTTTTGCGATAAATGACATTCTTTTATTGCAGAATTATATATGAATTTAGGAAAAAAAAGCGTATCATTATTACGGAATGACCCCAAAAAAACGTTTATAACTTCCAAACAAATTACAGGATCGTTATGAAACTTAGTAATAATTATCTTTGCAATTAATAACACTATTTAAAGGTAAAAAAATACAAATTAAAGAAAAAAGCGTAAAATTATTATGGAATGACCCCAAAAAATCCAAAAAAACGGATATAACTTCTAAAGAAATTAACGAATCCTTATAAAACTTTGTATTTATGTTCTTTGCGATAAAAAATATTATTTTATTGCAGATTTCTACAAATTTAGAAAAAAAAAGTAATTATTATGGAATGACCCAAAAAAAAAAATTCGAGAAAGAGTTATAACTTTCACACGAATTACCGAATCGTCATATGAAACTTTGTAATTATGTTCTTTGCTATGAATGTTAACATTTAAAAACGAAAAAATACAAATTTAGAAAAAAAAGCGTAGCATTATTACGGAATGACCCCAAAAAAATCCAAAAAACGGTTATAACTTCTAAACAACTTACCGGATCGTTATGAAACTTAGTAATAATTATGTTTGCAATTGATAACACTATTTAAAGGCAAAAAATACAAATTAAAGAAAAAAGCGTAAAATTATTACGGAATGACCCCAAAAAAATCCAAAAAACGTTTTTAATTTCGAAATAAATTAAAAGATAGTTATGATACTTGGTAATTATGAACTTTGCTATCAGTAACACCGTTTAAACGTAACAAAAATCAAATTTAGAAAAAAAAAACCATAAAATTAATACGAAATGACCCAAAAAAAAAACTTAAAAAACGCTAATAATATTCTTTGCTTTAAATAGCACCCTTTAAAGGCAGAAAAACAGATTTTGGTAAAAAAATGCAAAAAAAATATTACGGAATGACCCAAAAAAAATCCAAAAAACGGTTATAACTTCCAAACAAATTTTCGGATTGTTATAAAAACTTAGTAATAATTATCTTTGCAATTCATAACACTATTTAAAAGCAAACAATTACAAATTAAAGGAAAAAGCGTAAAATTATTACGGAATGACCCCAAAAAAATCCAAAAAACGGTTATAAGTTCTAAAGAAATTAACGGATCCTTATGAAACTTCGTATTTATGTTCTTTGCGATAAATAATATTATTTTATTGCAGATTTATACAAATTTAGAAAAAAAAACAATAATTATTATGGAATGACCCAAAAAAAAAAAATTCGAGAAAGAGTTATAACTTCCACACGAATTACCAAATCGTCGTGAAACTTGGTAATTATGTTCTTTGCAATATGTGACATCCTTTGAAGGTGAAAAAATTCAAATTTTGGAAAAAAAGTGTAAAATTATTACGGAATGACCCCAAAAAAATCCAAAAAAACGTTTATAACTTCCAAACAAATTACCGTATCGTTATGAAACTTAGTAATAATTATCATTGCAATTAATAACACTATTTAAAAGCAAAAAAATACAAATTACAGAAAAAACTGTAAAATTATTACGGAATGTCCCCAAAAAAATCCAAAAAGGGTTATAACTTCTAAAAAAATTAACGAATCCTTATAAAACTTTGTAATTATGATCTTTACGTTTCATAACGATACGATAATTTGATTAAAAGTTATATCTGATTTTTGGATTTTTTTGGGGTCATTCCATAATAATTATGCGCTTTTTCCAAAATCTATAGTTTTTCGACGTTCAAGGATTTCGTTCATCGCAAAGATAAGAATTACAAAGTTTCATAAGGAAGCGTTAATTTTTGTTGAAGTTATAATCATTGTTTGAATTTTTTTTTTTTTGGGACATTCCATAATAATTTTTCTAATTTTTGTATAAATTTGTATTTTTTTTTTGCCTTTAGAAGATGTCATTCATTGCAAAGAACATAATTAGCTAGTTTCATGACGATTCGTTAATTTGATTTGAAGTTATAGCCGTTTTTTGAATTTTTTTGGGGTCGTTCCGTAACAAATTTACACTTTTTTTTTTTTTTTACTAAATTTGTATGAATCTGTAATAAATGAATGTAATTTATTGCAAGTAACATAATTACCAAGTTTCATGATGATCCGTTAATTAGTCTGGAAATTTCCACTTTTTTTTTTGGGGGGTCATTCCATAATAATTGTCCGTTATTTTTCCTAAATTTGTAAAAATTTGCAATAAAATAATGTCATTTACCGCAAAGGATATAAATACCAAGTTTCATAAGGATCCATTAATTTCTTTAGAAGTTATAATTGTTTTTTGAAATTTTTTTTAAGGGTCATTCCATAAAAATTATACATTTTTTTCCTAAATTTGTATAAATCTGCAATAAAAAAAAATGCCATCTATCGTAAAGAAGATAATTTTTAAGTTTCACAAGGATTTGTTAATTTCTTTAAAAGTTATAACCGTTTTTTTTTTTTGGTCATTCCATAATAATTTCTCTCCTTTTTTCCAAAAATTTGTAATTTTCCGCCCTTAAAGGATGTCATTCATTCTAAAGTAATCTGTGATGTTAATTATCGATTATATAAAAATTCTGTAATATAAAAAATCGGTTTAATGGAAAATTGTGTTAAAAATTAATTCCTACAAATGAAAATTCATCTAAAAGAATAAAATAAAAAAATTTGTCTGCAATGAAATTCTACCTAATAAAAATTCACTAAAATGGCTATTATGTTAAATGAAAATTCTAGTAAATTAAAATACTGTGAAAATTAATTTTTGGTTATATAAAAAAATTCTCTAATAAAGTAATTCGGCTCGCAATGAAAATTATAATTCTATTAAATGAAAATTCTAACGATTTTTAAAACTTATTTATGCCTTTCATTTTTTTTTTTGCAACACATTTTGAAAATCAAATTTTGTAAAATTCAACCATTTAGAAATTATTATTGTATATAGATATAATTAAGATTATAGAAACTTGAAAATTTGAACAATTGAAATTTTTGTAGATGTGAAAAAAAAGATACGAGGCATAATTATATAAATACAACACATGGACCATCTGATATTGGAAACTTAAATGCAATTTGTGCGAGAAACTTTGTTTGTTACACTGTATTAATTGTAATCCCATTGTCATTAATTGTCAATTGGATTGCCATTAGGGCAATGAATGTAAAAACTTATCTCCCGCTGTTAGAACACAAAAATAACCGCCATTATTCTCATTAAAAATTTGCCAAGTTTGTAAGTGAAACCGAGCAAATTTTTAAGGGGATTAAATTTTGACTGGACACAGAGAGAAACTATTTCTGTAATGGATATCCTTCCTACCTAGCAGCTAATACAAAAGGAAATCTCAAGAACATTTTTGACAAAATTTCCTTTTTTTTTTTCCTTTTGCGGCCATTTAAAAGAATACATAATATTATAAACGGTTCATAAATCTGACCTGAGGAGACGCTTCTCTCTTCCATAGCCATCTCTTGGGCTTATCTCTCCTTCATTCTCTCTCTCTCTCCCTCGTTTTTCAAAAAAAAAAAGAAAAAGTTCTCCATCAAAAATTTAATTTTGACTATTTTTATATCCTGAAAACAGAAATTATGTTTTAATTAAAAAAATTTAGGGAGAAAGGATTTATTTGGAAATAAATAACAATATCAACATATTTTTAGAGCATTGTTCACTTTATGATCATCAATATCACATTATACACAACAAAGTTTTATTTAAAGAGAAAATAGTCATGTGATAAATAAATTTTACGCTCAAGAAAAATCATTGTTAAATTATCAATTTTAATTTTTTTTTCTTTTTTCTCCCAAAATCGAGTGTTGTCTTTTCACGTCAATCTTTTTATTTTTTATCCAGTTATTTATTTATTTATTTATTTTTTTTTTTGAATCAAATTTTTAATCAATTTCAAATGAATTAATTAATAGAACAAATTTTAATTTCTAGATTAATTTTAATTGGATTTTAAATCTTTATTTTAAATCAATTATAAATTAAAATAGATTGAAAATACTGAAAAACATTGAAAATATTTTATAGTGAGATTTTGAAAAATTTTGTTTTTTCCTATAACAACTTTTTTACTAAAGAAGTTCACATTCCAGTTTTACTAGTGACAATAAAACTAATTTTTGTAGATTTCTACTGTTTTTCATTTTTTTTTTTTTTTTTTTTTTTGAACCGTTACACATTTATACTACTTTTTTTTAATACAACTGCAAATGTTGACAAAATTGTAGAAATGAAAAAGTAAAAAATTTTGTTAACAAAAAATTTCCAAAAATTTCTTTTTGAAAATTACTTCTATATAGAAATGATTTTTATCTCAGAAAAAAGATTTTTGATTATTTACAATCACATTTGAATTATGTAAATTATTATACTCAATTTTTAAAAATTTGGTATGAAAATCGATGGATTTTAAATTAAAAAAAAAAAAAGAGACAGAAAAATTCATTTATCGACACCACATGAGAATGGTAATTTTTTTTTTTTTTCTAAAACATTTTTCACAAAACCCACAAACTATTATAATTATTATTTTTTTTTCTTCACTGTACAACGAAAATATTTTCAAAACATTTTTGTTTTTTCATTTTAATTTTTTAATTTTTTAATTTTTTTTTTTTTGCAAATTCTGGGGCATTTTTTTTTCTCTCTCTCTCTCTCTGTGGAATTTCTTTTGCATCTTGACTCGACTAAAAAGTTTTGTGTTGGAAAAATTCTGTGAAAGGAGGGGAAATTTTTTTTTTTTTTCCTTTTCTCTGTAGAAAATTATCACGGAATGCGCACTATAAAAAAAAAAAATAGTGAACTCACACTCAAAGAAAAAAAAAAAAAAAAGAGGCGCATGATTAGCCTATAAAAATTATTAATTAGAATTTTTATTTAGATGAATTTTATTAGAAATAAAATTATTTTTTAGATGAATTTTCAATTTTTCGAAATCAGTAATTGACAGAATTTAATTTTTTTAAGAATTTTTATTCAATGAAATTTTTAGCCAGCGAATTTTTGTTTGGCAGAAAGAAATATTCCTTTAATAATTATGTTTTTTGCTATAAATAACTTTAAAGTCGAAAAAATTCAAATTTTTGAAAAAAAAGTGTAAAATTATTACGGAATGACCCAAAAAAATTCAAAAAAACGATTATAACTTCTAAAAAAATTAATGGATCGTTACTTTTCTTGGCAGTTATGTTCTTTAATGTAAATTATATACTTTAAAGGCGAAAAAACCAAATTTTTGGACAATAAGTGTAAAATTATTACGGAATGACCCCAAAAAAATCCAAAAAATGATTATAACTTCTACAGAAATTAACGAATCCTTATAAAACTTGGTAGTTATGTTCTCTGCTAAGAATAACACCAATTATAAGCGAAAAAAAAGAAATTTAGGAAAAAAAGCGTAAAATTATTACGGAATGACCCCAAAAAAGTCCAAAAAACAGTTATAACTCCGAAAGAAATTAACAGATTTTTATGAAATTTGGTAGTTATATTCTTTAATGTAAATAACATAAGTTAAAGGTGAAAAAAAATTTAGAAAACAAAATGTTTAATTATTATGGGATGACCCAAAAAAAAATCCAAAAAACGGTTACAACTTCTAAAATAATTAACGAAATATTTAAAAACTTGGAAATTATATTCTTTGCTATGAATTGCACTCTTTAGAGGTATAAAAATAAAAATTTCGAATGAAAAGCGTAAAATTATTACGGAATGACCCCAAAAAAAATCCAAAAAACGGTTATAACTCCGCAAGAAATTAACAGATTTTTATGAAATTTGGTAGTTATATTCTTTAATGTAAATAACATAAGTTAAAGGTGAAAAAAAAAAATTAGAAAACAAAATGTTAAATCATTTTGGAATGACCCCAAAAAAATCCAAAAAACGGTTACAACTTCTAAAATAATTAACGAAATATTTAAAAACTTGGAAATTATATTCTTTGTTATGAATTACACCCTTTAGAGGTATAAAAATAAAAATTTCGAATTAAAAGCATAAAATTATTACGGAATGACCCCAAAAAAATGCAAAAAAACGATTATAACTTCTAAACATATTAATGCATCATTATGAAACTTGGTAGTTATGTTTTTTAGTGTAAATGACATACTTTAAAGGCGAAAAAACAAATTTAGAAAACAAAATGTTTAATTGTTATAGAATGACATCAAAAAAAAAAAAAAAAAAAAAAAACCAAAAAACGGTTCTAACTTCTAAACTAATTAACGGATCATTATCAAAATTGATAATTATCTTCTTTTGCGACAAATGAGATTTTTTTATTCGCAGATTTGTAAAAATTTAGGAAAAAAATATTTAATTGTTACGGAATGACCCCAAAAAAGTCCAAAAAAACAGTTTTAAATTCTAAACAAATTATCGAACCGTCATGAAACTTGGTAATTATATTTTTTGCAATAAATTACATCCTTTAAAGGTGGAAAAAATACAAATTTTGGAAAAAAAGCATAAAATTATTACGGAATGACCCCAAAAAAAATCCAAAAAACGGTTATAACTCCGAAAGAAATTAATGGATCTTTATAAATCTTAGTAATTATGATCTTTACGATAAATAACATTCTTTCTGCTAGAAAGAAACAAATTGAGGAAATAGAGTGTAACATTTTTATAGAATGACCCCAAAAAAAAATCCAAAAAACAGTTATAATTTCCAAACAAATTACCGAATCGTCATGAAACTTGGTAATTATATTCTTTGCAATATGTGACATCCTTTGAAGGGGAAAAAATACAAATTTTGGAAAAAAACCTCATAATTATTATAGAATGAAAATTCGAACAAATAAAAATTTCTTTTTATTCTTTTTTTTTTGTTGACATTCCTTAATAATTATACGCTTTTTTCCCTAAATTTGTGTTTTTTCACCTTTAAAGGAGGTCATTCATTGCAAAGAATATAATTACCAAGTTTCATGACGATCCGTTAATTTGATTTGAAGTTATAGCTTTTTTTTTTTTTTTTTGAATTTTTTTGGGGTCATTCCATAACAATGATACATTTTTTTTCCTAAATTAGTATAAATCTGTAATAAAAGAATGTCATTTTTCACACAGAAAATAATTATAAAGTTTCTTAAATTTTTTTTAATTCCTTTAAAAGTTATAACCGTTTTTTGTATTTTTTTGGGGTCGTTCCGTAATAAATTTACACTTTTTTTTCCTAAATTTGAATTTTCTCGTCTTTAAAAAATGTTATTCATCGCAAAGAAAATAATTACCAAGTTTCATAACGCTTTAGTTATTTATTTAGAAGTTACAACTGTTTTTTTTGGATTTTTTTGGGGTCATTCTACAATAATTTTCCATTTTTTTAAAAAAAAAAATATTTTTTTCCCCCTTTAAAGGATTTTATTCATTGTATTGTAATCAGTGATGTTGATTTTCGATTATATAAAAATTTTTTAAATTGAAAATTCAATGTAATGGAAATTCTATCAAAATGCTAATTCGAAAATTGTTAATTCCGTCTAAAAAATAATTATTTCTAATGTAAAATTCTTTAAAATGAAAATTCTACTTAATAATTTTTATCTGATAATCATGAACCCCCCTTAAAAAAAATTATGTTCTAAAAAACAGAATTAAATTTTATCAATCCATTCATTCAATATGAAATCCTTGTGGATTAATACAAAATTCAACAATCAAGTGCTTTCAGGTGTAACAAACAATTTTTTTTTTTTTTATTCTTTTTTTTCAAAACATTGATATTTGTCGCCTTCTATATTTTGAATATCAATTTTTCTTTTTTTATAAAATACAAATATAAAAATTAGTTATATATTAAAAAAAAAAAAAAATAGAATAATTTTTAAATGCAAAAAATTCTATTATTTCTTTATTTTAAAATATGTTAGAAAAAATTCAGTAATAAAAAATTAAAGTATATTATTAAAAAAAAGCTGAAACGAAGGAAAAAATGAAATAAAACTATTCAATTCGTAGACATGCGACAAAAAAAAGTTGTTTTCCGCATTTTCGACATTTACACAGCGCCACATCTTAACAGTAAAAATTCGAGAGCGCGTTAAGATTGTTTGTCTCGCTTTACACACTTAGTTTTTAATAAAACGGATTTACCTTTTTATTTTTTTTTTTAAATTGCAAAACTCAATAAATAATTAAAGGACAATGTAATCATGGCGGAAAAAATGTTTCTGGCAATTTTTCACAATAATAAATGCGATAACAAATAAATTGTAAAAATTGCCAATAATAAAGTTTGACTAGAAATTTCATCAAGAACGTGCAATTATTATTATTATTATTATTATAATTATTATTATTATTATAATTATTATTATTATTATTCACTCCAGTGAAATTAATGTCAATTAAACGATTTTCATTTCTTAAATGATAATAATAATTAAGTGATAAAAAATCTTTAAACGTTGTTAAATCTTTAATTATAATAAATTGAGTCAAGGACACAAATTTTTCAGTCGAATATGAATTGTGAATATTTTCATTATTATTCACATTCATTAAATAATGACACATACCTGGTAAATTGTTATTTTCCATTATTAAATGATTTTCTTCATTATTAATTGTTGGATTTTCCTCAATGTTATTTGAACAATTCAATAAGCCACGTAATTTTATTAATTTATGTGCCATTGATAATGAATTACATCTGATATCATTGAATTGTTTCATTATATAGGAGGTGATAAATTTTTCATTTCGAATGGAAAAAGGACGCGTCAAGTACGAATTATGATGATGATGATGATGATGATAATTGGATTGGGGGAAATTGTTTTTCCAATTGGAAACAGAAGAGAATTGAGGATTATAAAGCCCCAGAAAATGCAATATCTCTCATGTGAGTAACGTATCGTCCAATTCCTCAATTTTGCCTTCTGGCTGCGAGAGGACCTTACGTAGAACTTTGCTGACAACATCAGTGAGGGATTCCTTCGCTCCGGCGTCAAGAAGAGCGACACAACGCTGTAAATATATATTTATTATTAGAAATAAAAAATAATTGTATTTTTCAAAAATTTGAAATAAATATGAGTCAAAAAAAATTAAATACAAAATTAATTGAAAAAAAAAAAATATTGTATTTTCATTATATTGTAAATTTGTAAGAAACTTTGGCACTTGCCTGATGTTCCTCATCGCCTTGTTTTAACCTTAAAACTGCAATGAGTGCCAATTCACTATTAGCCTTTACGTAACCATTTTTTTCCTTTGTACCATTCACCAACATTGGAAGAAGTGATTTTAACAATTCAGGTGACATTTTTTCAGACGATACATTTCGAGCAAGATGAATACAAACTCTTGCCAATAATTGTTTAACGTCATTGCTGTTGTTATTCATTGACTGAAAATAAAAAAAGAGAAATAAAATTTGCAGACCTCGGATTATATGACATTTTTGGCTATTTAAGACTTTTTTTTTCAAAAATATGACTTTTTCGACTTATTTTAATAAAATGCGACTTTTTCGACTTTTTTTTTTTTGCATTTTTTTAAAAAAAATTTTTAACAAAATACCCTTTTTTTTAGTATACAATGCAGATCTTCTTCAAATCTTCCTTATTTCAATTATTTAACAAATTTTTAATTAAAATTCTTCACTAAATTAATTATTATTTTTCTAATAATTTTAATAAAATTCTTCACAAATTCAATATTATTTTAAATTATTTTTCAATTCAAAATCAACTAAAATTCAATTATTTTACAAAATTTCAATTGAAATTCAATTACTTACAAAATTTTCAATTCAAAATCAACTAAAATTCAATTATTTTTCAAAATTTCAATTGAAATTCAATTATTTCAAAATTTTCTATACAAAATGAATTAAAATTCAATTATTTTTTAAAATTTCAATTGAAATTCATTTACATATTTTCAAATAAATTCAATTCCAAATCAATTATTTCCAAAATTTTTAATTAAAAATTACCAAAAATTCAATTATTTGCAAAGTTTTCAACTCAAAATCAACAAAAATTTAATTATTTTTAAAAAAAAATTCAATTGAAATTCAATTATTTTTTAAAATTTCAATTGAAATTCAATTATTTTCAAAATTTTCAATTCAATATCAACAAAAATTCAATTATTTTTAAAAATTTCAAATGACATTCAAATATTTTCAAAATTTTCAATTCAAAATTAATAATAATTCAATTATTTTCAAAATTTTCAATTCAATATCAACAAAAATTCAATAATTTTACAAAATTTCAAATGATATTCAATTATTTTCAAAATTTCAATTCAATTATTGTTTAAAATTTTAATTGAAATTCAATTATTTCAAAATTTTCAATACAAAATGAATTAAAATTCAATTATTTTTTAAAATTTCAATAATAATGTCAATTATTTTGAAATAAATTCAATTCCAAATCAATTATTTTCAAAATTTTCAATTCAAAATTAACGAAAATTCAATTATTTTCAAAATTTTCAATTCAAAATCAACAAAAATTCAATTATTTTTAAAAATTTCAAATGACATTCAAATATTTTCAAAATTTTCAATTCAAAATTAATAAAAATTCAATTATTTTCCAAATTTTCAATTCAATATCAACAAAAATTCAATAATTTTACAAAATTTCAAATAATATTCAATTATTTTCAAAATTTCAATTCAATTATTGTTTAAAATTTTAATTGAAATTCAATTATTTTCAGAATTTTCAATTTAATATCCACAAAAATTCAATTTTTTTTCAAAATTTCAATTGAAATTCAATTATTTTCAAAATTTCTAATTCAAAATCAACAAAAATTCAATTATTTTTAAAAATTTCAAATGACATTCAAATATTTTCAAAATTTTCAATTCAAAATTAATAATAATTCAATTATTTTCAAAATTTTTAATTCAATATCAACAAAAATTCAATAATTTTACAAAATTTCAAATGATATTCAATTATTTTCAAAATTTCAATTCAATTATTGTTTAAAATTTTAATTGAAATTCAATTATTTCAAAATTTTCAATACAAAATGAATTAAAATTCAATTATTTTTTAAAATTTCAATAATAATGTCAATTATTTTGAAATAAATTCAATTCCAAATCAATTATTTTCAAAATTTTCAATTCAAAATTAACGAAAATTCAATTATTTTCAAAATTTTCAATTCAATATCAACAAAAATTCAATTATTTTTCAAAAATTTCAAATGACATTCAAATATTTTCAAAATTTTCAATTCAAAATTAATAAAAATTCAATTATTTTCCAAATTTTCAATTCAATATCAACAAAAATTCAATAATTTTACAAAATTTCAAATAATATTCAATTATTTTCAAAATTTCAATTCAATTATTGTTTAAAATTTTAATTGAAATTCAATTATTTTCAGAATTTTCAATTTAATATCCACAAAAATTCAATTTTTTTTCAAAATTTCAATTGAAATTCAATTATTTTCAAAATTTCTAATTCAAAATCAATTATTTTCAAACTTTTCAATTCAAAATTAACAAAATTTCAATTATTTTCAAAAATTTTCAACTCAAAATCAAAAAAAATTTAATTATTCTCATAAAAATTCAATTCCAAATCAATTATTATCAAAATTTTCAATTTAAAATTAATACAAATTCAATTATTTTCAAAATTTTTAATTCAATATCAACAAAAATTTAATTATTTTTCAAAATTTCAAATGACATTCAATTATTTTCAAAATTTTCAATTCAAAATCAACTATAATTCAATTATTGTTTAAAATTTCAATTGAAATTCTATTATATTTAAAATTTTCAATTTAAAATGAACTAAAATTCAATTATATTTCAAAATTTCAATTAAAATTGAATTACTTTCAAAATTTTCAATTCAAAATCGACTAAAGTTCAATTATATTTTAAAATTTCAATTCAAAATCAGTTATTTTCAAAATTTTCAATTCAAAATCAACAAAAATTCAATTATTTTGCAAAATTTCAATTGAAATTCAATTATTTCAAAATTTTCAATTCAAAATCAACAAAAATTCAATTCCAAATCAATCATTTTCAAAATTTTTAAAAATTTCAATTTAAATACAATTATTTTCAAAAATTTCAAAGTTTTAATTACTTTAAAAAAAAAATTATCCAAAATTATTTGATAAATTGTTATCAATTCTGTAATCTAAAATTTTACATCTAAAAATTTTTAAAATATAATAATTTCAATTAAAAATCTTCTGAAATTCAATTATTTTTAATTACTATTATAATATTCTTCGAAAATTTTATTATTTTTTAAAAAAAATGTAAATTATTCTCAATTCTGTAAAATTTAATTATGGTTTGAAATTTAACAAAATTCAATTATTTTCAAAAATCTGAAATCTGTAATTCAATTATTTCAAAAAAAATTTTACTAAAACTTTTCCAAAATGCAATTATTTAAAAAAAAATTTTTATAATATTTTCAAAAGTTCAATTATCTCAAAGCAATTTTCTAATTAATAATTTTGAAATTCAATTATTGTTCGTAAATTTCTGATAAAATTATCGAAAATTTAAATTAAAAAATCAATTTTTGATGTACAATTATTTTCAAAAATATGAATTGTAAATTTTCGAGAATTTTTTTATTTTAACAACATGTTTTCTGAAATTATTTGATAAATTATTTTGAATTCTGTAAAATTTGTTGAAATTTACTAAAATCTTTTCTAATTCAATTATTTCTGAAAATTTCAACTCTTTCAAAATTCAATTACTTTTTAATAATTGTAATGTTTCTTTAAAAATGTAATTATTTAAAAAAGTTTTAAATAAAAACTCTAAAATTGAATTGTAAAAAATTTTAAAAATATACAGCAGTATAAAATTACAGAAAATTTATTTCAAATTCAAAATTTTCTTCTTCTTTTAGATATAAAAAGTTTGAAGTAAATAAAATAAATTAGGTAATAAAAAAAATGTTCAAAAAAAAAAATCACTGAGATGTGGTATATTAATTCCTTAAAACCAAAAACTATGCCAAAATTTGAAATTCTTATAAATAGCTTAAATCGTATTTTAAAAAAATTTTTAAAATGGAACAAAGAATTTTTTTTAAAAATTTTCCTACTAAAAATTTTGAAAATTTATCTTATTTTAATTGTGAAATATTCGAAATAAGTTTTCTTAATAACATTCTCATAGAATTATTCTTATTAAGGAATTGTTAAAAAAAAAAAATGATTCACAAAAATTGCAATTAGTGGAAAATTCGAGGAAATAAAAATTCTGAAATAAAAATTCAAAGACACAAAAATTTTGTGTAGTGAATTTTCGGTGATTGAAAAATTCTCTAATATAGAAAATCGGTTTAATGAAAATTATTGGAAAATAATAATTCGAACAAATAAAATTCACCTCAATGAAAATTGTATCTAATAAAATTCTATTAAATAAAAATTCCAACCAGTTTTAAAACTTTGCTTTACGTTTTTAATCCCAAATTGGATTATATAAATATGAAAGTACTGCAGAGGGGAAAAAAAACCGTAAAATCTAATTTAAAAAAAAAGAAAAAACAAAAATTTTAATCCTATGAGTCGATAACTTACCCTAACGAATGGTGTCATTATTTGCGAAGGAATTGGTAGTCCCTCAAGCATCAGATATTGAAATAGATAACCACAAGCACGCACTCCATTCATGGCAATTTGTGTTCGATCAGCGGACAAATGCGTAAGTATAACTTTACAAATACGATCTTTATTATTTTCCGTGTAAATTGTTAATGGCGATTCTTTGAGAGTGACAAAAAGTGCCGCTGAACGTCCATGTCGAAGCATCCAATCGGCATTAACATCATTTGACAATAAATTATCATTTATTGCCGATGTCAATTGATCTGGATTTAACCAACGAACAAGAGCTCCATAGCAACCAGCAACTGCACTTCTCGTCACATCCTCAGGATGCCCCAACATTCCCGTTAAAGTGACAAGCACCTGTTTCTTTAATGGTTCCGTCATTTTGTCACCGGCCGGAGTTATTACTCCACGAAGCGCCTGTAGCATTGTTTCCCTAAAAAAAAAACGTCCATTTTATTTTGTAGGAAAATGTTGCTTTTGAAAAAAAAAATTAGTCTTACCTAATTGATGGATCATCGGCGGTTTTAATTCCACTGTGTAATTCCGCAAACAAAGGATCAGTTCTCGTGTGAATAACAATAAGATTACTGAGAGCATACGCTGCCTTGAGTCTAACTTGTCGATTACTATCATTAAGTGCTTTCAAAAATGTTGTTTGTAATTGTGGTAAAAATTGTTTCAACATCACACCAACTTTTCCCAATAAAATTGCAAGTGTCTCCAAAACAGCAGCTTTCACACTCCAATTAAAACGATCGCCCAAAATTCTTATCAACGGTCCTGTAATGTGTACAACACTTGGTTGTAAAGCCGTTGCACTTGTGAGTTTAATAACTTCACCAAGACCCTGAGCCGCTTGTTCTTTAACTTCCGGTACACCATTGAGTATAGCTTCGCGGAATATTGGTAAAATAGGTGTTATTCCCTTGGGAAGACAAAAACCAGGCAACATATCTTGACCCTTAAGATCAGATGCTGCAAAACGTACCGCCTGTCTTATGTCTTGTACATAATTAATTTGCTCATGCGCTGGAACAGTCTAGAAGGAAAAATAATTTGTATGCCTTAAAAAAAACCCCCAAAAAAATATAAATACCTTTATAACAGCAGTTAGGGCCTCCCAACTCATTTGTAGAACATCTCGATCCTCATCGGTAAAAAGATGAATAAGCCCCCTTAAAAGTTGAGGAACATATTGACTGTAATCAGCCCTTGTATCACGGCAAAATGCACACAAAAGTGTTGCAGCACTTCGTCTAATTGGCGTTTCCTTTGATCTCGTTGCATCCATCAATTGATCCATCACCGTTCTTACTCCAGTTTCATCCGTAACGGATAAAATCACCGCCTGACAGTATTCCAATTCTTGCATTTCATTTGCAGTACCCTGCGAGCTAGACAACGCTGTCAAAAGTGCTGGGAGAATTTTATGAAGAAATCTCGTTAATGCTTCGCCGGCAACGCTCACCAAAATCGACAATGCCTTAGTATTAACAGGTGGCGATGTCAATTGAGGCACCAAATACGGAAGAACAACACGTGATTTAATCGCCATCACCTGACGCAAACCATCAAGTGTATTTTCCGCCTCCTCTTGATTCGAAGAATTCAATTGTACCAACATAGTCGGCAAAATATCGTCCAATGCCCTAACACCCACTGTTGTGTGTAAACTATCAAATGTTTTCGCCGCTGCTTGACGAACCTCCGGCAATGGATCACATAATGCTTTTCTCACCGTTGGAACCAAACTATTGACAAATGTCAAAACCATATCTTTACTTGTACTCGCCATTATTTCCGAAAGTCCAATACAAACACCCTGTCGTTGATCAGCTTGCTCGCTCTGTAAACCCCTTTCTAAAATTGGAATTATTTCCGGCAGCACTCTTTCACCGAGTTTTCTAACCAAATCACCCAATGTTCTTGCTGCAACCTGACGTTTATCAAAACTTGTACTTGCCAAACATCCCAGCAGTAAGCTAAACAACGTTGGGAGTATTTCCCTCAAGGTCTTTGGAGTATTTGTCACAACCACTTTCCAAACGTGAAGTGCCGCTTGACGGACCATTAAAGCCACATCCGAACGTCCCATGTACAGACCAGCCAATACTCGATTCCTTCTTTCCGCACCCAACGCCTTGATAATAGCCATATGTGACTGTTCCGTTCCAAAATTATCATCCTCACTCGCCGTTTCCGTGGACATTTTGCCAGAAACCCCCGAAATTCGATAAAGAAGATCACCAAGTAACTGTACCGACGAATACCGAATTCTCCAATTATCGTCAAATAATCCCTTCTCCAATTCTGGTAATAGTAACATAATCGCCGAATCTGCATAGAGTGTAACTATTCTCTGTCCAGCTTTTAATGCCGTTTCCCTAACATATTCATTCTCATCAGCCAGGGCCTTTAAAATCGGATTTATAATCTGTCCAATATAGGGCGTAAATTCCGTTGTAAACGCCGAAGGCATGTAGATAAACATCATAATATACCCATCCTTCACATGTGGAGCAATGTCAGTCCTCTCGGCTGTGCTAATAATTTCCGGCATTAATTTATGCAATTTCTCAACTCCCAAACCACGAACAACTTCCGATAATCCCTGCGCTGCTCCCGATCTATCAACACTACTTGTTTCCGAAGTCAAAGTCTGCATCAACCACGGTAAAAGATCCTCAAAACTAGATTCACCCATTCCTCGAACCATTGCACCCAATGCTCTCGCCGAAACACTCCGAACTTCCGGCACTGGATCCAATAAACTCGTCTTAAGTCCCGGTATAATTGTCGGTAAATACGGTGTCAAATCCTTTTGATCCGTAAGCGAATACATATTGCCAATAATTTGCGCCGCCATTTTTCGAGTCTCAGTCGAACGATCCATAAAAGCGCGTTGAACAACTGGCATTATTAACGCCAATGATGGTGCGTCGATAAAATGAACAAACTGCGTATCTAAAAGAGTCTGCAAACAAGTCGCTGTCTTTCTCGAAGGATCCTGAAGCGCTTTTAATAAAACTGGAACAATTGCCTGAATTTCCGGATTACGAATAACACTACCAATTACTTTCAAAGCCTCAGCTCCGGCTTCTTGAACTTTTGTATGCGAATCACTTAATACTTCAATTAATTTCGGTACAATGCTAGGCAGACAACTACTCAATTGTTTTGGTGCACAGTAAGCCATCGCTCCCAATAGTTCAACACTTCCGGTTTTTGTTCTCCATGAATCCTCCTCCAAAGCTGCTAACAAACTCGGCAAAACTAATTTTACACCATGAGCTGAAAGTTTGCTCATTACCACTCTAGCTGTATCATCGGTAGCTGCTCGAACATACTGACTCGAATCACCGAAACAAAGAAGTAGATGCGGTAGCACATGGACTATATACGGCTCAAAGAGCCTTCCCAACATCATACACAGCATTTCGAACGCAAACAAAGCTCCTTCTCGATGTCGATAATTCTTCTTATCCTGTATCGCATTCGTTAGCGTCGTCATTATATCCAATTGTTTCAAAGCCAATATTCCCATTCCTTTGATAAGTCCCGCGAGTCCATAAGCCGCTCCCTTACGCTCTCCGTATTTATCAGACTTCAATAATTGATCCATCAGTTTATCAACGATCTTCGGTGCGTCTTCCTTAATCGACGGCACCAAATGCGGAAGACAATTGGCCACTGCTTCCTGCACTTGTTGCGAAGGGGTCGAAAGCGCCGCTATCAATCTCATAACAATTGGTTTAATTCGCGCGTCATCCTTCTCCAAATGCCGCGCCAACGAACCCATTAATATCACCACCGACTGTTTTATCGAATCAAAACTACCAATTTTCGGAGCCTTATCCATAAAATCCTCGAAAACAGGCAGAAGTGAAGTGATATTCGCCTTACCGTGAAGATCCACCGCAGCAACCGCAGCTGTTAACATTTCATTCCTAACCGAGGGATTACGGTCTCCCAAACCCGTAGAAACAAAAAATTGAACTAAACGATGTATTGTCTCCGGAGTCAAGAGAGGAGCAAGTTGCGCGAGGGCTAAAGCAACTCCTCTTCTCGGTCCCCATGTATCGATTGGCTGCTCTACAACTCTACCGAAATCGTTCAATTTCGGTGGTATCATCGCTAACTTCTCTTGATAGAGCTCTAACAAAAGTTCAAGAATATTCGGCATTAGATACGAATCGCGATTTAATAATTCCGCAAGGGCACAGGCAGCAGCTTGTTGTATCGGTTCAACGGGATGCGCAACATCCTGAATAAGATCGCAGCAAAGTATTTCACTCTTCGCCTCCAAACCCGCTTTCTCCCATAATTCCTTAGCAAGTTCCTTATTCTCCTCACAGATATCCGAACGGGCAACCCAAATTCTTCGCGTAAGTCTAATTAAATCGGGATAATCCTCCTTATTTGAAAAAGCTCTATGTACAACGACAAGACCTCGAAGTGCCGCGTCCCTAACCGCTGGCAGCGAATTTTGCAATGCTCCCGTTAAGGAATCAATTTCTTCACTCGTTGCCAAAGCCGCTGAATCGACACCACTTCCAGAATTTGCGACATCCAATAAAGTTGCCACAGCATGCGATTGCACTCTTCCTGTTGTACTACTCATCAGCTCAATTAACAAATCGAAAATCTGTTTCCTAGGCAATAAACGTGGATGTCGGAGATCTTTTACATTAGTCACGTCGTCGCCTCGTTGTTTCGCTTGATCCTGAATCACTTGTAAACCTTGTGTGATCATTCCATCGTCCTTACAAAACAAAAGAGTCTTGTTTACAAAGGGAAACACGTAACAGAATGCAGGAGCGGAAAATAATTCCTTCTGCTTGACAATGTGATGGTGAATAAAGTGCAACGTTCTTTTTACTGCTTTGTCCAGGGATTCTTCCTCCCATGCGGGATCTAAATCGCACTGTGGTTGAAATTGACGAAGTGTCACGTGGGCTACTAAATCGCTGAGAGTTGAATCACTTGATATTGTTACGGTTTTTTTTAGAAGGAGAAAAATTTCGGACATTGTAGGCGCGGCTAGGGGAGAGGATAAATTTTTTAAAATCGCCGGTAAAAGATCTTTTAGATAGAGGGATAATTCGGTTCGATTTCCTCTTAGGAGGCCATTTATCAATGAGACTACGTCTAGGATTTTTGCATTTAGAGTCGTGAGACGTTTTCTTATTGCCGTTTCCTTGGCGAATTGAACCTGAAATATTTGGTTAAAAAAAAAAAAAGGAATAATTTTAATAACGTTAAAAATATTTTTTTTACAATTATTTTAATTGTAAAATTAATTTTGCAATAAGGGAAGAAAAAGAACTGTAAAATTTCAATCTATCGAAATTTATATTTAGGGGCGTCAAATTATTTTTCGATATTAAATATAAAAATATGAATTCAATTTTTTTTCAATTTTTCAATTCAATTATTTTCAAAAATCTGAATTCTGAATCTTCGAAAATTCAATTATTATTTTTTTTTTTTTTAAAGTTATCTAAAATTATTTGATAAATTATTTTCATTTCTGTAAAATTTAATAAAATCTAATGAATTTCAATTATTTTTAAAAATTTAAACTGTAACCCTTCAAAAATTCAATTATTTTGAATAATTTAAATGAAAGTCTTTAGAAATTTAATTATCTGTAAATATTTTTCAAATTAAAACTTTTTTTTTTTAATTCAATAATTTGTTGAAATTTCTAAAAAAAAAAACAGCAAATAAAATTACCGAAAATTTTAATTCAAAATCACATGTAATTCAATTATTTCCAAAAATCTAAACATAATAATTCAACAATTAATAATAATTTCAAATAATAATTTTTCCATCAAGTTCTTTAAAAAATCAATGATATAAAACATTTTTTAATTAAAAATTCTTTAAAATTTAATTATTGACAGTAATTAAAAAAATCTTTAGAAAATTAATATTTTCAAAATTTTCAAATATAAATATTTTGAAATTCAATTGTTTCTAAAAATTTTAACTGCATATCTTACAAAATTTTTTTTTAGAACGCTTTTAAAAATAATTGAATTCGCGGAGATAATTTTATTTTCTAATTTTCTATTAAATTTTAAACAATTATTGAATTTTATAAAATTTTAAATTTAAAAATAGTTTAAAATAATTGAATTTCCGAAGAAATTAATTAAAATTATGGAAATTAATTGAATTTTTTAAATTATATGTTTACAGGCCTCGGATTATACAACTTTTTCCGACTTTTTTTCAAAAATACGACTTTTATCGACTTATTTTAATAAAATGCGACATTTTTTTTTTACATTTGAAAAAAAAATGTAAATAAAATACATTTTTTTTATTATAAAATGTAGATCTTCTTCAGAACTTCTTCAATTCAATTATTTAACAAATTTTCAACTAAAATGATTCTTCACTAAATTAATTATTTTTAATAATTTTAATGAAATACATCACAAATTCAATTATATATCAAAATTATTTTTCAATTAAAATTTTTATGAAATTTAACAATTGTTTATAATTTAAAAAACAAAAAATATCACAATAAAATTGAATTATTTTTTTTAAATTTCAATTCAAAATAAACTAAAATTCAAATATTACCCGAAATTTTAATTCAAAATCAATTAAAAATCCAATAATTATCGAAAATTTTCAATTTAAAATTTAATTATTTACCAAGTTTTCAATTTTAAAATAAAGTAAAATTCAATTATTTTCTAAAATTTCTATTCAAAATTAATTATCCAAATTTTCAATAAAAAATGAACTTAAATAAAATTATTATCCAAAATTTCAATTGAAAATCAATTATTTTCAAAATTTTCAATTCAAAATGAATTGAAATTCTATTATTTTCAAAATTTTCAATTCAAAGTCAACTAAAATTCAATTATTTTCAAAAATTTCAATTCACAATAAACTACAATTCAATTATTTTCCAAATTTCAACTGAAATTTAATTATTTTCAAAATTTTCAATCCTAAATCAACTAAAATTCAATTGTTTTAAAAATTTTCAATTTCAATTTAATTAGTTTCATAAATTTCTATTCAAAATCAACTAAAATTCCATTGTTTTCCAAGTATTCAATTCAAAATAAACTAAAATTCAATTATTTTCCAAGTATTCAATTCAAAATAAACTAAAATTCAATTATTCTCTTAAAATTGTGGTTTTAAAATCAACTAATATTAAATTATTTTCAAAATTTTAATTAAAATTCAATTATTTCCCAAAAATTTTCAATTTAAAATCAATTTCTGTTCGCCAACTAGACAATTAAGAAATTCCTCTTTATTTTATATTCAACATCATAGAACTAATTATGGTAAAAACTCTGTCATTAATCGACTATGTCGCGAAGCCAATCTGTATAGCGAGAATCTTGATCTCTTTGGCGTTAGTTTGAGAGGATTTATTACATCCTTGAGCACAACTCTTTTTAAAAATCGTTCTAATAATACCAGGTCGTTCATTGCTTAAAAGTTTTTCTTTTGTTTCTGATTTTGGACGCCTTTGGTCCAATTATGTATATACATTTATATTTTTGCATTTTCATGTATAGGGCTTCTCATGCCAGTGTATAACTTTAAATAAATAAATAAATAAATAAAATTTCATTATTCTCAAAAATTTGAATTCAAAATTAATTGAATTTTCAATAATTTAAATTTAAAAGCATTTAAAATTTAATTATTTCTAAAATTTTCCATCGAAAATTTTTTTTTTTTAAATTTAATAATTTCAATTATAACTCAAAGAAAATTCAATTATTTTAAACTATTTTAATAATATTATTTGAAATTTCAACTATCTGAAACCATTTTTCAATTAAAAATGATTTTCAAATTATTGTATTTTGTCCGCATTTTCTAATAAATTTTTAGTGAAATCATCTAAAATTTTAATTAAAAATCACTTAAAGTTTCAATTAATTTCAAAAATCTCAATTTCAAATCTTTGAAAATCCAATTAAATTTAAAAAATGTTTTCCAAAAATTGTTTGATAAATTATTTTTAGTTCAGTAAAATTTAATAATTGTTTGAAAATTAACAATATCTTTTGAAATTTAATTATTTCTAAAAATTTCAACTTTAACCCTTCGAAAAGGATTATTTGTATTAAAAAAAAATTTTTTATTTAAAAATCTATAAAATATTTTTGTTAAAATAAAAAACAAATCCACTTTTTTTGGAATATAAATTGACTAAAACGACTTTTTGTGTCTTTAAGTTGATTCAAGGCCTGTGTTTTTATAATTAATATTTAATAGGTATTCGTTGGCCGCTGGTACCTTAAAAATTAATTTTTTTCAAATTACTATCTTGTACTATTCAAAAAAAACACGTGAAATCAGAAAAGACCAACTTCAAGTTAGGACAGAAGGACAGACCAAGCATTTTATTATTTTTAAAATTTTAAACAATTATTGAATATCTCAAAATTTTTAATTGAAAAAAAAGTTTAAAATAATTGAATTTGTGGAGAATTTTATTGAAATTATTGAAAATATAATTTAATGTACACAGAAATTTTAGTTAAAACTTTGTTAAATACTTGAAATAAAAAAAAATCTAAAGAAGATCTGCTAGTTATACTAAAAAAATATGATTTTTGTTTAAAAATTTTGTAAAAAATGTAAAAAAAAGAAAGTCGAAAAATGTTGAAAAATTCGTATAATCCAAGACATGGACAATTATTAAAAAAAAAAATTTTTTTTGAATTAAATTACGAAGAGTCAAAATAATAAATTTAGGTATAAATTACTAAGAATTTTAATATATAATTAAATTTTAATTAATCTACAAATAAAAAAAAAAAAAAATTTCATACCTTCAAAGCTTCCTCCTGCTTTGGTGTAAGTTTTGGTTCCTTAATTTTCCCCTCCTTTTTCTGTTTCTCATACAATTCCCTTCTCAATTGAAGTTCCTCCTGTTGTTCCTTAAATGAATAAACCTTGCTCTCTCTCTTCATATTCATTGAACTGAGAATATCATCATCATTTCCTGGCAAAACACTTTTGTCAAATAATTCACCCTCAGGCGTCAAATAAGTAAAATATTCATCCTTAGTTATTTTCAATATTTCTGGATCGTCCAATTTTTCAACAATCGAACGTACAAGAGGCGGTAAAATCATATCAGGCGCAAGTTGCATAATTTTTGCTAAAGCATTCTCATAGCTCGGCGTTGGTTTATAGTCCTTTGTGAAAATACATTTTACTTCGTTGCCAAAATATTTGAAAAAATCATCAACAGTAAATTTAAAATTTTTCAATATTTTAAACCAAACATTTGGATTTGCTTTGAGAATTGCTGGATGATGAGAGGATATTAATGAATCTTTAATGAGTTCCATTGCCGGTTGATCGAATAAAAATGAACCTGAACAAATGGCAAGAAGACCATCGGCAAGTGCTCGACCAGTAATTTCACCAGGTGTTTCTTCTTTATTTTCTGTTTCGGCAATTTTTGCAGTTTCAAGAAGTTTATTAAATTCACCAAGAAGCGATTTTACTGTATCGTATGTGCTTAGGGCGTTTAAAATTTTTTTCGCCAAAGGAGCACAACGTCTACGTGTTAGAGATTTTGATGCTGTAAGACAGGCGACAATTGCTTTATGAATTCCAATCAGTGCTTTTTCATTGAGTCGATCGGAAAATTCGCTAATTAATCGTTCACAAAGTTGCATCAAATAGAAGAGTATTTCATCGTTGCAGGTGGAGAGAAATTTTTCTGAGAAGAAAATTTGATCGTCAATCGCTGTCCATAGGATACTTTGTTTATCATTTTCAACTTGTTCGGCGAAAATTAATTTTAATAGAAGATAAGAGGCAACAACACCTTCAGTGACGGCTGTAAATTGAGCACTTTGCTGCGAGGCTCTACCAATCGCTTGCGTTAAAAGGGGAGCAATCACCGAAGACTGCGAAGCAATTGATGAAGTGAAGAACATTTTAATATAAGCCGTTCTCACACCGGCTGTTGATGTTTTTGCCGTCATTCCAATTTTAAAGATATCAATCACACTCTTTGGAATTTCATTGACAAATTTATTTGACCACAATGTCATCATTTCAATTCCATGAATTAGTGTCTTCTCATGAACCTCGGTTTTCAAAACTTCAATGAAATGACCGCAAGCTTTAGCGGCGAGTTTTTCCACATTCATTCCGCTAACGGAATTAAAACTCAAATTACCAGCGCCTTGAAGAACGGAAATTTTATGCGTTGCCACTGTGAGTTTACCCTCGGAACCATTGAAAACGGCAAAAACTGATGCAAGAAGATCCTCGACTGCCGATGAATCGGAACATTGAAGAGCAAGACGTCGACAAGCGTCGGCCGCTTCGTCACGAACTAAATCCTCTTTTGAATGAAGATTGGCAAATAAACCCTTACTTATGTCCTGACTGTATCGACTTAAATCAAGACTGAGGCCAGTGAGAATGTGACCAACGGATTCAATTATTATTTCGGGATTACGAAGCATTGACTTTTGAAGGGCTGGTAGTAAATGAGTTTTGAAATCGTCATGAGAAACACGTTGTAAAAATGGAACGGCAGCATCGACTACATAAAGTTCAGGTTTCTTTTTGCAGCTGATGCTCACTTTTATAAAGGTGTCAAGTGTGCCATTCTGTAACGAAAAATAGGAATTTTTTTTTTCGCGAATTTAATTGTATTGAAGCCTCAAGTTGCATCCTTTCGCCGATTTTTTTTTTTTTTTTTTGTAACTTATTCGAGGCATCTCACTGAACATTTTCCAAAATGAAAATAAGTCGGGGGCATTTTTTTTGTGTTTTTAGCGATTTTAAAAAATCTGGTTTCACTAATCACATAAACTAAATTCAATTTTAAGTAGTTAAATATTGTTTTAGGAAATTTTTCAATTCAATTATTATCAAATTTTTCAATTAAAAATCAACAAAAATTCAATTATTTTCCAAAAATTCAATTCAAAATCAACTAAAATTCAATTATTTTCCATAATTTTAAATTTAAGAGCTTTTAAAATTCAATTACCTTTCAAAATTTTAATTAAAATTTAATTATTTTCAAAATTTTGCAAATCCAAATTCTACTACAATTCAATTATTATCAAAATTTTCATTTGAAAATCAACTAAAATTCATTTATTTTCCAAAATTTTAATTGAAATTCAATTATCAAATTTTTCAATTGAAAATCAACGAAAATTCAATTCCAAATCAATTATTATTCAATTATTTTCAAAAATTCAATTCAAAATCAAGTAAAATTCAATTATTTTCCATAATTTTAAATTTAAGAGTTTCTAAAATTCAATTATTTACCAAAATTTTAATTGAAATTAATTTATTTTCAAAATTTTCAATTCAAAATAATCTAAAATTCAATTATTTACCAAAATTTTAATTAAAATTAATTTATTTTCAAAATTTTTAATTCAAAATCAACTAAAATTCAATTATTTTCCAAAATTTTAATTGAAATTTAATTATTTTTAAAAATTCTATTCAAAATCATCTAAAATTCAATTATTTTCCAAAATTTTACTTTCAGAGCTTCTAAAATTCAATTACATTTCAAAATTTTAATTAAAATTTATTTATTTTCAAAATTTTGCAAATCCAAATTCTACTACAATTCAATTATTATCAAAATTTTCAATTCAAAATCAATTAAAATTCAATTATTTTCTAAACTTTTAATTGAAATTTAATTATTATCAAATTTTTCAATTTAAAATCATCAAAAATTCAATTATTTTCCAAAAATTCAATTCAAAATCTATTAAAATTCATATAATTTTTAAAAATTAACTAAAAATTGACTAAAATTCAAGTATTTTCCACAATTTTATTTTAAGAGCTTCTAAAATTCAATTATTTTCCAAAATTTTAATTGAAATTAATTTATTTTCAAAATTTTCAATTCAAAATCAACTAAAATTCAATTATTTTCCAAAATTTTAATTGAAATTTAATTATTTTCAAAAATTCGATTCAAAATCAACTAAAATTGAATTAGTTTCAAAAATTTTAATTTCAGAGCTTCTAAAATTACTTTTCAAAATTTTAATTAAAATTATTTTATTTTCAAAATTTGCAATTCAAAATCTATTAAAATTCAACTATTAGGTATCAAAATTTTCAATTGAAAATGAACTGAAATTCAATTATTTTTAAAAATTTTGAATTAAAAGATTCTAAAATTCAATTATTTCTAAAATTTTCCATCTAAAACTTTCTAAAATTTAATAAATTCAACTGTAACTTTTTTGAAATTTAATCTAACATTAGCTTTCGAATTTAAGGCAGAGGAATCCTAGAAAACTGTAAAGACTCTCAAAACAGAACGGTGCTTTTTTTATCGCATTTTAAAAATTTTAACAATTTCAAAAGTTAACTGAAGAATTATTTATTTTTTCGAAGTTTTCCTAGAGAATATTGTAAAATTAAATTTCAATCGCTGACATGAAGAAACTTTAATTTTACAATATTTTCTAGGAAAATTTTGAAAAAATAAATAATTCTTCGGTTAACTTTGAAATTAAGATTTTTAAAATTCGATAAAAAAAAACGTTTTTTTTTTAAACTCGTCACTATAAACACAAAAATTTTAATGCTCCCGACGGAATTTGATTTTTAATTTTTGAAAAATGTTCAGTGAGATGCCCCGAACATGTTGCAACAGAAATCGGCGAAATAAAATTAGATGAATCTTGTCAATAATTATTTAGTTTGTTACCTTTTTGTTATTTACTTTTCAAAATTCTTTTACTTGTTTAAACAATTGATTGTTTATCATTTCGGAATATTTGATATCAAAAGAAAATAATATTAAATAAAAATAAAGGATTTTCGCCTTTCTAAATTAAATTAGAGGAATTTTTTCAATAATTATTTAGTTTCTTAGCTTTTTGTTATTAACTTTTCAAAAATTCTTCTACTTGTTTAAACAATTGATTGTTTATCGTTTCGGAAAATTTGATACTAAAAGAAAATAATATTAAATAAAAATAAAGGATTTTCGCCTTTCTAAATTAAATTAGAGGAATTTTTTCAATAATTATTTAGTTTCTTAGCTTTTTGTTATTAACTTTTCAAAAATTCTTCTACTTGTTTAAACAATTGATTGTTTATCGTTTCAGAGAATTTGATACTAAAAGAAAATATTAAATAAAAATAAAAAAATTCTCGCCTTTGTTAATTCTTAGAGGAATCTTTTGAATAATTATTTGGTTTATTAGCTTTTTGCTATTAAATTTTCAAAAATTCTTCTACTTGTTTAAACAATTGATTGTTTATCATTTCGGAATATTTGATATCAAAAGAAAATAATATTAAATAAAAAATTTAATATTAACAATTAATCTGAAGATATAGATTTTGGTAGTTAAATAAATTATTTGTAAATTACTTTATTTAATCTGAATGAAATAAAATTTACTTTCCATTAATTTAATTATGAAAAATAAATAAAAATTTCTCTTTGTTTTAGTATTATAGAAACCTCAATTTTTGGATTAGTTTGGCATTGTTCAGAATTAAGAGACAGAAATGTGTATTTTCTCGGCTTATAAAGGCTCGTTTCTGTACTCTTAATTTCTAATTTTTTAAATAAAAATTTTTGACTATTGAAATACCATTTCAGTATTGTATTGTATTGTATTGTATTGTATTGTATTGTATTGTACTGTATTGTATTCTATTTATTTTGTTAACTGAAATATAAAATAAAGTTATACATATCTTATGAATTTCGTTATGTGAAAATTTATTTTAAAAAATTTATTCAATTACCTTTAGTTTTTCGACCATTTCATCCTGCTTGGTGTCTACTAAATACTTCATAAGAAGACTTGCAAGTACAATAACTCCATTGCTTGCTTCCAAAGTGCTTAAATTTTCCACATATTTTTCATGAATACCATTGACTACGTTCCATTGATTAACAACAAGTGTGTAAACTTTTCTTGATAATTTTTTATCTCCTGATGCTATGGCTGCAGCGCTTAAATTTGCTTGAGCTTCTATTAATTTTGATAATTCGGAGAAATTTGATTCGTTTTCTTTATTGCCTAAGCCATAATGAACGATTAATGTACTCCATTTTAATGCATGATACGCAGTCAATGCTGTGTTATGGCTGATGAAAAATACATTATTATTCTTATATTATAAAAATAATTATTATTATCAATACTATTATTATTACTATAAATAATACAAAAAGGCCTCGGATCGACTTAAAGGCTCAAAAAATAATCATTTTAGTCGATTTACATTTCAAAAAAGTCAATTATTTTATTTAAAATAACTAATATTAAAAAAAAAATTTTTTTTCAAAATTTTGTTAATTAAATAGAAGAAATTTCAAAAAAGAAAAATTCTTAGTTAGATTTTTTAAAAAAAATTTTCAACTTTGATTTAAGCAATTTATTAGAATCTAAAATTTTAGCATAGCTTTTAGTTTTAATTGTAAAAACGCTTTCAGATAATTGAATTTTCGAAAAATAATACAAAATTGAATTTTGTATGAGATATAGTTGAAATAATTAATTTAAAAAAATTTAAAAAATTTTTTTTTTTTAGAAATTAGAGACAAAAAATAAAGTTTTAAAAGGTTTTAATTTGAAAAATGATTTTATATTATAATATTGAATTTTTAAAGAATATTATAAAAATCATTGAATATAATTGAATTTTGGAAGAATTATATTGTTGAAATTATTAAATTTCAAAAAGTTTTAGATGAAAAATTTTTTTTTTAGAAATTTTAAAATTTTAGAAGGTTTTAAATTGGAATTTTTGTAAATAATTGAAATTTTTTAAAATAATTGAATTTCAAGGGATTTTGAATTGAAATTTTTGGTAAATTTCTTTGCTGAAATTGTTTTTTTTTTATTCGAAATTTCAAATAACTATATTTAATTTATTTCTAATTTTTAAACAAAAAATATATTTGAATTGAAATTTTTTTCAAGAATTTCTTTTTAAATTATTGAAAATAATTATAATTTAGCGAAGAATTTTAGTTAAAAATTTGTTAAGTAATTAAATTTTGGAAAAAATGCATTGTATACTTAAAAAAAAAAAAAAGTCGAAAAATTTGCATCTCATTAAAATATTTTAAGTCGAAAAAGTCGTACAATCTAAGGCCTTTTTAATAATAATAATAATAAAACAAAAAATTATTATTTCAACATGAAAAATAATAAAAATAGTAAAGAAAATAAAGATTGTACAAATAAAAATATAAATAATTAATAGAAAAATAATTTTAAAATTATTAATAATAATTTTAAAATCATTATTAATAATTTTCAAAAATTATTAATTATAGTTTTAAAATTATTTGTAATTTTGTAAAGTTTTATTGCAACTTACGTTGGAACAACATTTTTATGCCAATTGGATTGTTCGCAAATAACACTCGTCATATTTTTCACAGCAGCTTCCGATTGTTCTTTCAATAATGATATTATCAAATTTTTCACGTAGGACTGTGAGGCAGTATCTTTATATCGATGTAAAGTAATTCCAATGACTTTACATATTCCGCCCACGATCTTCTCGTTGATACCTTTACAAAAATAAAAAATAAAAAAAAAAAATAGAAAAATATTCCAAAAAATTTCTAAATAAAATAAAAAATAAAAACAAAAATTTATATTTTTTTTTTAATAAAAATATTTATTTGTTTTCAATAAAAAAAAAAAAAAAATTATGTAGCACAAATAAAATTTTATTTAGCGCAAATAAAATACAAAAATATAAATTATTGATATTTAAGTCGTCATTATATTCAAAATATTCAATGAAAATTGATTCTAATTTTATATATAATTAAAAAATATAAATAATATAAAAAATAAAAATTTAATAAAAATATTAAATAATTACTTAATTATTAATTAATATTATTAATTAATTAAATTAATTAAATTATTATAAATAATATAAAAATATAAATTTAATAAAAATATTAAAAAATTACTTAATTAAATTATTATAAATAATATAAACATAACAATTTAATAAAAATATTAAAAAATTACCTAATTATTAATTAATTAATATTATTAATAATTAATTAAATTATTGTAAATAATATAAAAATAAAAATGTAATAAAAATATTAAAAAATTACTTAATTATTAATTAATTAAATTAATTAAATTATTATAAAAAATATAAAAATAAAAATTTAATAAAAATATTAAAAAATTTAATTTAAAAATAAAATTTGTTTATAAAATAATTTTTACCCTACAAAATACTATCGATAAAAATAGTTATAAATAATAACAATAATAATAACCGCCATTTCACAAGTGAAAAAAATTTTTTGTCTTTATTTCATAAATCGAAAAAAATTTTTTTTTATAATAATAATAATAATAATAATAATAAAAATATTTATAATAATCACTTATTTTTAATTTAAAATTTTCTATAAAAAAAATATTTTAAAGATGGTTAGCAAAAAAAAAAAGAATCAATTTTACTAAACTTAACAAAGTACTAAACTTTAATTATAATAAATAAATTTCAAAATAATACCAAAAAAAAAACAAAATAATTTATGTCGAAATTATTTACACTATCAAACATTATTTACATTATTTACACTATAAAAATTATTTTTACATTTTTATTTTAAAAATTTCTATTATTATTAAAAAAATAAATAAATAAAAAATTTTTTTTTTTCAAATTTAAGAGGTTAATAAAAAAATCACTATTCAAAAATTTTTTCCAACTAAACTTAAGTTAAAAAAAAAAAATTCCACATTTTGCAAAAAATTAATAATTCCCCCCCCTCCCCCAAGCCCTTCTCTTTTGAGAAAAAATTCCCTTTTTTGGATTATTATTTGCCACCATAAACAGCTGACCCGGAAGTCAATAATGATTGATAAAAAAAAAATCAGAACTCTCATATGTTTTTTTTTTTTTTTTGACAATTATCTCAAAAATTTCTAATCGTTTAATTTAAAAAAAAAAAAAATGACAGCAAAAGTACAAAATGTCAAATTTTAGAAAGTAGAAAAAAAAAATTATATATACGGGGTAAAAAGTCTCTTACCAGGATTTGACAACACGTTGGCGACATTCTGTAGAATTTCACGTCGCTCATTTTTACTGGCGGTTTGAACACGATTTGGTAAATCTTTTAATGCATTCGTCAACTGTAATAAAATATTAATTTTTCAATTATTATTGACATTATTAAAATGAAAAAAATTCACAGATCCACGTGACAGACTTACCTCAGTAACCGCCATATTTTTACACGAAAAACCGGGGAAAACAGATAAATAGAGACATACACACGATTATTTCCAGTCCACGTCAATTAAAGCCGTGTGAAGTTAGTTACTTATCGCATATTCGATATGTATATACAATATCGATACAAGTTCATAAGCACGAAAACAGATGGCACTTTACTATGATTATTTATTTAATCATTATTGAAAAATAGGTAAAAAATAATATATTTTTTATTAATTAATTTCATTTTAATTTCAATAAAAAATAATCAATTTTTTTTTTAAAAGAAAATTTTTCAAAACGAAGGGAATAACCAATCAGAAATAGGGATAAAATGCGCATGTGCAAGTTATTTGCTTTTTTACTCTGACTGTACCTCTGTTTTGTCGTCTGCGTAATTTCTGCCCCGCGTATAGAATATTGAATTTTTTTGCCAAATTATAATTTTTTGTATAACCTTTTTTTCATTTTAAAAAAAAGTGATGCGAACTAAAATTCGAAAATAGAAAAAAAAGAGATTAAAAATCGTGAATAAATTCAGTGATGTCCCAGTATCATTTATCACAGAAGAGGTTTATCCCGGTGCCACCTGAAAAGGGAAGTTTTCCATTGGATCATGAAGGGATTTGTAAAAGTTTAATGATTAAATACATGCGTTGTCTTGTTGATAATAAAAACGACTCGGGAATGTGTCGTAATGTCACACAAGATTATCTTGAATGTCGAATGGACAATGGTCTTATGGCACGCGAGGAATGGTCCAAACTCGGTTTCTCCAATCAGGTGAAAAAGGAAACGTAATATATATATATACATATATTTATGACGATATATCACGTCGTTCATTCTCTTTTTCAACGAACTTCACAGCCCTTATTATAAATATAAAATATTGTAAATCAAATATTGAGAGAAAGAGAGAGAGATAAACCCCTTTGAAAAAAATAAGATCGAGTTCAAATATCGACGAATCTATTTTCGATTAAAAAAAAAAAAAAAAAAAAAAAAGTTACACGGATATAGATATATATAAATATATATAGAAATATATTTGAAAAAATAATAATAATTAAAAGAAAAAACGCTGTTTTATGATCTCGTGTTATGATTATTGTAGAGATATATACATAGATATATATATATATACTGCAAATAGTTCGACAGAAAGGTTAGAAAATTTTTAATTAAATTTCATTTTTATGTTTCAGGCCTTGGATTATACGACTTTTTCAAATTATTATTATTTTTTTTTTTAATAACATTTTTTTTAAAAAATACAATTTTTTCATTATACAATGCAGATTTTCTTCAGTACCTTCTTTATTTCAATTTATTTAACAAAAATTTTTAACTAAAATTCTTCATTAAATTAATTATTTTTAATAATTTTCAATAAAATTCTTCACAAATTCAATTATCGAAAAATGTTATTCAATTACAATTTTTTTTTATAAATTTAATAATTGTTTATAATTTAGAAAAAAAAAATTTAGCAAATAAAATTATCAAACATTTTTTAATTCAAAATCACTTGAAATTTAATTATTTTCAAATAAAAAAAAAAAAAAATTTCAATTATTATTTTTGAATTATTTTTATAATATTCTTCAAAAATTCAATTATATGAAAAAGTATTTTTCAAAATTTTCAATTGAAAATAAACTAAAATTCAAATTTTTTTTTAAAATTCAATTCAAAAACCAACTAAAATTGAATTATTTTCAAAAATTTCAATTCAAAATCAATTAAAATTCAATTATTATCAAAAATTTCAATTCAAAATCTTCTAGAATTCAATTATTTTTCAAAATTTTAATTAAAATTTAATTATTTTCGGAAATTTATTTTCAAAAACAACTTAAATTCAATTATTTTACAAAATTTCAATTGAAAATCAAATGAAATTCAATTATTATGTAAATTCAAAAAATTTCAATTTCAATTTAATTATTTACAAAATTTTCAATTCAAAATAAAAATCTTATTCAATTATTTTAAAAAATTACGTTTCAAAATCAACTAAAATTCAATTATATTCCAAAATTTTAATTTAAGAGCTTCTAAAATTCAATTATTTGCTAAAATTTTAATTAAAATTAATTTATTTTCAAAATTTTCAATTCAAAATCATCTAAAATTTAATTATTTTCCAAAATTTTAATTAAAATTCAATTATTTTTCGAATTTTGAATTCAAAATATACTTAATTTCAATTATTTTCCAAGATTTTAATTGAAATTTAATTATTATCACATTTTTCAATTGAAAATCAACGAAAATTCAATTATTTTTCAAAAATTCAATTCTAAGTCTATTAAAATTCATATAATTTTTAAAAATTCAATTCAAAATCAAAGAAAATTCAATTATTTTCCAAAAATTTCAATTCAAAAGCTTCTATAATTCAATTATTTTCCAAAATTTTTAATTGAAATTAATTTATTTTCAAAATTTTCAATTCAAAATCAACTAAAATTCAATTAATTTCCAAAATTCTAATTGAAATTCAATTATTATCAAATTTTTCAATTGAAAATCATCGAAAATTCAATTGTTTTCTAAAAATTCAGTTCCAAATCTATTAAAATTCAATTATTTTCAAAAATTCAATTCAAAATCAACTAAAATTCAATTATTTTCCAAAATTTTAATTGAAATTAATTTATTTTCCAAAATTTCAGTTCAAAATCAACTAAGATTCAATTATTTTCGAAAATTCTAATTGAAATTCAATTATTATCACATTTTTTAATTGAAAATCATCGAAAATTCAATTGTTTTCCAAAAATTCAGTTCCAAATCTATTAAAATTCAATTATTTTCCAAAATTCAATTCAAAATCAACTAAAATTAAATTATTTTTCAAAATTTTCAATTCAAAATCAACTAAAATTCAATTATTTTCCAAAATTCTAATTGAAATTCAATTATTATCAAATTTTTCAATTGAAAATCATCGAAAATTCAATTGTTTTCTAAAAATTCAGTTCCAAATCTATTAAAATTCAATTATTTTCAAAAATTCAATTCAAAATCAACTAAAATTCAATTATTTTCCAAAATTTTAATTGAAATTAATTTATTTTCAAAAATTTCAATTCAAAATCAACTAAGATTCAATTATTTTCGAAAATTCTAATTGAAATTCAATTATTATCAAATTTTTCAATTGAAAATCATCGAAAATTTTAATTGTTTTCCAAAAATTCAGTTCCAAATCTATTAAAATTCAATTATTTTCCAAAATTCAATTCAAAATCAACTAAAATTAAATTATTTTTCAAAATTTTCAATTCAAAATCAACTAAAATTCAATTATTTTCCAAAATTTTAATTGAAATTCAATTATTTTCAAAAATTCAATTCAAAATCAACTAAAATTCAATTTTTTTCAAAAATTTTAAATTAAAAGCTTCTAAAATTCAATTATTTCTAAAATTTTCCATCTAAAACTTTCTAAAATTTAATAATTTCAACTGTAACTTTTTTGAAATTTAATGATTTAAAATGATTTTTATATTTTTTGTAAATCATTTATCTGAAAGGATTTTTCAATTAAAAATATTTAAAAGGTCAATTTTTGTCTGTAATTTCTAATAAATTCTTCAGCGAAAAACATTTATCAAAAATTTCATTAAAAAATCACTTGAAATTCAATTATTTTAAAAAAATGTGGATTTTAAATTTTTGAAAATTCAATTTAAAAAAAAAAGTTATTTACAATTATTTGATAAATTATTTTCAATTCTATAAAATTTAATTATATTCTTAAATTTAACAATATCTTTTTAAATTTAATTATTTTTAAAAATTTCAACTTTAATTCTTGTAAAGTTAAATTATCTGAACATATTTTTCAATTAAAAACTTGAAATTTAATTTTTGTCTGTAATTTTTTTTTAACAGAAAATTTCAATTCACATTACCAAAAATTTCAATCAATAATCATTCGAAATTCAATTATTTTCAATAGTCTGTATATTGTAAATATTCAAAAATTAAATTATTTAAAAAAAAAAAAGATTATCTAAAATTATTTTATAATTTTCTGTTCTGTAAAATTTAATTTAATTTTTTGAAAATAATTGAATTTCAAGTGATTTTTTATTGAAATTTTTAGCAATTTTTTTTTTGTTTTTACTAAAAAATTTTTTAGAAATTACAGACAAAAATTAAATTTTTAAAAGTTTCTATTTGCAAAAATGCTTTCAAATAATTAAATTTTTCGAAAAGTGTTATAAAAATCAATAAAAAAAGAATTGAATTTCTGATCCTAAAAAGAATAAAATACTGATTTAAAATCTTTTGAAATTCAATTGTTAAAAAAAAAATTTATTTAAAAATCTATAAAATTTAATTATTGTTACAAATTTGTTCTTTTTTTTTACCATTAAAACTAAAAACTATGCAAAAATTTTAAATTCGAATAAATTTGTTAAATTATTTATACACTTAAAAAAATTGAAAAAATGAAACTTTGAGAATTTTATTTCTAAAAATTTGTCTTAATTAGAATTTTGAAAATTTGCTTTAGTTTGATTCTGAAATTAAATTAATTTAATTAAAATAAAAAAATTGACTTTTTCGGAATGTAAATAGACTTTTTTTTGCGCCTTAAAGTCGTAATCCGAGGTCTGACTGTTATAGATTGCACTGAATTTTTATGAAAAGAAACAATTTTACGATTTTTTTTTTTTTTTTTATTTACTGTATCTAATTTTGTGGTATTTTTTTTATTTTCATAAAATTTCCAATTCCAAAATATAGTTTTCAACTAATAAATATTAATTTTAGAGAAAAAAAATATGTATTTTTTAAAAAATCCTGAATTCTGTTATTTTTTATTAATTCAATTTCTGACAAAGAAAAAAAAATTCTTTTTCTTTGCATAAAAATTTAATCATTTAAATTTCAGTGCAATCTTCAAAAAAAAGACAAAAAAATCGCTCTTAACTAAACTTATAATTATTTTCTAGATCCCTTATAAAACCAGAGTTTCGATACATCAGGCATATCACGAAACAAGGGCCAATTTTACGTTTTCTCATTTTCACAAACTGCCAGCCGATGTCAATCAAGTTGATCTGAAACAATTTTGTTTCTCAACCAAGGGCGATATATCCAAAAAAAAAATATTGACCAAAAACAATAAAAAAAAAAAAATTACAAAAGACTTATTTTTATCAACTGATCGCATTCCCTCGACTTTTACATTTGTCTCGTTGCCACTGCCAACAAAGAGAACACAGCTTTTATTGTTTTTTTTTCAAACCAAAGTGTTTCCAAATATCGAAAAAAAAGGTAGAATATTAATATTAATAATAAAAATAATAATAATTGTTGAATTTTGTTTTCATTAGTATGGCAGGCACGTCGCGAAAGAAAATTTTAATTGGCTGCACGGGTAGTGTAGCGACAATAAAATTGCCTCAACTTGTGGAGAAATTGTGGCAACATAATCTCGATATACGAGTTGTCGTTACTGAGAGGGCCAAACATTTTCTGAAGGAAGCACAACTTCCTCATGGGACGCAGGTGCTTTCTGATACTGTGGAATGGGCGGCTTGGCAAGATCGTGGCGATCCTGTTTTGCATATTGATCTCGTCAAGTGGGCCGACCTTTTCTTGATTGCGCCATTAGATGCCAATACGCTCGGCAAACTAGCGAGCGGTATTTGTGACAATATTTTAACGTGCGTTGCACGTGCATGGGATCCCAATAAACCCCTTATTTTCTGCCCGGCAATGAACACCAGGATGTGGAATCATCCCGTTACTGAACCACAAGTAAGAAATTTGTTATATCATTTTCATTAGATAAAAAATTGAATCAAAATTTTGCAAAAAAAAAATTTCATTAAAATCGATTTTTTATTTTACAGAATTTTTATAAAAAAAAAAAAAAAAAAAAATTAGGTGGAAAGTTCATTTTTTTTTTCGCACCGCGCGTAAAGAAATCACTTTTGAACTTTATTGATCATGTATTGATTTTTTGTATTTTAATAGTGCAGGCGACTTTTTCGACTATTTTCGACTTTTTTCCAAAAATACGATTTTTTTCGACTTATTTTAATAAAATGCGACTATTTCGACTAGTTTTTTTTTTTACACTTTTTAAACAAATTTTTAAATAAAATATATTTTTTTTTAGTATAAAATGCTGATCTTCAGATATTCTTTATTTCAATTATTTAACAAATTTTGAACTAAAATGATTCTTCACTAAATTAATTATTTTTAATAATTTTAATGAAATTCAATTCACAAATTCAATTATTTCAAATTATTTTTCAATTAAAATTTTTATGAAATTTAACAATTGTTTATAATTTAAAAAAAATATCACAATAAAATTATGAAAAAATTTTAATTCAAAATCATAAATCAATTCAAAATCAAATAAAATTTAATTATTTTCAAAATCAATTAAAATTTAATTATTATTCAAAATTTCAATTCAAAATCAATTAAAATTCAATAATTATCCAAAATTTTAATTGAAATTAAATTATTATCAATAATTCAATTAAAAAACAACAAAAATTCAATTATTTTCCAAAATTTTAATTGAAATTAATTTTTCAAAATTTTCAATTCAAAATCAACTAAAATTCAATTATTTTCCAAAATTTTAATTGAAATTCAATTATTATCAATAATTCAATTAAAAAACAACAAAAATTCAATTATTTTCCAAAATTTTAATTGAAATTAATTTTTCAAAATTTTCAATTCAAAATCAACTAAAATTCAATTATTTTCCAAAATTTTAATTGAAATTCAATTATTATCAAATTTTTCAATTGAAAATCAACGAAAATTCAATTGTTTTCCAAAAATTCAATTCCAAATTTATTAAAATTTAATTATTTTCAAAAATTCAATTCAAAATCAACTAAAATTAAATTATTTTCCAAAAATTTTAATTGAAATTCTATTCAAAAGTTTCTAAAATTCAATTATTATCCAAAATTTTAATTGAAATTCTATTCAAAAGCTTCTAAAATTCAATTATTATCCAAAATTTTAATTAAAATTTATTTATTTTCTAAATTTTACATACAAAATCAACTAAAATTTAATTATTTTTGGAAATTTTAATTCAAATTGAATTATTATCAAATTTTTCAATTGAAAGTCAACGAAAATTTAATTATTTTCCAAAAATTCAATTCCAAATTTATTAAAATTTAATTATTTTCAAAAATTCAATTCAAAATCAACTAAAATTAAATTATTTTCCAAAAATTTTAATTGAAATTAATTTTTTTTTTAAATTTTCAATTCAAAATCAACTAAAATTCAATTATTTTCCAAAATTTTAATTAAAATTTAATTATTAGCAAATTTTTCAATTCAAAATCAACTAAAATTAAATTTTTTTCCAAAAATTTTAATTTGAAATTAATTTTTTTTTTAAATTTTCAATTCAAAATCAACTAAAATTCAATTATTTTCCAAAAATTTCAATTATAATTCAATTATTTTCAAAAATTTGAATTTAAAAACTTCTAAAATTTAATAATTTCTTAAATTTTCCATCGAAAATTTTTTGAAATTTTACAATTTCAATTATAACTCTAAGGAAATTCAATTTTTTTAAATTATTTTTATAATATTCTTTGAAAATTCAACTATCTGAAAGCATTTTTCAATTAAAAATGGTTTTCAAATTATTGTATTTTTGTCCGCAATTTCTAATAAATTTTTTAGTGCAATCATCAAAAATTGTCAATTAAAAATCACTTGAAGTTCAATTAATTTTAAAAATTTCAATTGTAAATCTTTGAAAATTCAATTACATTTAAAAAATGTTATCTGAAATTATTTGATAAATTATTTTTAGTTTTGTAAAATTTAATTATTGTTTGAAAATTAACAAAATCTTTTAAAATTAATTTATTTCTAAAAATTTCAACTTTAAACCCTTACAAAAGTATTATTATTTAAAAAAAAAATTTATTTAAAAATTTGTAAAATATTTTTGTTAAAATAAAAAAAAATCTACTTTTTCGACTTTTTTTTGGAATATAAATCGATTAAAACGACTTTTTTTGTGCCTTTAAGTCGATCCGAGGCCTGATAGTGTTTTCTGGATTGAAGTATTTAATTATTTTGAAAATTTGAATCAAAATAGTTTTGGGAAAATTAATTATTTTTTTTTTTAAATTCTTTGAAAATTTAATTATTTAAAACATTTTTCTACTAAAAATTCTGTAAAATTCAATTATTGCCGTAATTTTTTTTTATAAGAGTCTTTAAAAATTTAAATAAAATTTGAAATTTTTGAAATTTTTTAAATTTCTATTTCAAATTCTTTGCTAAATTAATTATTTTCAGTAATATTAATTTTTTTCTAAAATTCGATTATTTAAAATATTTTTAAATTATTTAATTACAAATTTTTTAAATATTTAATTATTGTATATGAAATTTAAAAAAAAAAAATGTTCAGCACATTTAATTTTACAAAAATTTTAATTTAAAAACTCTTAAAATTCAATTATTTCTTAAAAAAACAGAATCTTAAATAGCAGTTAACTCGAGGCGCATGATTATCACATAAAAATTATTGATTAGAATTTTTATTTTAAAGAATTTTATTAGGAATTGAGTGCATTATTATCCCATAAAAAATTATTAGGGAGAATTTTTATTTTCAATAATTTTATTAAAATATAATTATTTTTTACACGAATTTTCAATTTTTTATATTAATATTTGTTAGAATTTCTTTTTTTAAATAAATTTTTAATTAACAGAATTTTTAGGCACTGAATTTTTATTTAGTAGAATTCTTAAAAGGCCGAATTTTAATTTGTCCGAAATTGCAAATAGCCGAAAAAATAATCGACAGAAAGTGTTCGGCGCAATTTTTAAAATTCACCAATTAAAAATTATCCATAAAATTGTGATTGGTTAGTTTTAAAATTCGGCGCTTTAAAAATTCGGACAAATTAAAATTCGGTGAAATTTTGGTAACTAAAAAATTTTGTTATTATACTTTCAAATAAAAATTCTAAAAAATAATTTCATTTAATAAACATATATAAAGAATTTTCTTTCGAAAGATTAAAAAAAAAAAAAAAAATTGTCTAAAATCGACTCTGTCTATATTTTTGAAATTCTTTGCACATAAAAATTGAGACATCACAATATCACATTTTATAAAATATTTTCTTCTTTAAAAGGTTGCTTTGCTCAAGTCCTGGGGGTACAAGGAAGTCAGCTGCATCTCAAAAACTCTTATGTGCGGTGACACCGGAATGGGCGGAATGGCGGAAATAGATACCATTGTACAGATGACGCTACGCTCTCTGAATCCCTGGGATCCTTATTCACCACCCCATTTAAAACGTTAGCATTGTTCTTAAAAAAAAAAAAAAAAATTAAAAAAAAATGTTGCGCATGCCAAGATGTTATTTAAAAAAAAAAAAATAAGAAACAAATAAAATAAATTGTGTTCCAATTCCTTGTGTTTTTAATTCAAAAAGGTTTAAAAAATTATATTTTTCTCTAAAAAAAAACTGCTGACATTTATAGACATATGAAAATTTTTATTTCCTTTATATACATTCAAAGCTCACGTACAAAAATTTGTAAAGCGTTTCTTTATTTCTTCATTATAAACTTACAATTATTTATATATTTTTTTTTAGTCTTTTAAAAAGTTAAATAAAATTTATTTTAATCTCTAACTAAAAATACATATTTCTTTAAAAAAAAAAAAAAAACCATTATTATTATATTGAATTAAAGTGTAATATATAAAAATATCACAGTTATAAAACTGACGGCAATTTGTTGCCATTTATTAAGTGGTCGGTTATGCAAAAATATTTGCATTTTTTTTGTTTTTTATTTCATTATCTAAAAATGCAATTGAAGGTTTGATTTAAAGCCTTTTTAGTGCTTTAAAAATGTCTTAATAATAAATAAAACTTTGTATTTAAATAAATTTCAGTGTGCGTCTGTATACAAATAAATCGACAAAGATCTGTTTTTTTTTTGCAAAATACATTTTTGCATTTTTTTTTGTTTTTGTTTTTTCTAGGAATGTTGCGATGCTTTTTCCATTAATTATTGATCTTTTATCGATAACATCGAAAAAAAATTTCTAAACTTTTACTTATTTTTAAATTTACTAGTTATTAAAATTACGTCTTGAATGATATTTAAATCTAAGCGTTTTTTTTTCAGACAGATAATTGAAAATAAATTTCAATAAAACATTGCACTAAAAATAAATTTTTTCAGAATGAAAAATTAAATGGATTTGGTAATTTATTGCCACTATTTAGTTATTTTGAAAAAATAACTATACGTGCTCTCTAAATCCGAATTAGTAAAAAAGTTTACTAATTTGAAATAGTGATTCACTTTTTGCTTCTCAATTAGTAAAATTTTACTAATTATTACTAACTTTGACTAAAAATTAGTAAAATTTAACTAATTCTAAAGCAAAAAGTGAGTCATTATTTCAAATTAGTAAACTTTTTTACTAATTCAGATTTAGAGAGTGATGTGTGTGGGGGGGGATTAAACGTTATAAAATAGTTCTTATCGTTTGATTTCGAATAAAAAGAATAAAGCTGAATGTTAAAAGAATGAGAGATAAAGACGATGTCGAAGTAACAGAAGACGAGCTGATTTTAAAATGGGTGGTTCGTCTTCTTGGTATCTCGTCTATATCGTTTGAATCCCCATCTGAAGGGCAATTCATCCAGAAAACTGAAGACAATTTCGGTTTCTCGTGAGCCACTCTCATTCGCATATCATCAAATTCCCAGAAGTATTTGCCTTTGAAGAAATAAGTTTTACCTAAACAAAAAAATATATATATATATATTTAAATAATATAATACGCATATTTGTAATTCAATTTTGAAGAAAAATAATAGAAAATTGATTATTGAGCAATTCCACGTGTACTGATCGACGATTTTTCTTTGATGTTAGCAATTTTCTTCCAATTTTTATTTCTAATAGCTATAAGGGTGAGAAATAATATAGTGTAGGCGATTTTGAAAATTCCAAAATTTTTTTGAAAATATTCAAATTTCAAAATTTATGTACTAATTTTTTTAAATTGATTAAATTTTTTTAAATTTCTCAGTAAAATAAGTACTTTTTAAATAAATTTTTTCGAAAAAAAAATTTTCATTAATTATTAAAAATTTTTCAAAAAAAAAATTTTTTTTTTCCAATTTTTGAAAAACACCCCCCCTTCGATTTTTTTTGTTTTTTTTTTTAGTGATAGCCAAAACTATCAAGAATTTTTTCGTACAAGATTTATAGTGGGATCACCATAACTTTTCGAGAAATCAACGAAAATCAATTGCTAACATCAAAGAAAAATCGTCGATCAGTACACGTGGAATTGCTCTATTGGAAATAATTTTTCATTAATTACCATTCTTCCATTGAAAAACAGCGTCGATATCGTTACCAACACCGGCGAACATACTCATATCTCGAGGATAATCCAATTCCACATGATTTACAGACTCGTCAAATCTGCAAATTTTAGAATATTATTAAAATTGAGAATTTTAAGAAGAAAATTTAAAAAATGCTTCTTAAATAGTTCAAAAAAAAAAAAAAACGAAAACAAAATCTTCTATTATATTAAAATGTTTGTTTTGTCGTCTTCGTGACGTCACTGGGCCAAGAATTTTCGTTTTTCATATTCTTTTTCAACAATTTTTATACAGGATATTATTCAAAATTTAAATATAAATTAAAAAAATATGAATTAGAAAAAAATCTGATTTTTTTTGACTTTCAGGAAATAACATTTTTAAAATTTATAGATATTTAAACCGTATTAGAATCATTGAAAAAACAGAGGTAGCATAATTCCCGAAGACAGTTTAGTGAAAACTGAAAAAAAAATTTAAATTCTTTGTAACAACCAAAAATATTTGTTAGAATAAATTATTTATTTATAAAAAGTATTAAAAGTTATCTTAAAAATATGTTTATTATTATAATGTTCTGCATTATTATATAATGTAAACATGTTTTTTATGACGTAGTATACAGAAAAATTCAATCATTTTTTTTTATATTAGTAACATAAGTTATTGAATAATAGTGTTTTATTATAAACTTTTGTAATATAGTCATTATACGTACTTTATTTACAAACAATAAAATTATATTATATTAATAATATAATAATTATAATTATATTTTATTTAAAATAATAAAATAAAGTAAATTTAACCATGATAAGTTAGCCCATATTGATAAATAATTAATTACCTATATAAAATTAGTTCTGATTGGAATTGCTTGAAAGTTGTTACTTGAGGGTTTTCAGGATTACGAATATGATAGTTATTTCTAAAAATGGGGGGGGGGGGAAATAAGGAAAGGGTTGGGGGAGATAATAAATTTATTATAATATTAATTTAAAAAATATAGTAAATACATATGAATGAACTGAAATAAGTAAACAATAATGAGTACAATTTCAACCGAGCGAGCATTAGCGAGAGAGGATATGACGCTGGTATTATATTAAAATGTTTAATTTCTCGTCCTCGTGACGTCACTTGGTCAAAAATTTTTGTTTTCACATCGTTTTTCAATCATTTATGTACATATACATTTATGTAAAATTTACACATAGATTAAACATATGAATTAGAAAAAAAATCATATTTTTAATTAGATAGAATTTTTTTGAATAGAATTTTCATTTTGTTCAATTACAGTCGAACCTCGATAAGTGAGAATCCAACCGAGAATTTTTTCTCACTTATAGATGCTCTTTACTACTAATAGAAATTTATATAGGTGACTTACACCCTCCTATCCTAAACTTTATAAGCAAGAATTATCATATTACAGAATTTTATTTTTTATAATTCATTTTTTTCGAATATTTAAGGTTATTGTATTTTATAATAATTTTGATTTGTTTTAATTATGAATTGAAGAAAAAAGTATTTAAGATAAGTATATTTTACTAGATAAATAATAATTAATAATTTTTATATTTATTTTGTCAATGATTAAATTTTTTATAATATTTAATAATGATTTATAATTAATAACAGTAGTCAACGTCTATATCGATAGCAATAATATAGAGTAGCAAACACAGTTGTACGATTAGAGTCAGGGTTGGGTAGTTACAAACATAAAAAGTTTCTTACGTAGGATAGTAAAGGTACATTTACACCTTTGGTAAAAAAATTTGTCACTTTGCATTTTCCAAAATTCATTTACCTGATTGTTTGTCCACAATGAATTAGATTCTGGACATCCAATCAGATTATGTATTTCGGAAAATGTAAAGTTAAGAAAATTTTTTACTAAAGGTGTAAATGCTCCATTATAAAAGAATACAAATGGTTGGTTTCCATTTGTCATAATTCTCGTCAACTACCGCACCCTGCTCTAGTGAAAATTTACTAACTTTTAATTTTAACAATAAAGTCACTAAATTTTCACTAGAGCAGGGAGCGGTAGCTGACGAGAATTATGAGTGGGGACAATGGAAACCAACCATCGCCAGTAGATTGGATAAAAATAGTTTAAATCATTAATTTCATTAATAAAATTTAAAACAATATAAAAGTTTACATTGGATACTCAAAATTACTCCATTAAGTGGAAATTCTAACATTTTTTAGAACTTATTCATCCGTCCAAAAATATTATGCGGTGATAAAAAAATCGTTCTTGTTCTTAACAATTAAAAATAAAAAAGTATAAAGTAAATTTTATCTTCTCTATAGAATTTTTAGCAAAAAAAAAAAATAAGGAAAATATGAGAAAAATCTTCAAAGAAACATTCTTCAATTGAAGTGAATTTTTCCCTCGGAGGGCAAAAATTCCTTTCGGTGGTAGAATTTCTTTTTCGTTTTGTTTTCATTTATATATATATATATTTTTTTTTTTTGGAGAAAAAACTACATATGCAAAGTATGAGTACTAAAGCGTGGTTACGAAATCGATATTGACTTTATATATGTACATATATACATACCTCCAGTACATAGTGCCACTGAAGAAATAAGTCCTTTTATTGTGACCCCAGACCATAGCGCCATCGATTTTCTTCAAGGAAGACGGTAAACCAAGAGAAGTTAATGGTTTTGGATATCCTGGCTCCAAAATGTTCGCACTGAACACATAGTAAAATCTCCCTATAAAGAAGACTATCTTTTTATCGTGACGCTCGTAAACTGCGTCCACGTGATCAGTGTCCTTTGGCACGTTGAACAGTCGACTGATTTCCGCCGGAAAGCCTTCATACAATCCCTGATCCCCTATTCTCCACAGGTACTGCAATAAAAAATGATTTAAATCTTTTGATACATGAATAAATATTTTTTAGATTTTTACATTCTTTAGTTTATGCCGTTTTAAAATTTATGAATTATCATTTTTCTATTTCTAGGATGAAAAGCAATTATTTTACTCCCTTGAGTTCTAAATAGAATATTGATTTTAAAATTAGAATTAAAATTTTTTTTTCCATTAAATGACAGATATAATTTTGCTTCATATTTTTTCTCGTTCGAAAGAAAATATACAAATTGATTGAAAAAAAAAAAAAACAGAAATGAAGTTTTGATTTGACGAATGCAGAGTCACGTTTCGCGCGTGTAGCCTTCAATTTGAATAAGTGGCTATTCATATTCTCCCGTTTATTAAGATAAACAAGTTTCCTCATTTTTATTTAAATAATAACTACAAACGAGTGAATTTTCATTTGACGGAAATTTTTAATGGTCAAACAAACAAGATTTCGGCGCGAATTTAAAAATTAACTAATCACAATTTTCTTTGATTAATTCTGATTAGATAATTTTAAAATGTCGCTCCAAAATCTGACTTTATTTGTTAAAATTAAAAGTTACTAAGGTTGGTTTCTATTGTCACCACTCGCCATTTGTCATAACTCTCGTCAACTACCGCACTCTGCTCTAGTAAAAGTTTAGTAACTTTATAGTAACTTTTAAATTTTAACAATAAAGTCACTAAATTTTTACTAGACTAGGGTACGGTAGTTAAGGAGAATTTATAACAAATGGCGAGTGGGGACAATGGAAACCAACCCTAATTTTTTTACTAGAGCAGGGTGCGGTAGTTAATGAGAATTAGAACAAATGGCGAGTGGTGACAATGAAAACCTACTCAAATTGAACAGATTAGCAGAATAAATTTTAACCAATCAAAATGAATTCTCTTACGGAAAAAATACCTTGCTACAAGAGACTAAATTTTGATTGGTTAAAATTTATTTTGCTTATCTGCTTCATGTGCCAGTGGATCCGAACCAAGTTCAACTCAAAGGTCGAAGCACTTCAAATTTTTTTTGTGGATTTTTATTCTATTATGTTTCCTGAGTAATTTAAGACCAAAAAGAAAAAAAAACGTTAGATGCATTTTTAAGAAAATCGAGTATTTGTATTTTCTATTCTAAAATCACTGCGCAATAACTTTAACCCAAAAGTCTGAGCTCTTTTCTTGTAAAAATTATGATATATTATTTTTTTGTGAGTAATTTAAAACGAAATTAAATAAATTTTGTAAAAAGTTGATTTTTTAAATTATTATTTACTCAAGATTCTCCTCTTCTACATTTGGCATTTAATTTTCCCTAAATGAGAATCTTTTTTTTCCCCAAACACATTTTGAGTCAGCTTCCTCTGAAGTGTAATTTCCACTTAGGAAAGCATGACAATTGAATTCCCTCGGATCGAAACCGAAACGCTTTCAAGGGAATAGTATCATCTCTAATCCTCGAATGGAATACATACCCGACCCTTGAAGATGAAGACCTCCCTCCGGATGACGCTGATGGCGTCGTAGCTGGTATCGCACTTATGCGGTATGTCGTCTATGACCCGGGGTGTCCAGTGATGTCTAGGTCGATGAGTAGTAGTAGTGGTTGTGGTAGTAGTGGTAGTTGTACTTGTCGTTGTTGTACTTGTAGTTGGCCTCGTGTGATGGTGTACATGTGACTTTCTTGAAGTTGGAGGTCGGTAATCCGGTCTTTCTGTTCTATAGTCAGGTTTAAATGGGTAGCGATCTGGTGGTCGATAATCTGGCCCCTCATTTCTATAGTCCGGGTAACGATCAGAAGGTCTTCTCGGTCTTTCCTCGTGTGGATAATAGTTTGGATAATGTGACCACGTAGGTCGAGTTTTCCAAGGTCTATAAGTGGTCGTTGTAATTCTTGGCGTAGTTGTAGTCGTTGTTGTCGTTGGCCTTCGTGGTCGTGGAAATACCGGAATATAAGCCCACAATTTATTTTCCGGAGCACCTGAAACAAAATAGATTTACTTTTATTCACAATTCTTTTTTTAAATTCTTCATAACAAAAAAAGATTTATAAATCATATCTATTTGGAATGTTGTAACGTTTGTAATATTGTAAGAATAAATATTTTAGCTCGCCGAGCCAGGGTTCGTTTTGATTCCAACAAAAATAATAACAGGATAATAACAAATTGAAACAAATTATTTATTTACAACGGTATTTACAGGTGAGCCACGGAATCGAGAATCGGCATCAATCTGGTAACGTCGCTTAAATTTTAGCCGCGCATTAACGAAATCGGCTTCAACTCGCTGCGATGAGCCGTGAAATCAATTGCAATACTGCCTAAAAATTCGCGATATTCTGGTGAACTACGAGTAAAACTCGTGTTCTAATTATACAAAGATTAAAACTCTAAGTATATCTACAAAAGGGTAGAAGGAGCGGAAAATCTACATTAAACTTCATGAATACAATATGAACTACGAGTAAAACTCGTGTTTCAATTATTATACAAAGAGTAAAACTCTAAGTATATCTAAAAAACGGTAAAAAGAACGGAAAATCTATTTTAAACTGCGGGAATACAATATTTCTTTACTATACATTTGTTACGTTACTTTACAATATTTCTTTACTATACATTACGTTACTTTAGAATTCGTTACTATACACTATTTACACATAAAACCGATATAATGTTCGACGGTTAAAACCCAACGAACGAGAGTAAAACTTCTAGTCAAGTGGGTAAGACCCACCCGGACTCCGTGTAGCACGAGAGTGACGGTCCTTAGCGAGAGCGCAGCTTATATAGCCGATCGGTGGGCTGGGCGCACGCGAGTGAGCTTTGGCGATGCGGCCCGCGCGGCGAAATCGGGTACTACGTCTTTGTGCTCTGCGGTCGGTAACATGTTTATCGATGCGCGATAATATTTAGTACAAATATTTACCAGCCAATTTCTAACTATCATTATAATGTTAAGTTGTGAGTAAATATTTTCGCTTATTACAAAACAAATAATTATATTATGAAAATGTTGGAATAATTTACGCAAATCACAGTGGTGAATTGCAAATATGGTTAACCGTAAAGTCATTCATGTTGAATGGAAACGGACATCAAAACTGATGTTTCCTAGAAATGGAAAATAGGAAACATAACGTGATTCAAAATAGTTGAACATTATACATGAATACTAGCTAAAGCACCACATTGCCATGGTGATTATAACATTCACTTCAATCGTCGTCGTTTGAGGTGCTTCTCTCATTTAATTATGTATACCGCATTGCAATGAATGCAAGCGCAATCACTTTAAAATATCCATCAGCTTTATGACATATATAAAGAGAAATATATTCACTGAATATATTAATTTGTATTAGTTATATTTTATTCATTAATTAAAATGCAATACTTTGACTCTTTAAGTACTTAGGAAAATATTTCGCAGTGATTGACGTCATCTATACGTTACCGCAATTCATCTTGTAAATTTTTTTTCCCTCCCCAAAAAAAGGAGATTTCGGTTTAGAATTCAAGTTAATACAGTTAACATTGTTTGTCATAATTCTCGTCAACTACCGCACTCTGCTCTTGTAAAAATTTAGTGACTTTATTTGTTACGCATCTAAATACTTTTCTCTTAAATGTTAAATTTCCGCCCTTTTTTCGCGGAACTAAACATCTTTCTTTTATATATAAAAGACCCCTGCGTTTTGTATCCTTCTACGTCTATATACTGTATTTCTAAAAACATACAAATAGAAGCGAGAAATCTTTTATGACACTAGAAGAGCTCACACCCCCACGAAACTGAGAGAGAAGGACTCAACATTGGCTTCCAAAATAAGGGTGAAAAATATATAGTAGGACAATAAAATTTTATCTATTCTATTACGAAAAATCAGTATAAAAGGACTACATTTTCACGGAGAGATCAGTTCTGAAATCCTCTTCATACGTATAACATCAAGCTCATTTCTGGTACAAGTCGACGTCTTCTAGTTCAATTGCATAATTTTCTTATACGAAAGTTAAAATCAAGTGTCAAAACCCTCTACATTAAACGAGGATCTTTACTTCTCATTATATTGGGCAATTATCCATTCTTCTTTTTTTTGGACGAGACTCAATTATTGGGAGTTTCATCACGCCTAATAGAACTCCAGACCTGCGGTTATACCTGGGCCCGTCAACCTACCTGACGTCATAAACTCACGCTGGTACCAGCTCTTTTCCTGTGACAACAAAGGACACAGCAGTGGTCCTTTTTCTTTCAACAAAACCTACTACTGAATTTTAAGGTAACTGTTTTATATTCTCACTCCTAACTTTTCTAAACTTGTCGTATATTTGTAGTAACCCTTGCATTCCTTATTTCAGTTGAATGCTGAACTCTCTATTTCCTGGATTGGTTGGTTCGAGATTCCTTCTCTCTCTCATAAGAACGAATTGTTGTAACTAAAAATACTTGTCTAAATAAATTGTAACCTAATTATAAAATTAATCACTATTCTTTTTCTTTCCTGTACCCTTAGTTCAGAGCCTTCTGCTCTGCAAATGAAACAAGAATTCACTGAATCACCGAGCAGCCATAAATAAAATAAAATATTATTTAGTTAGTTATTTCTCTATTTGGGACGTAACAAAACGTTTAGAGATATTAAATATTTTTTTGTATTTACCTTGCCAATTTAAATTGACAAAAAAAAAAGAAATTGGAAAATAATTTACAAGCATAGTTAACTGTTTATACAGCATTTAAAGAACTCTTCAATTTATATAGCAATTTGCTTTTAACAAGATGTACATTCCGTGTTCAGTTAAGAGCAGCTTTTCAAATTAATTTTATTACATTTACATAATTGTGTTTATTCCCCCCCCCCTCTCTCTCTCTCTCTCTCTCTCTCTCTCTCTCTCTCTCTCTCTCTCTCTCTCTCTCTCTCTCTCTCTCTCTCTCTCTCGACAATCATAGTTTCAAGATTTTCCTCTCATATTCTCCATAACTTAAATTGTGGTAATTTTCCTCTATAAAATAACAATCATTTAAACCGTTTTTTTTATCGAGATGACGATTATTGTTTTTATTGAATTTTTTTTAAGACTGCATCTTTGATTTTAAGATGATTTGAAATAAATGCAGAGTATACACAAAAGTGTAATTAAGAATTGTCTGACGAATTTCGAGGTAAGTTAAAGTTGTATTAAGGTACTTCCGTCTGGTTAGAATTTTCCCTTTGTTTCTGGGAATAAGGAACATCGTGGAAGGATGCGGAGGCAAATAAGACGAGAGTCACATCCGCCATCATCAACTTGACAATGCGTCGTTTATGAATCGCGCTTCAATGCTCTCTCTCCGCCTCATCGCAGAAAATGTTGGTTCAAGTTTATATGCTCTTTTATTAATGTGCCGAAAATTCGCATAAAGAGAATTTAATCCAACTTGACAGAGTTAATTAAATATATATATATACATATATTAATGTCATTTAGATCAAAAATCTATTTATTTAATTTAAATAAATATTTTTTTTTGGTTTAAATAAATGTTTATTTGATTTTAATAAATATTTTATACACTGGTTGGTTTTCATTGGCCCCACTCACCATTTGTCATAATTCTCGTCAACTACCGCACCCTGCTCTAGTAAATATTTAGTAACTTTATAGTAACTTTTAATTTTAAGAATGAAGTCAATTTTTTACTAGAGCAGGGTGCTGTAGTTGACGAGAATTATGACAAATGGCGAGTGGTGACAATGGAAACCAACCAGTGTATAAAATAAATATTTATTTAAATCAAATAAACATTTATTTAAACCAAAAAAAAGAATATTTATTTGAACAAAATAAATTTTGATTTTCAGTGTAAATCGACAGAAAACTTGATACAATCAAAACTCTCGAATCGTTAAATTTTCAAGATCTTTAGTTATAAAAATTTTTTTTATGTAATTTTAATTTTAACAAAAATTTTTAGTTTCATTATGATTATATTTTAAGAAGTTCATTACAGAGGCTGAATATTACAATATCCTTGGGAACAATCTCATCAGGACCTCCCAGGGAAATTGTCGCTTTCATCCTTCGAAATTGTCGTCAATATCCTGTCATCTCTTATAGAGGAAATTGTACCCCACTGAGTATACAAATTATCCTGCTGTAAGCTTACATTGTTAAAGAATTAATTTTTATTATTATTAAAATTATTTAAGCCTACTAGTCTATTTATTTGTCGTAAATAAAATTTTTTATTTAGAATCAAATAAAAATTTATTTAAATTAAATAAAAAAAAAGGCTCTGAGACAAATATATCATTTCTCTGGGTGTATTTTCTAAACAGTAGACTTACAGAAAGATAAATTATGGAGATCTTAATTAATCACAGAGAAAGATTTTTTCCCCTTTTTTTTCTAAAACCTTTTTAGAAACAAGAGTACAATACAGTTTTTGCATTCTACTTTTTTGAGAACCTGAATTTGGACTGCGGAATGATGTCGTAAAGAAAGATGAATAAGAAACAAGTACCGTCAACTTTACAAGCTAGAAGTTTGTCCTTCCTTCCTTGAAATTAGTTTCCCAATGTTCTAATCGAACTTTGTGGACTGTGTGTTGAAACTGGGGTGAATTTTGTAATATTTTTTTTCATTTGAAATAGTTTCTAACTTAAGAATACTCCTTTTACTTATTCGAAAGTAGGTTATATTACTCTCTATAGGTAATTCTTCATAAAAAAATATTTCTTTGAAACAAAGAAATTGTTTCTTTGAATTTTGAATCAAAGATAAAATTTGTTTGAATTAAAAAAAAGAAATTTTTTTATCTATTTACGAAAAGAAATTTTTTCTTTAAATGATTTTTTTAATATAAAGAAAAATATATCTTTGAATCAAAGAAATATTTGTTTCGAACTGAGTTGCTACGATTGTTTTTTGCGTAGATTACGTAAATTAGTAAAATTTTTAATTACTGGACAAAAATGTTGAACTATAGAAACATTTAGATGGAAATCATTTTAGCTCAATATCTTGAATGCCAATGGTATTAATCTCCATTCACGGACAAATAGGAAAAAATGTCGCGACGGAAAAAAAAACGGTGAAATGAAATCTGAATAAAATATAAAGAATGGGCATACTCCGTCCTCAGAGAGTGGGTTTGCACGTCAGGGTGATTTAGTGCGCTGCAGAGGTTTGGCAATTCCCATGAGATTGCAAATGCATTCTGTGTAGAATCTCCAAATGCTTCTTCTCTCGTTTACAAAAAAATTTTTTCCCCTCATATATATATACTTATATATTTCTCTTATGTAGAAAAATTGCTAAATGTTAATAATGGTAAATGGTAATAAAACCATTTACCATTACCATAATGTAAATTTATGGAAGATACCATACTAAAAAAAATAGTCTCTTTTTATATTCTTATGTTAAACATAAATCCAATTATATAAATTCTGTCCTTCCAGTTTGATGGCATTTGGAAAAGTCGTGACACTTCTATAATAATTTTGTATTAGTTTATGGCATAAACTTGGTTATATTCCACGCTATAAACTAATAAAAAATATTATAGAAGTATGACGAATTTTCAAAATTTCGTCCAATCGGAAGGACAGCATTTATGCAATTGGATCAATAGATTTCTATCGTATTCTTATGTTATGTTTAACATAAGGAGTTAAAAAAGCCTATTATAGAAGTAGCTTAAACTACGTTAACAATCGTCAATAAGGTTAGGTCACCATTTAGTATGAGGCGTTAAATTATGCAAAAAATAATCAAAATATCGTCAAAAAAATGTTATTGGAAACTTTAACCCATACAACATATAAAATTTCCTAAATTTGTCCTGGAATATTTCATTGAAAGATTCGAAATATTGCAATGAAAGGTCCATGAAATTTTGATGCAAGCAATAAAATGTCCGCCTATAAGAAATATTGCAGTTCCGATTGTACGAAAAATTTCAGCGAAATGTTCAGGAAATGTGAGGATGAAAAATTACTGACATATTATTTTTTAATATTTGCAAAATAAAAAAAAATGAAATATGTTACAAATTTTTAAGTGAAATATTTTGAAAAGATTATTCATTAAAATTCTAGAAATATTCGAAGGGAAATATTTCCAAATGGTTAAAAATACATATTTAAGTAAAACTTCTATAAAATATAATAAATACTAATTGTGCTCTTGTCTGCGAGTTCAGTCAGATTTCGGTTTTGACAATCCGCTAGGGTATAAAATTAGGTTGATAGAAAATTGGGTTGTGACAGAAAAAAGGCTCAGGTGTGGGTCAGTTTCACGTGATTTCCGATCATAAAGGTTGATTTCCATTATTCCCACTCGTCAAAATCCTCACTCGCCATTTGTCATAATTCTCGTCAACTACCGCACCCTGCTCTAGTGAAAATTTAGTAATTTTATAGTAACTTTTAATTTTAACAATAAAGTTACTAAATTTTCATTAAAGCAGGGTGCGCAGTAGTTGACGAGAACTATGACAAATGGCGATTGGTGATTTTGTCGAGTGGGTACAATGGAAACCAACCAAAGGTAAAGAATTGGTAACGTAGTTTATGGACAAATTTTACAATTTTTTTTTTCTTAAATATTTTTAAAATATTTTTTTTTCCAACTTACCATACATTTGTTGAATTCCATTTCTATCGTCTTCTGGTAATTCAAAATTAGTTGTAATTCCTTGATACCAAGGATACATTAGAGCACCTCGAACCGAACTATGAGATAAGCCTAAGGAATGGCCAAATTCATGGGCAGCCACTGCAAAAAGACTGGTTCCTGAAAAATAAATACTAAAATAAATTGCAGTATAAAATATTATTGTAGGATTCTCACAATATATATATATACTACAGGGGCTACGCCCCCCTGCGCGCTTCGCGCGCCAACCCCCCTATTTTTGGCGGGAAATACAGAGAGAGATGAGGGAAGAGGGAAAGACTTACTGCTTTATTAGGGTCTTAAAACAAACATAACCTCAAAATTTAGGTCAATTTTTGGCGGAGGAGGGGAAATGAGAGGAGGGAGGGGGGACTTGCGGCTATATTCAGAGCCTTGAAACGAACATAACCTCAAAATTTAGGTCATTTCTGGCGGGGGAGGGGAGGGGACTTGCGGCTATATTCAGAGTCTTGAAACGAACATAACCTCAAAATTTAGGTCATTTTTGACGGAGAAGAGGAAATGAGAGGAGGGAGGGTGACTTGCGGCTATATTCAGAGCCTTGAAACGAACATAACCTCAAAATTGAGGAGGGGGGACTCCCCCCTCCTAGGTAAAGAATTCTTGAAACAGCGGCGGCGATATCTTTTTGTAATATAGGAAGATATATACAGCAAATATCAAAGAAAATAAAATAAAAAGAACATTTCAGTAAAATAGAGGAAATTGGAAAGAAGAGAAGATTTATAAAAGAAGTATGAAAAGGATATATAAATGATTAAAATCCGATGAGAGATGAAAATATAGGATCTCTTGGCGCAATTTTTTCAAAAAAGAAAAATAAAATAAACATCATAAGATATATATGCAATTGTATTATAATTTAATTTCAAATGGAAATCTGAAACAATCATTTCAATATTCAAAGCGAATTCAACATGGCGTATACACCAGAAGTAAAATATATTATTGATCCTAGAAAGTTACTGGACCACAATCCGTGAGGGTTTTTTTTTTTAAATCACAAAACCGCCACATATCATCATCTAAAATTAATCTACTCTTTCAGTTTAATTGGCAGATTAATTGTATTCTTGAAATCAAATGCCACACAGGGGAAAAAAACAGTAAAATTTAAAAATAGTATACGAGAAAAAAGATTTCTTTGATTCAAAAAAAAAAAAAATATTATTTTTTCATTTCAAATATAAATTTTTTATTTAATTCAAATAAATGTTTTTTTAACTCTATATCAATTTTAAAATTTCTTTGATTTAATGCACAAATTTCTTTAATTCAAAGAAAATTTTATTTTGAATGAAAGAAAACAAGTCAAAGAAATTGGTTTCTTTAAATCAAAGAAATTTTTTCTCCAGGGTGTATGAAAAATTAAAAAAACGAAGTTAGAAATAAAATTTCATTTTTAGGTCGTTAAGGTTCATAAAAAGACGTTGTTTGCAAAAGTTAAAAAACTCGTTAGCATTTGTTGCATATCTCAGAACTTAAATTTCTGCTGAGTGTATTTCTGAAAATTGTACCGCTTTTTTATGATAGTCAGGTTATGTCAGATATTGCAAAGTTTTTTATATTGTTTCAAAACTTGGTGTTTGTATTTCTATGTACAGTTTTTGTAATCTCTTTATAGTTTCTTTGTCTCATTTGTTAAATAAGTGTCTTTAAGTTTATCGAAATAAGACTGATGATGATAAATTTAATTACGCGCATATAATGAACCTGTGAAAAGCTACTTTCCATATAAAATCTTTTCTCGGGAAAATATATTTTAGAAAATTTTTTTTTTTCGTCTTTTATTTCTAGATTTTATTCAAAGAAAGAGCTCTCATGCAAAAGTATGGTTAGTCAAAGTTTATGCTATCAAAACCTGCATTTTTAACAAACGAGTTTAAGCTCGAAGAAAAGTTTCCACGTTCTAACTTCCGAGTGTCGTTATCAGATTTTAACTTTTGTGATATATATATATATATATATATATATAGCAAACTCTGGTATATACATTTTCGTCCGCTAAATTTTTCCGGTATCAGATTTCGATGTAACAATCCACTTTATGCCTTTTTTTCCTACCGATTTATTTATATTTTGGTTTTCATTCAGAGTGTGTAATAAATTTGTGTTGCATCGGCCATTTTGAATTTTTACTTCATGCTATAAATTCTGATTTACGATGTACATCCAATTGCATTAATGCTGTCCTTCCGGTTTTGATGGCTTTTTGAAATGTCGTGACACTTCTATAATAATTTTATTAGTCTATGGCGTATATGATGTAAGCAAAGTCATAATTCACGGTTGACTACCGCACCCTGGTCTAGTGAAAATTTACTGATTTTATAGTAAATTTTAACTAGAATGTTACTAAATTTTCACTAGAGCAGAGTGCGGTAGTCAACTGTGAATTATAACTTTGCTTACATAATACGCCATAAACTAATAAAATTATTATAGAAGTGTCACGATTTTTCCAAATGTCGTCAAACCGGAAGGACAGAATTTATGCAATTCGGTGTATAGCGAATCAAAATTTGTATCATAAAGTAAAAATTCAAAATGGCGGATCCAAAATAAAAGACGTTTTATATTATATACTGTAAGCAAAAACTAAATATAATGTTTATTAGGGAATCCCTGGAAATTCTGTAATTCTCTGGAATCTTGAATACTCAATTTGACACCATCTCGCATTTCTAGGTTAACCTCGAACAAGATGAGCATCATAGTTACCTCCTAGTTAATTATCAGGAGTGACCGATAATTGGACCTCTTCGAGGTGGCAGACAGCCAAAGCCCTGATATTCGAGAGAGCTGCCAGCATTCTCTTCTTTGAGTCATTACATTCGCTATTACGTTCCCATTAGGCCACTCTCCAAAATTCATGTACGCAACATAACCACAATTATCGATTCCTCCCATGTACAATTATTACAATTCTTTTTTTTTTCTTATATTTAAATTCAAAAATTCCGCGTAAAATTAGCCATAAACTACACATTATAGATGGTTATATTTTTTACAAGGTCATCTGTCCATGTCTTACTTGTAAGAATAACAATTTTTTTTTTCCTAATATTATAAAATAACCTAATTTCATAAATTCTGTCCTTCCGGTTTGACGGCATTTTGAAAAGTCGTGACATTTCTATAATAATTTTATTAGTTCGTGGCTAATTAATTTATACTACGCCATAAACTAATAAAATTATTATAGAAGTGTCACGACTTTTCGAAATGTCGTCAAACCGGAAGGACAAAGGTTTGTTTCCATTATTCCCACTCGCCATTTGTCATAATTCTCGTCAACTACCGCACTCTGATCTAGTGAAAATTTAGTAACTTTATAGTAATTTTTAATTTTAACAATAAAATTACTAAATTTTTACTAGAGCAGGGTGCGGTAGTTGACGAGAATTATGACAAATGGCGAGTGGGAACTTTGACAAGTGGGACAATGGAAACCAACCAGAATTTAAGCAAATGGGCGTAATGTGAATTGGACAACGTCTCAATTTGAAATTTTCAATTTTTTTTTATTCTGTAAGTTTCCCACCCCTGTCGATTGTTATGGTAACATACAAGAGTAAAAGAGACAGTGAATTTGTCTTTCTCTTTTACTCTTGTACGTTACCATAACAACCAACAGGGGTGTGAAACTTGGACAATAAAAAAATTTGTACAAATTCAAATTAGGAAGTTTTCCAATGCCGCCAAATTCAAATTAGTATTAATCTGAAATTTAAGCTAAATTTACAATCGTTCTTTTCAAAATTCTGAAACGAAACATGTTATTTTACAATTATACAAAAAATATGCAAAAAAAATAATAATTAAATCAACGTCATATATATATATATATATATATATATATATATATATATATATATATATATATATGACAGGATCATTATTTGCGATTATACACACACGTATAACATTTGCAGCTAACAGCTTAAACCACAATTTCATCGACATTTAATGGAAACTGTCGAGGTGGGAACTACCAGAGAACTCACCGGGTTGACATACACAATGCTACAGTGAAATTGGAATCCAGTTTAACCAAGAAATCTAGTTGTTTTAGAGCACGCGGGGGTGGTTCATCTTCAATATACTGCGATTTACCGCAATTCGGAGTTCAAGCGACCAATCAGAGAGGTGTACGGAAATTGGGAAAATCGAAGGAAATAAGACAGCCGGAAACAAGGGTACGGAACGCGCGTTGACTTCTTTTTTTTTCATGCCACCCGAAAATTCAATTCCCGGATTTCCCTCTGGGGAAATGTGGCCGTCATGAGTTGTATTGACGTTATTTCATTTGCAGTTGATGGGAAAATTAAATTGAATTTTCTCAACGCTCAAAGAGAACGACTTAACTAAAAATTTAAGTTAATTTATTCCAATAAACTCGTCACCTCGAATGAGTTACACATAGAACTTATTTCACACTCCATTGAGATGGAAAAATATTCTTTTCTTGTGGCGCGGTTTTTTTTTTTTAATAATTTGTAATTAATGTAACTTTTAGGTTAGGAATATAGGAAATAGGAAAGATGACACTGTCCCCATTTACCATTTGTCATAATTGTCGTCAACTACCCCACCCTGCTCTAGTGAAAATGTAGTGACTTTATAGTAACTTTAATTTTAACTATAAAGTCACTACATTTTCACTAGAGCAGGGTGCGGTAGTTGACGACAATTATGACAAATGGCGAGAGGCGACAATGGAAAGAGTGTACAAAATAAATATTTATTTAAATCAAATAAATATTTATTAGGCTCTGTCACTTGTGACGTCAGAGGCCTGGAGGGACAACAAATAGACGACACAATGTTATTCTTATGGGGAAGAAAATTAGTTTCCACTTTCATCAATTTTATTCATACTTTAAACATGAAAAACGCTTGTTTTGACATATATAATAAAATTAAAATGTGTGTTGATAATTATTTTGTTATATATTTGATTCAATTGCATTGATAGATTCTCTGAATTCGTGATAAAATATAAATTTTGAGGTTGGGGGTGCTTGTTTACTAACCTGAAATCTTTTACTGTAAAGAAATATACCCATAACCTCAAAATTTATATTTTATCACGAATTCAGAGAATCTATCAATGCAATTGAATCAAATATATAACAAAATTAATTATCAACACACATTTTAATTTTATTATATATGTCAAAACAAGCGTTTTTCATGTTTAAAGTATGAATAAAATTGATGAAAGTGGAAACTAATTTTCTTCCCCATAAGAATAACATTGTGTCGTCTGTTTGTTGTCCCTCCAGGTCTCTGACGTCATATCTTGAACTCGAAATATCTCGATGAACTGACACAGCCTAATTGAAACCAAATAAATATTTATTTGGTTCAAATAAATGTTTATTTGATTTAAATAAATATTTATTTAAGTAAACATTTATATAGTAGAAAAAAACAATGAATCAAATCGATTTTAGAATCGTTCAATCTTAAAATGAAGATATATTTCATGAATCACATTTCCTGTAAAAACATGGCAATATTGCTGTGTATATATATATATATATATATATGTAAAAGATGTGAGTCTATTTGTATGATAAATTGAGATCCATATTTCTTTACCGTCTTCGTTGCTGTCGTCACCATTGAGCAACCAGATTTCTTCTTCGTCGAAATGTGCATCGCCACCGCGATCGCCACCAGGGAAAAAGGCGTGAGCCAATATCTTTCCTCTGCCATCAAACGGATATCCGTCGCCGTGATAACCCCTGCAACGAGACGTGATTCACGATAACAATTTGATCAGCATCCTTTACCGCAGGAGAGGAATATAAACAAGCTTATTTTATACACACACAAATATATTTTTCAGCCAATTTCGTGTGACATTTTTAAATTTATTTATATTGTCATAAATTGTACAACCAATTGAATAAATTCTGTCTTTAGGGTTTGAAAACATTTTTAAAACTCTTGACATTTCTATAATTATTTTATTAGTTTATGGCGTATGATGTAACCAAAGTCATAATTCACGATTGACTACCGCACCCTGGTCTAGTGAAAATTTAGTGATTTTGTTGTAAATTTTAACTAGAATGTTACTAAATTTTCACTAGAGCAGGGTGTGGTAGTTGACCGAGAATTGTGACATTAGTTATATCATACGCCATAAACTAATAAAATTGTTATAGACGTTCGACGGCATTTCGAAAAGTCGTGACACTTCTGAATTAATTTTATTTGTTCGTGGCGTATGGCTTGACCAATTTTATACATTTCTATAATAACTTTATTAGTTCGTGGCGTTTAATGTAACCATTGTATAAACTATACGCCACGAACTAATAAAATTATTATAGAAATGTATAAAATTGGTTAAGCCATAGGTTATTTTCCAATGTCTCCACTCGCCAAAATCCCCAGTCGCCATTTGTCATAATTCTCGTCAACTACCGCACTCTGCTCTAGTAAAAATTTAGTGACATTATTATTAAAATTAAAAGTTACTGTAAAGTTACTAAATTTTTACTAGAGCAGAGTGCGGTAGTTGACGAGAGTTATAACAAATGACGAGTGGGGATAATGGAAACCAACCCATACGCCACAAACTAATAAAATTATTATAGAAGGTGTCACGACTTTTCAAAATTATCCTTAAACAGGAAGGAATTCGAAGTAATGGTATTATAATTATAAAAAAATGGTATTTGCCCAATGAAAAAACAATAAAAAGTTTATACTCACCGATGGAAGTAGACTAAAATATCAGCTTGATCGCTGTTAACTTCCTGAAAGGTGAGTTTGGAATTGGCCGACCAAATAGCGAGAGCTCTGCTTAGTTCGAGACGTACATCGCCTGTTTCCAAGCCACTGGGTTGTTCCGTCCTCAAACTGTAAACAGAGATTGATTGTGGTTAACATTAGTGACATATATAACATATATATATTATTGAATATGTATTATTTTATTTATAATAATATTATAATTATAATTCCTATAAATTGTAATTTCTTTATAATATTTATATTTTCGTAAATTTATAACTTATTTAATTTTTTTCTAGTTTTATATCCAATGGGATTTGTTCAGTTAGTTTGCTCTTCTTTCACTCATAGTCTAGTTACAAAATGTTAAGGTTACGCTTTACGTACCCAACCCTGATTACCATACAGCATCTAAAGCCCTTTCTGCAATAGTATCCTACTCGCCAAAATCCCTACTTGTTATTTGTCATAATTCTCGTCAACTACCGCACCCTGCTCTAGTGAAAATTTAGTAATTTGATAGTAACTTTTAATATTAAAAATAAAATCACTAAATTTGTCACTTGAGGAGGGTGCGATAGTTGACGAGAATTATGACAAATGGCGAGTGGGGACAATGGAAACCAACTTATAATTTTTGGTCAACTACCGCACCCTGCTCTAGTAAAAATTTAGTGACTTTATAGTAACTTTTAATTTTAATCGGAATATTACTAAATTTTTGACCAGACCAGGGTGCGGTAGTTGACCCAAAATTATGACAAATACTGTAACTAAATCCTTAAGTGACTGTGTGAATAGAGCATCATGTACTTCAAGTATTGGAGGACATGTTCGCCATTTATTGACAAGAACAGGAAACACATTTTACTTTTTCACTCAACTGCAAAATGCAACAGCAATTTTTACAGGGAATACACGACAACGACAACCATGGGCTTCATTTGTCGAAGAATATAACGTGAAAATTTAAAGCGATGAAAAAAAAAAATCGATAGCAAATTTGCTTGGAAATATTCATGTGTATAGTATCTCGTTCAGCTGCATATTACAGTAGGACATTCACCTGCTTCTTGTTACATTCATCCATGTCGTTGTACCTTCATTTTACCAGAGGCAGTATGCAATATCGTAGAGAAGAGCTATTGTTCCTGGCAAATAGCCCACCTGTCCACATTGTATCCAAGTATAGCGGGGTGAATGCGCGGATAAAGGACCGTGATATAGAAAATAGTAAAGCCGATTTAACCATATACACATATTAATATCGTTCATTCATATTGATTCAAGAGATTACTTAGAATTATTAGTATAATAATTTGAGTATAAAATAATTTTTTTTACATTAACACGGTTGAAAAACTATCGCACCCTGCTCTAGTGAAAATTTAGTGAATTTATAGTAACTTTTAATTTTAAGGTTGGTTGACATTGTCTCCATTCGCCAATTGTCATAATTGTCGTCAACTACCGCACCTTGCTCTAGTGAAAATTTAGCGATTTTATTGTTAAAATTAAAAGTTACTAAATTTTCACTAGAGCAGGGTGCGGTAGTTGACGAGAATAATGACAAATGGCGAATGGTGACAATGGAAACCAACCTTGAATGTGAGAGAAATTGAAAAAAATCCTAATTTTTTACTTCTTATGCAAGTTTACCAGCCCTGCCGATTCTCATGGTGACGTTCAAAAGTAAACAGAAAAGAGTTTATCTTTTCTTTTACTCTTGTTAAGGCGCTTGAACACCTCTACGTGCCTGAGTATACTTCCGTCGTGTACCATTGGAGTAAAAGAGACACAATTATCTTTTGTCTCTTTTACTCCAATGCTGCACGACGATAGAATACTCAGGTATACAAGCGCCTTAAATTACTATAAGAATCAACAGGGCTAGGAAACTTGTACAAGAAATAAAATTTAAGACGTTTTTCCATTATGCCACATTCATATTGCATCCAATTGCATTAATTTTGTCTTTCCTGTTTGACGACATTTTGAAAAGTTGTGACACTTCTATAATAATTTTATTAGTTTATGGCATATTATAAAGAGCTGAGCAGAATAGAAACGTAACCGGAATCGTAAACGCAATAGGAATAATTATAATAAGTTAGAGAAGGACAAACAATCTATCTATCCTTCTTTAACTTATTCTTCCGGTTGCGTTTGCAATTACGATTCCAGTTACGTTTCTATTCTGCTCAGGCCTTTAATTACTTACAATTAGCCACGAACTAATAAAATTATTATAGAATTGGTCACGACTTTTCAAATTGCCGTCAAATTGGAAGAACAGAATTTTATGAAATTAGGCTGAATTCACAATCGTTCCTTTGAAAATTGTTTTTCACCATTGTTGACGACATTTTGAGGAGTCGTGACACTTCTATTATAATTTTATTAGTCCGTGGCATATGCCAACACTTTTTTTTTTGTTCTTTTCTAACGCACGTGTTATCATATGGTAACACATGCGTTAGAAAGGACAAAAAAAACTGTGGGCATATACTGTAAAAACTATAATAGATAAGACTACCTCTCTTTCCATTCGATCGACACGGATGGGAAACTGCAAAAAGTAACTATTTTTGACTCTTGACATGCTATAAATACGAATTATGACACGTATATTTACAACGTCGAGAAGTTTCCTGAATTGTTTATGAATAAAGCAAAAGTTAATTTGTGTCGACGACAGGAATCAGTGGAGCGCGAGTGTCGACAAGTTTGAAGAGTTCCGACAAGAGGGATAACGGATGGTAAAAGGATGAGGGAGTAGAAAATGGAGAACGAAAGAGAGAGTGAAAGAGAGAGAGAGTTTGTGAGTAATCCTTCGATGGACTGACAAGTGATAGAGAGGCGTTCATTCGGCGATAATTGATCGAGGGCCGATGTATGTTATCGCCATGTTATCGGAAATCCTTCGCAGCATCTGTATATTAACTGAACATATGCGCAATCAATGATATCCTGCTTAGTTCCTGATGCGTAAAAGAGCACACGGTTCACTGATTTTCCTGCTAAGGGCTTCTATATAAACATGTTTGTCTCAGGATTTAGCTTGCAATCTTCTTAAACCACTTGAGCAAATCCAATTAATATACACGGTGGAAATAAATTCAATTTAACGAGATTTATTTATTAAATTATTTTTTTTATATTTTATTTTAATTGTAAATAATTTCACACTAATTGCAGAAATACTGTTTTTCCGGTTTGAGAATATTATAAAAAGTCGTAATATTTCTATGATAATTTTATTAGTTCATGGCGATGGATACATTGGTAAGCCATGAACTAATAAAATTGTTATAGAAGTGTTACGACTTTTCGAAATGTCGTGAAACGTCTATAATAATTTTATTAGTTTGTGGCGTATGGTGCAACCAATCTTATACATTTCTATAATAATTTTATTAGTTCGTGGCGTATAATGTATACATTGGTTATACAATACCTCATGAACTAATAAAATTATTATAGAAATGTATAAAATTGGTCAAGCCATACGCCACGAACTAATAAAATTAATTCAGAAGAGTCACGACTTTTCGAAATGCCGTCGAATGTCTATAACAATTTTATTAGTTCGTGGCGTATGGATTGACCAATTTTATACATTTCTATAATAATTTTATTAGTACGTAGCGTATGGTGCAACTAATATTATACATTTCTATAATAATTTTATTAGTTCGTGGCGTATAGTGCAACTAATATTATACATTTCTATAATAATTTTATTAGTTCGTGGCGTATAGTGCAACTAATATTATACATTTCTATAATAATTTTGTTAGTTCGTGGTGTATAGTGTATACATTGGTTACACCATACGCCATGAAATAATAAAATTATTATAGATGTGTATAAGATTGGTTGCACCGTACGCCATGAACTAATAAAATTACCATAGACGTTTGACGGCATGTCAAAAAATTGTGACGCCTCTATAATAATTTTATTAGTTCGTGGCGTATATACAAGGGATACACCATACGCCATAAACTAATAAAATTCTTATAGAAGTGCCACCTCATTAATTAACTATTAAATTAATACATTTAAGAAAATCTATTTTTTTTTGCTTATTTGTTATTTACATTCATATAGACGAAATATTATTTTCCCGTTTGCTCCGCAGTCACTGAGCATAATCCATTTTCATAGGTTGAATGATCTGACGTTTCCAGTTTTATTACTAGACTAGAGTATCCCTAGGGCGGTAATATAGGCGACTTATGAAGGGAAACGTCATTGTTTTGTTGAATGAAGCGAACACGGGACTTTTTCCGAGTGGAATGTAAAGCTTAAACGAAACGTGTTGTAGCAGCGCTGGAATGTCAACAATAGAAAGAAATATGAGCAGGATCAGTTCATAACTTTTGCTTCACAGTCTTGATATTTTTTACTGAAAAATATTTACGGCATTTTTTAATTCCGTTTATATAAAGATAAATGGATATTTCTGCCTCTCCTCCCCCCCCTCTCTCTCTTTCTTTGTGAATATTCTTAAATGACGATAGTCTCTTTATTTTTTTTAACGTGTCCCGGCGTTGTCAACTCACTGAGAAGGGAAGTTTAATTAACGATAACGCTCGTATTTTTAATGAGATGACCGCGGAAATGTGAATAAACATTATTATCTCGTTGAAATTGAAATGTTGTGACAAATAAAAAAGAGAAAAAAGAGGTTTTCTTTATTGTTCAATGTTTTTTTACATTATAGTGGAATGGAAATTTTTTCCATATTGTAAAATAGCTTAATAACAATAGGGTCTGATTCACAAACACATACATCCAATTGCGTAAATGTTGTCCTTCCGGTTTTTACGGCATTTTGAAAAGTTGTTAGATTTCTATAATAATTTTATTAGTTCATGGCCAAAATACAAAGGTTGGTATCCATTGTTCCCACTCGCCATCTGTCATAATTCTCGTTAACTACCGCATTCTGCTCTAGTAAAAATTTAGTAACATTATTGTTAAAATTAAAAGTTAATAAATTTTTACTGGAGCAGGGTGCTGTAGTTGACGAGAATTATGTCAAATAGCGAGTGGTGACAATGGAAAACCAACCGTTTAAAGGCCAAAACAGAAATTGGATCAGAAAACACACGACACTG